CATTATGAACTAAAGTAAACTTTTTGTGAATTGCAATTATAGAATAGAATGCGTATTTAATACATGTCTTAATTAATAAGTTTTAACTTTAAATGTTTTAACATATTGCTTTTTATGTCTGACATTGTGTTAAAATTTATGGTTTATGAAGTGGAAACTGGAAATTTTATGGTTTACGTTCTGTAAACCGGAAAAATTTCGTAAACCGTAAACATTCCAGATTCGAATTCCATTTGATCCAGAATTATCCCGGAATTCCGGTTTACAAAACAAAGGAATTGAGTCTTTGCCACAAACTCTGATTTTCTAATCACTATATCTTTAGAACCAAAATTTGTGGACCTTAGATATTTCAAACTATGAGTTCTGTTAAATCAAAAAATCAGAGTTTGAAATATCAAAGGTTTACAACATCGGGTTCTAAAGATATTGGGGTTTAAATATTTGATTTTGTTACAAAGACTCAATTCCTTTCCGGATCATTCCATTTCCAAAAGGAATTTTATTTTCGGAAAAATGGAGTCCCAGTGCACTCACCTAAAAGTTGCAGTTTAGGAGTAAAATAAGAAAACATCATTTCCGAACAAAATATAGGTGGGGTCCGGACGAAAAATAGGTGTGATCTGGACGAAAAATAGGTGTAGTACACGCATTTTCCTTTCTGTGCTCATATGCCCCCCCCCCCTTATGCGCGTCAAGGGTGGCTGTGAAAAAAAGCTGCTTTTGCAATGTGGGCAAGGAATTTTAAGGCGTAAAATCAAAAAAAATTGTTATTAAGAATAAAATATAATTATATTCCGTTATAGGAGGGGAGGAAGGCCAGCCACATCAATTTCTCGTCCGAGCCACATTCTCCTCATATTCTCATCCGAGCCACCTCGGAATCCTCGTCCTTCGATTATTTTGTGTTGAAAAGTTTCCAATTCTTGGAGATAAACCTATTGTTTAAAAATATTGCCACTTTAGGGCATAAAATATGTATGGACTGCAATGATTATATCATGTTTGAATCTTCAAACCCATGAGAATAATGTCAAACTTTATTTAGGTAAAACTTAAATCTCTTCTGCCTCCGTTATGGCTAACCTTCGTGATATAAAATAAATAGCAAAATATTTGGCATACCTCTGCCTATAATTTTCCCCATGGAACCACCCGGGAAAATGCTATGGTTTTCACTATAGTTAACAAAAAAGATTAAAGTTCTTTAAGCTTGGAATTATTTGCGGCATTCTAAACCAGGAATATCTGAAGATGCGTGTAAAAAAGAAGAAAGTTGTTAATGACACAGAGGCGCAACTAGGGGGGGGGGCGGCCGGGCGCGCGCCCTACCCTAGCACCTGAGAGGGGGGGGCCCGCCCCTGCAGAATGAAAAGAAAGAAAGAATGGTGAAAATCAGTATCACAGGAATAAGAAAACCAATAGTTATTGTAGAAATTTTATTATACTATAGTTAGTTTTAAAAAAACTAATTTTTATCTTTCTCAATTCTCAAGGCTAAAGACTATTGTAAACATTTAATGTAAAAAAAAGTTCTGAACTGTATTTTATTTGTGTTGAGTTTATTGAGTACAAACTGTCTCTTGGATACTAATATAATGCAGCTAGAAGAGAGATTTGCTCCAATAACATCAAAGGCCATGGGTTTGCTTTACTTGTTACCAGAGAAAATAGCTTCTCATACCCTGGCTGATCTCAAGAGCAAACTTTCAGAGAGTTTAGAGTTTTATCAGTCTTTACTTCCAAAACCTTTACTCTTCTGGACCGAACTTGTACTATACAAGAGCAACCTGGAGATGAGAGGGAGCAAAGCCATTCCATCAAATCTAGACAAAGCTTTGCAGGAAATAAATCCTTTAATATTCCCAAACTTATTCATCATGCTGAAAGTAGTAAAAACATTTCCTGTCTCTTGCTGTGAGGCCGAGAGGTCTTTTTCTACGCTCAGGAGGTTAAACACTTGTTTAAGATCAAGCATGGGAAATTCTAGACTATCTAATCTAGCAAGAATTCATATTCTTAGAGACAGAGCACAGTGTCTGCCAAGAGATAAAATTGCCAAGATTTTGTAAATGCATCCACGAGCCCCAGAATATTCCATTGTTGTAGGACAGATATTGTTGAATTGTTCTTTTTTAATCATAAGATATTTTTTTTAAAGTACATTTTAATTCTACTTAAAGGAATTGAAATTTTGCCAGAAACTCTGATATTTTAATCCCTTTAATTTTATCTTTTCAACCCAATGTCGTAGATATCAAACTTTGAATTCTTTTGGTAAAATATTCCAAGTTTGAAATATCTAATGTTTACACCACTCGGTGCAAAGATTTAGGGATTAGAAAATTTGAGTTTGTGGCAAAAACTCAGTTCCAAATCTAGAGAAAATTCTGAACCTGGCAAATTTCTAACTGATTATCATATTTGATAACTAACAAGATTTATCTTCTTTGACAGAAGTTCTATAAAATCGAAAATGAATGTTGGTTAGATCAATCATTAATTCAATAACTTCAAGAGAAAAGGTAACATTATCTGTCCTTTTTCAATGTAGATGATTGAATTTATTATTTACCTATGTACTTTTATGTTTTTTTTTCCAGAAACTATAAATGATTATTTCTTGCAATACTTAAAAGTACTCTTTTGCGATTCGCACACATATTAAATGAATTGACTCATATCATTCATTTTACATCTGTTGGAAGTATGAATTTTGTAAAAACACAAGAACAAAAAATCGATTTGAATTGAACACAGCCAAATCTGCATGCAACAACTTAAAATTTCCTTTTCGACTTCAAACCCTTAAAAAACACTTTTGTTTTTGAAAAATTTTTCGAAAACGGGGGGGGGGGAACCCCCCCCTTAACCCCCCCCCCCCCCGACCCTTACAAAATAATATATAGCCCTCCCCTAGCAAAAGTCCTATGTTGCGCCTCTGTTAAAGGACATTAAACTTGAAATATTTAATTCAGCTGAAACTTTTTACTTTGATTTACAAAACTTTGATACTTCATTTATGCCTATAACGTGACTTAAGATTCTTAAAAAATAGTTTTATATGGAAGGATTAGACACTTAAAAAAAATAATGTTGAAAGGACAAGGATTTCGAGGTGGCTCGGACGAGAAAATGAGGAGAATGTGGCTCGGACAAGAAATTGTTGTGGTTGGCCTTCCTCCCCTCGTTATAGAAGACTTCAATACCCCTGAATAAAGTGTTGTATGACCTCTTGCATAAATATCGAAATTTGCATAAAGTATTTTGTAATTTTAGTGTACACAATCCTAATATACAGTATATACACTATATTTAGTACACGTGTACGTTAAAATTACCGATCAGTCAATTTCAAATACATTGAAACTTGAAAGTGATTGGTGATTCCTTATCATTCATAAAGAAGGCCTATCAATCCGCGTAAGAAACCTGTGGATTATAGTTTGCGTGTGAATTTAATTGCATTTGTGGGTAAATTAATCGGGAACGCTTTTTGAAAGCAATTTACTTATATGAAATTTATGAAATACTTTAAATATGAAATATAAAATTGGAGATAAGGGACCGGTGTGGCGTTATTTCTGGGTAAACGTTAAATAATGGTAGTAGACTCTACGCAGCAAATTTTCCGCGGCATTCGTGCAAAATTCTGTGAATGTAAACAGTAAATTGAAAGTGTTTCTCATATTTGAGAATCAATCAAGTTTTGCTGAGCGACAGACAGTAAAAATCAATTGTTTTAACATTAGGGATCGATATTGCTTAGTTTACGTTAATTAATTGTTAAGATTCTGATACTTGCAACTAATGAGAGTTTAATATATAGTTAATTATACTTCTGTACTCACATTATATATCAGCATATAGTGTATAAATATAATTTCTAATTTTGAAATTACAGAAAAAATACCAGATTTCTGTTGTGCACATTGCCGTAAACTGCAAAAATATGCGCGGATACCGCGGAAAATTTGCTGCGTAGAATCTACTACCATTATTTAACGCTTACCCAGAAATAACGCCACACCTGGAACGGAATATTTAGTATATTCCTAGAGAACGATTTTTGGACCCCCCTTGGCCACCCCCCCCCCTCCTATCAATTTTGTACATGGATCTTACAGAAAGTGACTTAACTTGACCTAATCCGTGGCCGCAGCGCTCGGCCCCCTATAGCCTGTCCTAGCCGCAGCGCTCAGCCCAGAAAGTGTCTTAACTAACCTAACCTGTGGCCGCAGCACTCGACCCCCTAGCATGTCCAAGCCACAGCGCTCGGCCCAGAAAGTGTCTTAACCTTACCTAACCCTAAATAATACTAAAGAAATATTAATTTGGTCATTTACAAAATTGATAGGAGGGGGGGAAGGGGTCCAAAAATTGTTCACTAGGACAGATCCGAATATTTTTTATATTGTGTGTATTAGATATATTTTGATGTTTTCTAGTACTATTGTACAAAAACACTTAATCGAGCAAATCAATGGTACCAAGAATATGTCGGTAGAAAACGTCTTTGGAGTGATAGGTGATATTAGTTTCTTACTGAACTACTTTAGGACCTTTTAACTGCCGAATTCCGCCCCCCTCCATAAACTTTGTACTTTTATAAATACGAATTTTGGAGCCCCCCCCCCTTAAGTACTTTACAACTTATATACTATTTGTATTTATTTATTATTTCAGGGTTAGGTTAGGTTAAGACAATTTCTGGAGCGAGCGCTGCGGCTAGGAAAGGCTAGGGTGCAGAGCGCTGCAGCTAGGACAGGCTAGGGGGCCAAGCGCCGAAGCTAGGACAGGCTATATGTGTTTCATATGAGATCCTGTACAAAATTGATAGGTCGAGGGGGAGAGGGGGGTGATATCATAAAATCGTTCTCTAGCTGATATTACCATTTTGGGTTCATTCCGGTATACAATTTTTGGACCCCCCCCCCTATCAATTTTTCACATGACCACTTCTTTTTCAGCTAAACTATTATATTTTATATTTTTTACTATTTTAGGGTTAGGTTAGGGTAAGACAAATTTACCAATTAGTTTAAATCAAGCTCATTTTTCTATTATAAATCTCTTCAAGAGTGAATATGAATGGTGGAGTAATCAATGAGAGAGGAAATCAAGGAGTGGAAGAAATAAATAAACAATTGAGGAACTTTAATCCCAACAGCAACAACATTACTAACAACAACAACAACTATGGCAAGAATAACATCAATGATGGAAACAATCTTCAGCATAAGAAATATAGGGTATGGTTTTTTAACTCAAATATTTAATAGAAATTTCTTTACAAAAACAGTTTTTGGTATTCAACAATTTTCGTTGAATCTAAAAACGTATTTATTCAAGTCCATGTTAAACCCTGCTTCTTTGAAAGGAAAGTCATGAAAGATTAGAACCAACAAGAATGCAAACCCCCAGGGGATTCAATGTTAAACCCAAGGGGGTTAATGATCCATTTTTTTGTCATTTTGTAGTAAATCTTAAGAATTTGGGTGCTTTCATTTTAAAGTTAGAGAGAAAATTGGAGAGAGAAAATTGGATCCTTTATCATTATAAAGGATAACCCCCTTCTCCTTGTATTTCTTTATGTATATTTAGTAAGGATGTAGAAGAAAAACACCACACAATGTCCAGAATGTGTGGATTAGGCTTTTGGTTCTTTGTCAAAAAAGACTACATTTAATAGTATGCATAACATCTTTACAATCTGACAGATAATTAAAAATTAAATGTGATTTGGTTTCTGGACTAACTGCAACTAATCGTAAAACCTTCCAAGTGAAATCAAGATATTTTCATAAAATTTCACTTATTTCTTTTTATATTTCTTTTATTTATATTTTTTGATGTTTTTATGCTTTGAATTATATCTGCATCAAATCCAGTTTGCCTAGATGCAAATCTAAATGGATTCTGTATTTTTTAGAAAATGCAACAAATCAAAAGGAAATATTTAAAGATGTCTATAGATTTTATAATTTAGGAATTCTATAAACACAGACACTAACATTCAATTTTCAGAAAACAATTCTATCAAGTTTGGTTCTAAAGTTAGGCAATGTTGGAAGTAAGGGACCTGGATCCTCAATGAAGTTCCACAGATTCTGATTCAGATCTGCACATGTGAACGCAGATTGTTATTAAAATCTGCAGAAAAAAAACAATTCTTTGTAGACTGTACATTCTATTGAACTGTTGCAGGTAGGAGGCCCAACTTCTAGATCCAGGGCAGGTCGAAAAAGAGGAACACGACATAAAAAGTAAGTATCAACTTGTAGTGGGGAGAAGACTCACAAACCATCAACTAGACCTTTTCTAAGGATACACAGAATTGGATACAATATTTACTTTCATGTCCTACAAACGTAATATCAAGTGATACTCCATTGACAGAGGGGCATGTTCAATTTACAACGGTAACCTTAAAAGCTCTGTCTAATTGAGAAGAATCCATATTTTTTGTCTTTAAAACTGTCTATTTTCATTAGTGNGTCCGAAATCCTCCAGAGCAAATAAGAAGTAATTTGTATTTGTACCTGGAAATTAAAGATTGAGCTAGTTAAAGATTGAGCTAATTAAAGATTCAACCAACTTAAGTTCATATTCCATTAGAGATTTAACAAAGTAAAGATTCAGTTTAGAAAAGATTCAACTGAATTAAAGATTTTGGTAAACTACAGATTATGACTGATAAAGATTCCTGTAGCTTAACTTCAGATTCAGGTAGCTGAAGAAATTCAAGAAGTTTTTAACCATATAAAGTGCATTCTGCAAGATCTTGAGACATTTTATAGAGCAATTATAAATTCACTAGTCTAGAAAAAGTATTAACCATTGGGTTTAGGACTTAAAAAGGAAAATATAGGATAGAAATACTAACCTCAAAGGTGGCTCATAAATATAAATAAAATACATTTTGACTATAGCTGGCCAAACGTCTTTAATTTAAAATTTTTTTTCAATTCCACTTGCAAAAGCCAGGCACTTTGGCTAGTTTTTAATATAATTGCTTTTTTGAAAATTACATCTCACTATTTTCCCACTGTTTACCTAAGTATTATGCAATATACATGTAGCTCGGGATGGATTGTTTCTACTTTTATGAAAAGCGATTGTTTCCTTTTGAAAACGATGAAATAAACGAAATACCTTCATGACCATGAACGATGACCCTTCGCTAACAATTGTTAAGAACTGTTAACAATCATTAACAACTGTTAACAACCTTTAAATAGAAAATACATTTTTTGTTCTGCCGAAAAAAATTGAAATTAATTGTCTTAAAACTTGTTTTCATTATCGAATTTTTAAGGAAAAAACTATAATTTTTTGTTATAAATTAAAATCAATCTTTTTTAAAAAACAATCGTTTATTTTCCAAAAAAGCAAACAATCTTTTAAAAGTTTTAAAAAAAGATTTAACAACCCTACATGTAGATTGTAAAATTAATTCTTTACCTTTTTCTAAAGCCTGATATTTTTAATGAATGTTTTTAATTCATATAAATAGAGTTTAATGATGTTCTTCTCCCTGTAGAGAGCAGGATCATGATAAGCATGACAAGGATGGAGGGGAACCTGTCCCCAAGGTTGTTCCTACAAAGCATGCTGTAATGATGCTTAATGAAATGTTTCCTCCACCTAATGCTCCTCAGTATAAGGTATAAACTTGCATTGTTTTCCACATTAAAAGGTATAAATTATTTATTTAAGCTTTATCAGTGGCTTAACCCATAAATGATGTAAGCACATGATTTTTGTGAATGGGGGATGTAACTAGAAATATAGAAGAAACATTAATTAGCTGATTCCGCATTAAATTTTCAGATTATGAATCTGAGTCAAATTATTATTTCTTAGGTGACTTCTCAAACTGGCCCTGCTAACAATCCAACTTTTTCAATGGTTTGCAATGTTTTTAATCAATCTTTTTCAGGTATCTCCTTAATTTTGCTATGAATTAAATATGATCTAAAATAAATCTTAAATTGTGAAATGAACTTTACTTCATAAGTTGTCTTCTTCAATTAAAAATGATGATTTAAAATTTGCTCCTGAAGAAATTCTGTATGTATTTAGGTTTATTAATTTAAACTCCTTACAAAATTCATGTCAGAAAGAAATGTTTCTGAACTTTAATGTAGACCATTTCTGGCTCATTCAATGTCAATTCAATTTTAGGTTTACATTTTCTAGTTTATTTTTTTTGGTTTAATTTAAACGTAATTATTAACATAAATATAAACATAAAAAGTTGTAAACCATTTCAAGCAAATTTCATCTTGTATCTTCGTTATCTTAGTAAGATATATTTCAGATATATTTCAAAAACTTTTTTGCTACTCAGGGGAAGGAAAGTCTAAGAAGGATGCCAAACTAGCATGCTCACAGAGTGCATTAAATGCTTTGATTGGGTCAAACTTTGTGCCTTCAGGTTAATTATATTGTACATTTATAAATCAACATAAAATAATTGTTTTATTTGTTTATTAATATCTTCTCTGTTATGTAGATGAATTTGGATTGTCTCAGAAACCAAGAGAGATATCTGAAATAGATGATTGGGTTGAACTGGAGGGAAAGAATCCTATATCAATCCTTAATGAGCTTTATCCTGGGACAGGATATACACTTGTATCATCCAATGTAAGTAATCCTGACTGAATTCTACCTTGTCCTTATGATCCCGAGCTGACATTGCCATGAAATTGGAAATAGAAGTTTTACTTCAAAAAAAGTCAGATGTTCTTTCACCGAAAAATTCAAGACTTAGATTTCATACTGAATTTTGTTTAAAGTGTCTCTATGCCTTATTAACCCTTTTTGTGCCTTAATACACTTCAGTCATGGGACTCAATTTATTGGAATGATAAAACTTCAGGTTGTCTCAAAATAAACTGTTGTGTTAGCTAGAGCCTTAATTTTAGAGCAATCTGGACGATTTGGACTTTTTTGATATCTACTAAATATTTTTTTTTGTAAGAATTTTATTTGCTGATATCACAAATGTCCAAATTCGTCATTATTTTTCTAAAGTAAGGCTCAAACTACCACTACAGTATTTTTTTGAGACACCCTGTAGTAAATATTGTTCACGATTTATTTATTAACTAAGTTTTTATTGTTGTCCAGGGACCTAGCCATCTTCCTGACTATGTAGTTAAAGCAACCCTTGGCTCTGTGTCAGTTGAAGGTAGAGGGAAGAGCAAAAAAGATGCCAAACTTCATGCAAGCAAAGCACTTTTAGTCCATCTCCACCAGGTGCAGTGTTGATTATTTATGTAAAAATCTAGTTGCCATTTTTACGGGTACATAAAACATATCTTATCCTAAAATTCTCCCCTTAAAAAGGTCTTCAAAATCTTTAAATTACCCTGAAAATTTTAGTAAAGTTTTCACCTGTGTGAACGTTCTTTTAAGCCTAATTTTTTTTGATCAGGTTGAGTTTGATCCAGTTACAGGTGGCTTACTACCAGGAAGTGTGAAGACAGGAGCTGAAAAGTCTGAGCTTAGAGAAAGTCACTCTAAAGCTGATGAGGTAGGCACACCTTGTTGAAAATTCAAAGACTCCTGTTTTGATTTTGATGATTTAGATTGGTCGTCTTGTAAACTCCAAATTTAACTCAGTCTTTCATCAAACAACATATGCTAAGCGGAAAGTTTTAGCTGGAATTGTAATGGACAGGTAATAGAATCATACAATAAATATTAACATTAATTGAAGTCAAAATATTTTTGGTCTTAATTTATTCATATGCTATGCATGTAAAAGTAGTTTCTGCCCATGATCACCTTATAATGTAAGCATCATTGTGCAATATTGTATAAAATGAGGGTTGCCCAAGATGGGACTTCTTGCAGATCTCATCTCACATAATCACATAATCACAATGTTAAGATGCTGTGTTCAAACTAATTTATTAAATTAGTGGGTGATATTTGTTTCAGAAGATACTAGATGGGAAATGTTTTCCTATTTCCTGAACAAAAAAAAACTAGAAATCTTACTTGAATGAGGGGGGGGAGTCCGGAATTCCTCAACGAGTGATCACCACCACCCAAATGTGTTTTGCGGCAAGCGCGCTCCTCAATTGCTAATCTCCACCACCTCAATTGGTAATCAGCCAAAATAAGTGTAACAATAATACAAAAATCTAAACACTGTAAAGGTTTTTTGAAAATATCTTTTAAATGGAGATGGATATTACTTTGCATGGGATGAGATAATTTTTAGCACACAGGCAGCCCGACCTTTTAGTATCTTAACACCAATCATGAAATGCAGTCGTTAAATGAGCGAATTGGATCTAAGATTTGGCTAAAATGAACCGTGCCTTGATTCTCAGCTTTTGTTGACCAAACAAATCTGAAAACAATTTGAAAATTTATTTTAAGTCAATACAGATGCCATAAAACCCCGATACATGTCGAAAATTGTGTTAAAAGTGCATAAAATCAAAATCTCAGAAAACAAAGTTGTACGGTGATTACTAATTGAGGTGGTGGAGATTACCAATTGAGGAGGGCGCTTGCCGCAAAACACATTTGGGTGGCGGTGATTACTCGTTGAGGAGCTCTGGACTCCCAAACCCCCCCCCCCCCCCTCCTAGAACTGAATACCTGTCAAGTAATTAGACATGAAATTAATTCCTAGCTTTAAAAGAAGTTGTTTTCTTTTATATAATTGTATCTAATCACAAAGATTAAGGTTATTATAGATATTTATTTTTTCTATGAAATTGAACAATTTACTGGAACTTTATCAGAAAACAACTTTAGTGTTAAGTATTAGTACTCTACAAAGCTGAATCTTGAAAACCAGTGTGGCTTTTTTAAACAGGATAAGTGCTTGATCCTTCAATTTGCATGTTATATCTTCTTGCAAGAGAAATTAATTTAATCCAAGAGTTTTAAAGTAAGATTTAATAATTTAGGATTTCATTATTAAAATCATATTAAAAATTATATACTGCTTAGGGAAGGAGAAATGAGTGTTGTTTGTGTAAGCACTGGAACCAAGTGTATCAATGGAGATTATCTCTCGCGGTCTGGATCATGTCTTAATGATTCTCATGCAGAAATTATTGCCAGAAGGTAAAGATCTAAAAATATATACTCATATTATTGCTCTACAAATTACAAAATAGATAAAGCTTGCATTTTTAAATATTCTGAAGAATTAAAAAAAAAATTTGCCTCAACTGTTTTAAGTTTTTTCTTAAATTTTTTGAAATCTAAATTGGCATAATAAAGGGTTGATAATATCTGATCTACATAACTTTTTATTTATCTTTAATTCTTGATAATTTTAACATTCTTTAATAAGATAAAAAATTCTGTGAATTTCAGTGTTTTGTTATTGTGCATAGAAAAACAGTTGTAGAGACGTAGAGTAGTCAAATTTGGCATTTCTTCTGCAAGACTAGTTTTGTTTGTGACTATTTTCTTTTTTTCTTTTCTTTTCTTTTTTCACTCTATTATTTCTTTGATTTGCTAAAACTTTCTTTGGTTTAATTAGTTTTAAATGTTTCAGAAGTTTCTTGGTATTTCTGTACTCTGAGCTGATGAAGGCTGGTTCTCCTGGAGAGAATAGTATTTTCTATCCTGCAACAGGTCTTAAACTAAACGTATTTTTATTATTGAATAGAACATTTCTGGACTAGAGTCATCAGGGCTGGGAAATCATGTTCAAACTTTTCTTACTCTGTTAGTTAGCATTTAGCTAGCTTAAAGGAGCAGACAAGTTCATTAATCAGCTGTTATTTAAACAATAACAAAACTTTAAGCTTAGTTAATGTTTTTTTTCTGTTTATGTCAGCTATTACAATTTTTTAACAGCAACAATGGCAGAAATACATACATTAATTGTTTTCAGGGTTTGTATTTCCGAAAATGCAGACCTATTTATTTAGAAACATCATTACACTAGAAGAAAAATTATTTGTTAGAGTGTTTCATTCATTTTAAGCCATCTAAATTAATGAAATTTGCAGTTATTTTTAAAGTATTATCTTATTTGCAATAGGTTTGGTCCATCACCGTCACCAAACTTTAAATTTACTTGAACCCTGAAGGATCCTATAAATTCCTTATAAAGTAAATACTAGAGGTTTGGTCAAAACTGCAACACACATAAATTCTTTTTCTTTGAACTCTATCTGACCTTGAAAAACCAGAATGGTATCCTCTACACATCATTCCACAAATAACCATCAAATTTTCTCTAATGATGAATCAAGACTCTGCTATAATCTACTGATGTCTTTCACAAGAAAGTTTCACTCCATAAATTCAAATAGAGTGTTTCTACAAGAATGTTTAAGAACTGATATACAGCCCAAATTTTTATTTTGAATAATCTATTTTTTTTGGGGGGGGGGGGATTTTAACAAACATTTTCTTATTTTTTTATCGATTTTAATGGTTAATCATTAGAAATGAGGGTCAACCCAGACCGAAATATATTTTCAATAAATGTGGAACTAACATCTACTTTTTTACTCTACAGAGGTTTGGACCATCACCGAATTTTTAATGTTATTTTTTAATGTATGGTTCATTTGATTTGCTAATATTTTGAAAATTAACAGATTTTTTAGTTAATCAACTGAATTTTCCATTTAATTTTAAGAACTGCTAGGTTTTAACAGTACCTTCACTGTTTCAAAAGTTATTTTTTTTAAATTAAAGATGTTGGGTTAGAATTGAAGCCTGGAATTCGGTTCCATTTATTCATCTCAACTGCTCCTTGTGGAGACTCCAGGGATCAATCTTATAAAAAAACTCATCTCATGGCCAATATTTCAAAGAAAATGGAATCAAAATGTGAATTTGATATTTTTGCCTTTTTTTGTGTAAGATAGAACTAGAAATTAAGGGGAAGAAGAAGTATTTAGAAGTAAGATAATAATTATATTTTATGATGTAATTAAAAACTAAATGGGGTTTGACACTACCTACTAGTACTTGAGTCTATAAAAAGTTAAGTTTAAGATTAGATAATTTTAACCAGGATCTTCTCCCTTCATGAAGAAGCTTCTGAGGATATAAATCTATTGACCGGTCCTACAGGAAATTTATCCAAATTAGTTTTTAACATATCTGTATAATGTCAAACAAAAGTCTTTTTCACTAACCCCCCCCCCCCCACCCATGAAAAAGAGTTATTCTTGTCAACTGTCATGTAAAATTAAAAAGAATTGAGTCTTTGTTTCAAATTAAAAAGTTTCTAATCCCTCTTTCTTGGTACCTGATGCTGTATACCATTAATATTTCAACCTTAGATATTATATTTAACAGAATTCATAATTTGAAATATCTAAGGTCTAGGAAATGGAAAGAAATAGGGATAAAAAATCAGTATTTGTTATAAAAAATCAAAGTTCTCAAAATCAAACTTACGTAAATATTAGGAAAGGGTGAATCTTAACTTTTGACCAAAGAATGACTTGAATTACCACAATGCAAATGTTTGTCAACAACAACAACAGTATTTACTTATTTATGTAAAAATGTCTTGAAATGGTTGAATTAACTAGGAGATTGTGGAGATGGATCGAGAGGAAAACTAAGATGCAAGGTATTTTGTAATTTTACAATGATGAGTTTTACCACCAAGTGTTATTTAAGAGAAAGATAAAGACTGCGACCAAATCTACATTGTGCACAAAAATTGCCTTGAAATACATTAAATGTTATGACTGCATATCAAGTGTTACAAGAGAATAAACCATTTAAAGGTAGTTGCTTGAGACACAGTTGGCCAGGATGTATCACAAATGCACTGGCTTTAAATATTGTGCATTAGCCAGGATGGATTCCAGGCCCCATGTAAATTGTTGATGCACTACACCCTGAGGGCTGTCTGAGGTTCAATGTCATTGTCGGGTTTCCTTTCAGATCTTATTATAAAAACTAGACAGGGACAAATTTATTCCTATCGTTGTTAGTTTAGATCACTTTGAATTAGATTGGCTGCAAAGTTATTGCGTTAACTGAAGAATTTTTAAAGAATTGTATACTGATTTGTACTGATTTGACGAGTGCACAAATGAAATAAACTCTAAAAAGATAAAATAAAATTAACAGGAAAGATTAAATGTTCATTTGATTAGTTTTAATGTTTCATCAAACTGACACTGGAAAGGTGAAAATTATGACATATAGAATCTTATTATTATTTGATAGGTAATTATTTATTATATTTTTGATAATCAATGTTTTCTAATTTATCAAGATTGAGAGTGGTATGGGGACAATTTCTCTGCCAGATAATTCAACCATGGTTCAAACTTGGGATGGAGTCTCTCTAGGCAAGCTTACTTCAATTCAACTTAAAAATTTGTTCACTCTTCAAATAATAATTATTTATTTCAAGTCAAGTGTAAATTCCTTTTTTTATTTGCAGGAATCCTATTGTTTTTAAATTATGATTATGTTTAGGAGCTAGAATATATGGAAGCTTAAGCTTCCATATATTCTAGCTCCTTATACAATTATCTTAGGCTTACTCGCGAATCAAGACTAGACATCAGGAATTAATGCAGTCGTTATTTATGGTTCCCTGAAACTTTAAATTATGGAAATACTACAGGGTGTCCCAAAAAAACGATCTTTAAGACATTGTAGCACTCACTATGGTTCAATTTTAAAAAATTTGTACATTTTTGAAATCTTTGGAACATTTCCGAGCCATTGAAACCAGTAAGAGGTTCATAGCACTAAAATAAAGGAAGTATTGACTGTTTGAAGTTTGCTATTTTGGCTTGGTTGAAAATCCAGGTACAAAACTGTATCCTTCTTGGTAAATCTTCAGGTTTAAGTTCCTCCCTTCTGATTGGCCAATATGGGGGATATTTCATATTGCTTGCTATCCTTGACCTAGCTGGACTTTTGTCTAACATCAAAGAGTTTCTTCTTGCAGACCTCATAATAAAAGTATTTCTAGCTCCAATGTGTTTGGCAGCATCTCTGTTCATTACTGCAGCTACCCTGACAACATTTCTAGGAGTTCTGACATGTCGGGATCTTCCACTGGATGTATTTCCAGGACTCGCCTTACTATTCACATTGAGTACTGTCCCCTACTCTATTACCTTTTTATAAATTCTTCTTTCATGACTTAAAGGAGGCTGTCTTGCATTTGGAAATTTGCGCCCAAAGTCCATAATAAGACCAGGCATTACCTTTAGTTCTGTGACCCTTTCTTTTGTGGTACTCAACAGCAAGGAATTATTACTTTCCTGTGTTGTAAACTGAGGTCTTGCCATTACTTAACAATAACTGCATTTTTAAGATTGTTTAAAAGATTTGCATATTTTTCAGACCCTAATAAGATTCCATAATATGTTTAAAATTCTAAAAAAATGATATATGAACTCAACCAAGCCAAAATGACAAACTTTAAACGGTCAATACTTTCTTAATTTTAGTGCTAGATACCTCTCATTGATATCAATCGATCGGAAATGTTCCAAAGATTTCAGAAATGTACTTTTATAAATATTTAACCATAGTGAGTGCTACAATGTCTTAAAGATCGTTTTTTTGGGACACCCTGTATATTGAAAGCAGAATGCTTAGTTCAAACTTCAGAATTTATTTGAAGATTTGAAGGTCGTCATTTGGATCCCATCCTTTTTGGGTGATCGCTGTAGAGCTTAATTTTGAATTTAATGAATAAATCGATATTTTAATTCAGGAGAAAAGCTTCTCACCATGTCATGCAGTGATAAAATTCTCAGGTCACTCAAAATTAAGTATTTCTTCTTTAATGTTGATAAAGACCTCTTTTTAAGGGTCATCATTAAAACAAGACTTTAGAACCTTTTAATATGAAAAACGGGATCAGTCACTAAACACAGAAGATTCGGTTTTAGTCAAAAATTTATATTTTACCCAACAAATCCTTAAGGGCTAATAGTTGTTAAGAAGCAGTAGCAAAGATTATATTGTTTCTCTAAGAAGTATATTTTTTTGCAAAAATAGTATATTTCCGCGGAAAAGGTTTTGACAACTGATTAAACCATGTTTACTTTAAGTTGAATAAGCCCTTGAAGTTTCAAAGTAAATAAAGATGACAGTTCATCATTTTATGCCTTTAGAGTTAAAAATATTTGCTTTTAGAATATTTCTTATTTTAATAAAAACAAATTTGTCAGGTAAAGTTATTATTTTAAGTATTTTTATGTTTTTAAAATTTTAGCCAGATGGAATATATTATACTAGCCTTAGAGGGCCCTTCGCGACCATTTTCTAAATTAGTTGTGAACATGTTCTCTTTGTGTACATCGTAAAACAAAACAAAAATAATTCGCGGATTTTCACAAAAAATTTCGCGGATTTTCAAAATTTTTAAAAATTTAATGACGATCGAATTTTGATGGAGACAAATATTTGAAATTTCAATCATTCATAAACCTTCCCTGGAGTCCCTAGATGTCCCACNCCCCCCCCGATGGATATATTTAACATTTCCATCTACCCCCGGATTGATATTTTAAACATGTCCATCGACCCACAGATTGATATATTAAACATGTTCATCTACCCCAAGATTGATTTATAAAAAATGTTCATCTACCCCCAGATAAATATATTTAACATGTTCATCTACCCCCAAGATTGATTTATAAAACATGTTTATCTACCCCCAGATAAATATATTTAACATGTCCATCTAACCCCAGATAAATATTTTTAACATGTTCATCTACCCCAAAATTAATATATCAAACATGTTCATCCAACTCCAGATTGATTTATAAAACATGTCCATCTATCCCAGATGGATTTATTGAACATGTCCATCTAACCCCAGATAAATATATTAAACATGTCCATCTACCCCAAGATTGATTTATAAAACATGTTCATCTACCCCCAGATAAATATATTTAACATGTTTATCTAACCCCAGATAAATATATTAAACATGTCCATCTAACCCCAGATTTATATATTAACCCTATCTCTGCTGGGGTACTTGAAAACCAGGATATGCTGGGGGGGGGGTCAATTTGACCCCCCCCTCTAAATCCCATGTTTGGTGTCCAAATATGACAAATGATACATCATTNAGATTGATATATTAAACATGTTTATCTACCTCCAGATTGATATATTAAACATGTTTATCTATCCCCAGATTTAAACATATTTAAATATTTATTTTCCCTTTAAAAAACAAATTCATCCTACTAATATTGATAAAACAGATTATTTATAATCCAAACAAGCCCAGTTAAAGCAATTAAGATTTTTTTAAATTCTTTAAAAATCTACCTCTTATTGTTCTTCTTCCCCCAGATGGAATATATTGGGGTGCCAGGGATCTCTGCTTTCACACTTTATCCCACCTATTTACTTCTCTTCTATAACTATTGGTTCAAGGTAGGATTTAACATGGTTTCATAGAATAAACTTTTCCCCTAATTTTTTATAATTTCAATTGGGGCTCAAGGATTGTAAGGCAAGGAAAGTTATTTCAGAAGTGTACACATCTTTTGTACTGCAGTGTATTGTCTCTGGGCGGTAATGTAAACACAAGACGGATGTTGAAGCCTGCAATGGAATTCATCTTTCACATAAAAAATCGATGAAATATTCTGGTCATAGGAAACTACTATGTGAACTATCAAAATTTTCAAAATTTAATGCTTTTAGATACTAAACGAACACTGATGCATCTATTCTTGTTTACAAATTCCGCCCAAAGAGAACTGGTTTCAACCGCAATAAACTTTCCTTGCCTTACATTCTTGTTAGGGCTCAGAGCTATGAACTCTTGTATTGTGAATATCCAGATTAATCCTTGATCTCGATCTTAAGTGAATCTGAAAATTAAGTTAATCTTTATTCAATATCCAGAGTGTAATTGTGCTGGAAATGAAGAACCTAAGCATTGATTCTCAAATGAAAAGTGCCCACATGGATCAGGATTACAGTACAGTACAGTACAATACAGTACAGTACAGTACAGTACAGTACAGTACAGTACAGTACAGTACAGTACAGTACAGTACAGTACAGAACATTACAGCAGTACAGAACAGTACAGTACAGTACAGTACAGTGCAGTGCAGTGCAGTGCAGTAGAGTGCAGTGCAGTGCAGTACAGTACAGTACAGTACAGTGCAGTACAGTACAACAGTACAGTACAGTACAAAAGTACAGTACAGTACAGTACAGTACAGTACAGTACAGTACAGTGAAGTGCCCACTATGGATCAGGATTTTGAGTATCAAACACAAAAGTTCTGAGCTCACCTGGTAAATATGGATCTAGCCCTTTTTGTAATAAATACATATAAATAATAATTATTTAACATTTTTATTTTTATTTTCAATTTTAATTTATCACTAATTGTTTTAATTGTTCAAATATTTCACACATGAACAATACAGTAAGCACTAGAAAACTGTGGACTTTTGAAATTATTGAATAACTTATTTAGTGAAATGGGTCAGTTGACTCTGTAAAATTGCTGTCTCTCATCATGTTCATTGGACTATTTAATGTAATAAATTAAGCCTTAAAATTGTCTTTCAATTCCAAAGTTTTCAAGTTCTCATTATCAGTTGAAAATCAAGGATAAAATTTTTAAAAAACTGAAATTTCCCATTTCTATCTTTAGATTTCATCCTGGACACATGGCTCGGGCATTTTATGATCGGTTTGATGGTAATGACATTCTTCCTTCAGGATACAGGATTAATAAACCTCAAATACTAGGTGCTAAAAACTACCTTTTCTAATACTACTAAATATGTACTCATTTATATTAAAAATTTGAAAACCTTTTGAAAATTAACAAACTTGCTAACATGTGATAAGGAGTGGAATAATTTTGACGGTTTGACAGAAATATTAAGATAAAAAAAATCTATCTTGTTAAATGCTTTTTTTTAATATTGCACTTTACTTTGCTGGTGAGTGAATATCTAATATCAGAATTCATTAAGGAATATTTCATTTTCAACCTTGTGCCATAATCTAATATTTTGTTTATTTCATTCATAATTTTCGAAAACACCGGTTTTAATTTAAGGTGTACAGTGTACTCCATTATCTGAATCTAATAATATTTTGCCATCTCTTAAGATCTCTATTTTTAATTGATCTTTAGTAATCCAAAAAGTAGGCTTTAATGTTTTCAAGTGTAAAAGAACTGAGTTCTTGCCACAAACTCTGATTTTCCAATTCCTATATCTTTGCAACCCCATGTCGTAGACCTTCTACTTTTCAGCCATGAATTCTATTTTTATCAAAAAGTTTAAGGTTGAAACATGTAAACCACACCATTAGGTTGGAAAGATATAGGCATTCTAAAATTTGTGTGAATTGCAAAAACTTAGTTCTTCATTCAAAATATTTCTTAATCTCTAATAAATCTTAATTAATGTTGAGCCACAACTAGCCCTGAGTCCAGACAAGTATGGAAGGCTAGTGATGTGAGTGTAAATTGGATTACTGGTTTAGGTCCTGAAATGCTGAATGGATCTACAGGTATTGTTTTTAAAATTTGATGTTCACACATATACACTATACAGACCAGGACCCTGGATCTGCTTTGTTAAAGATTAACCCTGATCCTGATATAGTTGCGGATCGGGTTCAAATCTGTTTTCTAACATACAGGAGGGCACGGTTAAAACAGCCTCTGGCTTCCCACGCTCTCCTGGGCACTTCTGTTGAAATCTGTTTTTGTTTTTCATATTAAGTTGTGCCAAATAAATGGGGGGGGGGGGCACAAGTCGTATTACTCTTCGGAAAATTTAAACAGTGCATTGGTTATACATAACTTAGCATTGTCGTAAGACGCTGATTTTTTGCATGTGAACTCACTAATTTGTATTATAACTGCAAAATGCAATTTCAAAAAGATTGGAGAAAATTTGTGCGCGTGCGCTTTTTGTTATAAAAACGATTTTTTGCGCTTTCACGTGCTTTACACTGTTAAATGAACTTGAAATTGCATCAGGATATTAAATTAAGAAATTCCTGAAAGTTTTGCGCCCTAGAGCCTCAAGTCCCCACGCGCGCGCAATTAAGAAAAAATATTAATAAATATATTTTAATTCAAGTTGGGCCTAATTCAAAACAAAAGTAGCATTCGATATCTCAAACTACAGGTAAATTGGGACATGGAATTCATTTCCGAGGTCAAAATTGACTTTGGAGTATTTCGGAAAGAGGCCCAGGTGCCTTACAGACAGAAACCATTACACTAACTGCTCTCAATAATTTGTAAGCCCGGATTGGATAACTCCAGGTACCTATAGCTGACAACCACAGACTCTCTGCTTTTCCACCTTTCCTCTCTTCATCATCATTGACTTGGATCAATCCATTTAAAACTTCTTTTTGTTGAGAAAAATTCATGCACCCTTGCACTGCAAGAGTTGTTGACAGCTGCCCCTCAGTCCTCCACATCTGTCAGGTCTTTATACCGGCTTAACCAGATCATGGCTTTAGATGATTTTGAAACCACAGCTTTGTGTGGAGTTCGGGAATCAAACCTGTGAACACCAATCTGGATACCAATCTAGTCACTGGCTGCGGACATGTGTGCTCAGCTTCAGTGATTTAACAAGACCTGTTGTTGCACACTAGCCACCCCACCCCACAAAATCTCAATGTTAATATTATTGATGGAAAAGTGCAAAATGCATTAATTTTAATTGCTATAATGTCCCTTATTGTAGGGCAAACAGTGAATGGTCAACCATCCCGTTTATGCAAGCTTTCTTTGTCCAAGCGCTTCCGACAGCTTTTAGAGGAAGAAGATGTCACAACCAGAACATTTATGAATAAGGTAAGAAGGAATTTTTCTCACAGAAATTTTAAATAAACCAAAATACTATGAATTGATTGATGACTTAAAAAGTCGTTTTTGACCTTAGAAATAGTGTCAAAGGTCAAAGACAACTTTGGAATAGCACCAACAAGTGAAAAACAATCACAAAAATGATATGTAGCGGGGGTAAAAAGCTTGCCTTTAAATGTCCAATTTAAATTATTTTATCAGAGAATTGACTTTAGCTTTAAAGAAAAAGCACTCACCACATTAATTAAGTTGAAAGGTATCAGATGGCTGACCATAATTTTTTTTTTGGGGGGGGGGGGCTGGCCTCCTAAAAACCTTCCAGATGCACACTTAAGAATACAAAAAGTAACATCCAGCAAGTTCTTTCATAATTTTGTATTTTTCATTTTGCAGGATATCATGAATAAATTAGCATACTCCAAGCTGAAGGCAATGTCTCTTGACTACCAGGTACTCTCTCAAGTATTATTTAAAGCAGTGATTAGAATATTATAGAGGACGTGAGTCAGACTCTAATAGAAACGCATAAATAACTTCCAGTATATATATTTCTTATAACTTATTACTAGAGGGTTCAGAACTTGAGTCAATATCGATATCAAACGTGTTGATGTTTATCAGTACTATGCCCTGTATCTGTTCTATCTCATTCTGTTGAATCTTGTGGAACTNCCGGGAGCTTGACGGAGACTTTGGCGACGAACTCGGTTGGAGTTTCTTTCTTGTCGGTCATGATGCTCGGATGTATCACTTAATGTTCAAAGTTCAAGAAAATCACGAAACTGGATAGCGTTTAACTGTATGTTCAAAGTCGGGGGTCACCAATATAGAGGACGTGAGTCAGACTCTAATAAAAACGCATAAATAACTTCCAGTATATATATTTCTTATAACTTATTACTAGAGGGTTCAGAACTAGAGTCAATATCGATATCACACGTGTAGATGTTTATCAGTACTATGTCCCGTATCTGTTCTATCTCATTCTGTTGAATCTTGTGGAACTTGTTTAACGCGGCCAGGCATTGTCTTTCACAATATAATTAATATTGATCCGGATCTGAATCCTGAATCTACCTCATGGATCCAGGTCATGAAAATTTCTTCAAGAGAAAAAATAAGAAAATGAAATTTTTTTCTCGTCTATTTTTTGGTTATTCTTTTGTTGTTTAGTTTAAAGAATCTTTTCAGAGATTAAGAGGATTTAATAATCGCTCATTAGTTTGTGTTTTGAAAGCAAAAAGTTAATTTTATGGTAGGTTTTGAAAGATATTTTATCCCTTGGATGTGGATTCTTGGGATTTGTATCCAGGAAGCCAAAATGTTGCATATCCAACAGAGATCCGGATCCTAAGCACTGACTTTAAAAAGTCAGTTGCAGTTTTAGGGATGAGTTAGAGTATCTCTATACTCTCTAGTCTTGGAAACCAATTTTATTTTGATTTTTCTCTACAGAAACCTCGCAAATGATTGATAGCATATGAGTTTTGGAGAAATGCATTCCACCTTTCATTTTGCATAACATTAATCATTCCCTTTAGATGATCAAAAAATCTTGAATTTCTTAGTTATTCTGAACTTCCTTTTATAAGGGCACACTCTTCACATGCAATATTTTCGAATTTTCGCATTTTTTTTCTGCAAAAAAGATAAATGCGAAAAAATTGAAAGTTTAGAATTTTCGAAATTTTCGAATTCACAGACCGTTGATATTTTAAACTTATGATTCTGTTGATTCTGTTTGAAATATCAAAGATTACATTGTCATGTTTTAAAGAGAAATACGAGCTTGTTGCAAATAATCAGGTTCTTTAGATAAGGTTTTGGTTTTTCACACTGAATTTTGTGGTTACAAGTATATAGTGATGGCCAAAAACTTTTACAAGTTCCACAAAAATCGGAGTAGTTGGTTTTATTCTAAACATTTGCTATTTTTACACTATGATAGGGTTACTCTAAGATCTGAGATAAAGGGAAGAAGAGAACCGAAAACGATAGTTTTTTGATTAGTTCTTCTTTTTTATTTGCTTGTAGGATAAAATATTTTACAGAATACAGTTTTATAATGTTAGAATTTCTCAACTTAACAATTTGTGTGATGTCTTTTTACAATTACAAAAACAAAAAGTACTAGTTAGACGAGCCAAGTTATTGTCCAATACATAGTTCCAAGATGAAGATCAGAAGTTGTGAATAGCAACCTTAAATATTCTCCATCTCTGATATTTAAGGCTGTTAAGAGTTATATGGTGGCTAAGCTGAAATCTGCTGGAGCAGGTTAATTATCAATAAACTTTCTTAACTTTAATTATGGTCAGTCTGTCTGATAATAATAATTTAATAATTTAACAAGGAAAAATAAAACGAATATACAACAATCCTTATGTTATTTAAACTGCAGTATTCATGGACCCATTTTCTATTTTCATTGCTTCCTAAATGAGTACTTAATGTGTTGTAAAATTTCTTAATTGCTGCTTATTTCTTTGTATTGTAATATTTGTATAATGTCACTTAATCATTCATTTTTATTTTTTTTTCTGTTTTTATTTTAATTTACGTTTCAATTTAAGTTGGAATAGCAAGTATGCTTTGAATACTAAAAAAGTTGTTGATAACAAATTTTCTTTTAAGGGAATTGGGTGAAGAAGCCAGTAGAGCAGGATCTTTTTTTCATATAGGAACATTTATTGTTTAAAAAAAAAATCATAAAGCAAATAGTTTTATTGCTTTTATGCTAGAACATTGTTTTATGATTTTTCATCACGGGATTGGGAAAAGTAAATGACTATTTTAAGGCACAAATGAAGGAAGTTTATGGCAATAAGGTCATGGGGGGACAAGTGCAGTGGATGTCAAATATTTTTTCTCATAATCTTTGAAAATAGAGAAACCCATTTTTTTATCGAGTTTTTTATTAAAAAAATCTCTGCTGCTCTTGTTTTAATGGTTCAATAATGTTTCTAAAATGGTTAGGAAGGTCCCAGAATATCAACATTTAAAAATATACCAAGGCTTCACTTAACTCAGGAATTGATCATAAAAGTTTTCGATAAAGTTAAGATGTTTTCTAGAAAGTGGGGCCCATAAAACAGTGGAATAGGAAGACTGAAGAATTTGAATTATTAATGAACATGAAACACAGCAATAGTGTTTACTGTGTAGTGTTCCCTGATCCATTTCACTTTTTAATTGATTTTTATTCAAATACTTAAAAGACTATTTGCTTAATAACAAAATCAAATGCACATAAAATTGCTGAATTCTCGCCTTCCTATTCTAAAGTTTTGTGGGATCTTACTAAAGAAAAATTCTAAGTGAGAGTAAATTTTTAAGAAAAACTAGAAAAAAATGTTGTTTGCTGGAATTTCTTTCAAAGTCATGAACTTAATTTTTAATATTTTTTTTAAAATTATGATTGATTATAACTAGATGTGTTGCTCTGTTGCTATTTTGAAACCTACCCATGTAATACCTCAAACTGTTTTATACCCACTATCGCCGTGTATCTATATAAACAATTCGTATATGTGTCAATATTCTTTTATATGTAATTCAATCGTTCCATTTTTGGATTTTATATCAATACTCGTATATCCTCGTATTTCTTATTTTTGCCATGAGATGTTTATTGTTGAGATATTGAATATTTCACACACATCCACTATGCATCTTGTGAAGTTGTGCTGCTGGAAAAAAATGTATTTCAATTTGGTTTTCTTTGTTTTGCATTTCCTAGCACAATAATTAATTTATAATAATTTTGAAAGCAAACCAATTCTATACACTGTTCTTTCTACGATCTACATAATGTGCTGCATCTTGTGCCAAGTTAGAAGGATCTGATTGGAAGATTGGAATTTGTGAAGTAACATTTTTCTCAGAGTTTTTTATCCGTTGAAATATCTCCCTTTTATATGATATTTCTGTATTTACTTTATTTATTTTCAGATAAGATGACTTGGTAAGTGGTGAATATTTTAAGTAAACTATTAACCACATAACTGAAGGTCTTGAAGTCCTCAAAGGTAAACAACGAACGTAATGGAAAATAAGCCCGGGGGAGAGGANGTAACTTTGGGATCCGCATATTTTTGCCAGGAAGCCAAAATTGATCCAATGGATTGATGCTATCTCATTTGAACTACTCCCGTTTGAACTATTGTTCATTTGAACATTGTTCGAATTTGAACTGCTGCATGTGTGGTACCATGAGTAGTTAAAATGAACAATAGTTCAGACGAGTAAGTATATTGCTCATTTGAACTATTTTTCAGTTCATTTGAACCAGGCCCGTAGCCAGGATTTGACCAGGGGGGGTGCAACCTGATGCGCTGCAGGCGAAACATTTTTTTGGGGGTTTTTTATGGTTTTTTTAAACAATGTTTGGTTTGGTTTTACAGTGGTATATGGTTGTTTTTATTACATTGTCAATGCACACTATAAAGGCTAACCTTTTTAACAAGTGTATTTGAGCTTTCAAGGGAGTACTGCTTAACTAACAGAGCTAAGTAATCATTTATTACTTTGACTTTGCAATATGAAAATGATATGATCTTATTTCTTATTCATTTAAAAAAAAGCTTTTCAAGGGTCAAGGGGGAAACCCCTCACCACGGAAATGCCTCAAAAAAACAGACTCATAAAACATAGCACACAGGTCAAGGGGGCGGGGGGGGGCTAAAAGTCTGAAAGTGTACAGGAGATTACCATTTCATTTACATGGGACTCTATGCATATAATTAATAAATCATACTGTTTTAATTAGACTTAAACAACTATTAAATGAACATGAGTAAATTTTGATGTTGTGTTATATTTAATCAACAGAGTGTACTGATCAACTGTTAGTTGCGATAGGTCACAGGAAAGACATGACTCAGGGGATGAGTTGAGAGAGAGTACACAATAACTCCGTCACACTTTCAATGAGTATAAAGCACAAATAGATTATAATTTGGTTTGGAAATCAATTCTTACTCGGGCTATATAATTTATAACTAGATTTTAGAAACAATTTCTTTTATATGGGACTAGGGGGGGGGGGGTGCAAATTCGTCATTGCACCCCTCTTTCAGAAGAAAGGGGGGTGCACCTGCACCCTTGCACCCCCCCTGGCTACGGGCCTGATTTGAACTATTATTCATTTGAACTATTGATACTATATAGTAACCATACAGAGTCAAAAAATAATTTATTTGCTCGAAAAACTAACTTTAACTTTTTAACTTTCATTATACCACTTAAATCAATCACAGCCATGCCAGCTTGGCGCATCTAGTGTGGGTCTGTCCTAAATGATTTTTGGACCCTCCCACCCCCGTCCCTCACCCCCCTTCTATCTATTTTGTTCATAACCACTTATTTTTCATTTTTTTCAGAAAAATATCATTTATTTTTTATTATATTAGGTTAGGTTAAGACAATTTCTGGGCCGAGCGCTGCGGCTAGGACAGGCTGCCCCCCCAGTCCCTCTCCCCCCCCCTTCTATGTTCATGACCATGCTTATTTTTTATTTTTTCAGCAAAATATTAGTATTTATTTTTTTATTATATTAAATAGGACAGGCTAGGGGGCCGGGCGCTGCGGCCACAGGACCAAATAAATTTTTCGAATTTTGATTTTTACAGTAATTTCGCTTTAAGAATGTTTGCGGCATTTTTCTCTGAATGTTGTTTTAAACTCCTTATATAGAGAGGAAACTTTAACCCATTATTAGTGGACTAAATACTTCATTTTCAGTAGTGGGTGTGATGAGACTAATTTTTCAAAATTTTTTGTTCTTTCTATGCATATAATTAGTTTTGTTGTAGATGTTGAACTCGAGTAGGCGAATACAAAAATCTAAACACTGTAAAGGTTTTTGAAAATATCTTTTAAATGGAGATGGATATTACTTTGGGTGGGATAAGATAATTTTTAGTAAACAGGCCGCAGCCCGACCTTTTTTGTATCTTGACGCCAATCATGAAATGCAGTCATTAAAGTGGCGAATTGGATCTAAGATTCGGCTAAAATGAACTGTGCCTTGATTCTCAGTTTTTGTTGACCAAACAAATCTGAAAATAATTTGAAAATTTAGTTTAAGTCAATACAGATGCCATAAAACCCCGATAGATGACGAAAATTGTGTTAAAAGTGCATTAAATTAAAATCACAGAAAACAAAATTTTACGGTGATTACTATTGAGGTGGTGGAGATTACCAATTGAGGAGCGCGCTTGCCGCAAAACAGATTTGGGTGGCGGTGATTACTATTTGAGGAACTCTGGACTCCCTCCCTCATTCCACCGCCAATCAATTAATAAAACACTTGTAGCTGCTTAATGGAAGACGACTGAATAAGGATATAAAAGTTAAAGATGATTTACGTTGTTTCGCAAATCGCATCGGCAATCGAGGAGGGAATGGGGAAGGGTATTTTTTTGCCTTCTTCTTACTTACCTCTTACTTTATATCCGGCTGGCCTTTATAATTATTTGGTATTTTAAATATTATTTTAAAACAAAATCGTCATTCAGTGTATAATATATATTTATATATTTAGCCGGTTCCTTGAAACTGATATTATCATTTTTATTTTAAGTGTACACTCGAGTGTACAGACAGACAGAGTTCTGAGTCATTGCTTATCTTTGGCTCGAATAGGCGTCAACTTGAACTAAATCAGCGTTTATATACTACAGCTTTCTCACCGGTAAATGTCAAGAAATTATAAAGTTGATTTAGAACATAAAAATGTTCAAATAAAAGATAAATTTGTTATTTTCAGAAGTGGGATAATGTCTAAGAACACGAGTAGTAATGCCTTTAGGAGAATAGATGTTGATCAATATGCTGAGGATAATTATAAAGTAAGTTATAATTGCTCGGGGTCCTTTATAAGTGTTAAATATATACAATAAACATTAAACACTTTGAATTCTTATTTTTCTTCCTCGAAAGTTCGCAACGGCACCCTTTAAAACAAAAGAAACGGCCATGCATTATTAGTTTCATTTTCTCAAGTTGTTGGCTAAATCTAATCCAAATATTAAATAAATCATATAATCAATTGTCCAATCAATTATCTAATCAATTATCTAATTGATTATCTAGGAGGAGGTTGATAATGATTCTGTCGCTGCTGGTCCAAATGAAACCGACGTTATGGCACTTTTAGCACAAAACAAGTAATTTGAATTTTTCGAGTTCAGTAGGAAAAGATTTCAAATCTTTCGAAGAATTAAAAATAATCGCTAATATTTCTTATACAAGGAAAGAATTAATTTTTAAGGAAATTTTTCATAAATAAAACCTTTGAAAATGCATGGAGGTTTGTTGTCCCAAAGTCTCCAATTTCTTGTTTAAAATATTTTTATTTGCAGGCAAGCTGAAGCTTTGAAGCATGTTCTTTCAAATGCACCTTTAGGCAGCAATAACCAAGCTGTTAGAGTAAGTTTTTATTCTTATATTTTCAAAAATTCATAACAAAAATTTACTTAAAATTACAATGTTTTCGACATAAACATATTCTACAATTTTGATCGGTAAAACAAAACCTATCTGTAATTGGACTTTAAACAACCAAGTTAAAACTTGTATGAAAGATTTAAGAGCAGGTTCCGGATCAAAATGTTAAATCCTAGAATAACATCTGGATTGTTTAGGACGCTTCGTTCTCCCTTGTCCTCCGTGTGCTCCTGTCCTTCAAGACCTCACAGATCGACGAGGCCGTGAAACAGCTGGACAACGAGACGAGGGATATTCTTATGAAATATATTTACAGGTAATTCTTATTTTTAATTTTAGAAAGTTTTAATGATTCACCAATTATAAATGTACTCCAACTAGCAGTCAAAGAAAAGTTAAATTTATCATTTACAAAACAAAAAAGAACTCGAGGGAGTAATTTTAATTATTAATCTCTTCATGACGAATTTGTAGGGATTCGACGGATTAAGTTAAATCTTTTTCTTTAATATTATCTATGCTAAAAACAAATCTGCTCTTGACCAATGAGAAATTTCAGAACAAAAAATCGCTTGAAATGAAAAGTTTCGGCTGTGGCATTAAATATTGGAGGCTCTGTTTTTTTCCCTCCCTAAATACTGGTAGACTTCTAATTTTTAATTTCCAAATGTTGCAGAGGATTCGAGGTTCCTAGTGAAGGATCTTCAATTCAACTTCTAGTTTGGCATGAAAAGGTAATTCTTGTAAATAGTTGATCTTTGTTCTTGTACATGGTAGATCTTTGTTCGTGTATATAGTTGATCTTTTTTTCTTGTAAATAATTGATCTTTGATCTAGCAAAAAGCTGATCTTTGCTCTTGTACATATTGGATCTTTATTCTTGTAAATAGTAGATCTTTGTTCTGGTGTTAAATAGATATTTGTTCTTGAAAATAGTAGATCTTTGATTTGTAAAAAGTAGATCATTGTTTTTTTAAGTAGTTGATCTTTGTTCTAGTAAATACTAGATATTTGTGCTTATAAATAGTAGATCTTTGTTTTTTATAAATAATTGTAGATCTTTGTTCTTTTAAATTGTAGATCTTTGTTTTTGTAAATAGTAGATCTTTGCTTTTGTAAATAGTATATCTTTGTTTTGTAAATAGTAGATATTTGTTTTTGTAAATAGTAGATTTTTGTTCTTGTAAATAGTAGATTTTTGTTCTTGTAAATTTGTAGATCTTTGTTCTGGTAAATAATAGATATTTGTTCTTGTAAAAAGTAGACATTTGTTCTTGTAAATAGTAGATTTTTGTTCTTGTAAATCAGTGCTTAGGATCCGAATCCAAAGGTGTAAAATATCAACCAAAAACTGCAAAAAAAACTTTTTTACTCCTAAACCCCAAATCTGAAATTTTGAAAAAAGAGAGATTATAAAAATTTCCTCATTTCTGAATGGTTCATCAAGTTTTAGGATAAAAACGAGCGAAAAAAATTTAATTATTTTTTGTTAGACAGTACATTAAATTCTAAAGAAATGACCTGGATCCGGATCCGGATCCATTTTTTCCAGTGCGGATCCAGGATCCGGATCTGCATCAAAATTAAATGGATCCTAAGCACTGTTGTAAATAGTAGATATTTGTTGTAAATAGTAGATATTTGTTCTGGACTCGCTGAACACGACTTTTTGGCCCCGAATATTCAGAAAAAATCTGAAAGGAAACAAAGCCCTGGCAAATTTTATCAACAAATCGGACCTTTTGCCTTTGGGATTCTTATCGACATTTTTTTTCAACAAATCACAAAAAGTAGAGTTAATGACAAGAAAATAAAAGTTTTTAACTGGCACTTTAGATAATTATTTAACTACCCAGTACAGTACCCCATTTAATAAGGTTTTAACTACCTCTTAAAAATAACGTTATTTTTGAAATTAGATGAATTCAGACTAATGAAATTAATTTTTTCTTTAAAAATTATGATAATTTGGTTGTTATCGATTGTTATCGATCAGCTGATTCATTCATGGATTATTAATATTAATATTATAATTATTATTATAACTATAATTATTATTATATCATATCTGTTCGGTTCCACACCAACCATCCAATGGAATTAATTGATGAGCCACTGGCTGGATAGTATCACCTTTTTATCTTCTGACAATGGTCTAATTGTTGTGGGTATAAAGGTCCAGTTAGAGTAGGTGTGGGACGGTGCTTCCCATGCCTGCTGGCGGTCTGGGGGGTTCATAACGGGACCTCTTTTTCAGATTTCTTTTCTAATAGTTCTAATAGTAAACCTATCGTGTAAGAATTCCCATTATTACACGGTTCAGGAGGAACAATTTTAATATTGTTCGCTTTCTAGCGTTTAAGAATGCTTATTCTTACACTGAAGGTGTAGAATTTTCATTCTTTAACGCTCAGACCGTGTAAGAATGGAAATTATTACACGGTCAGAGCGTGAAAGAATGTATATTCTTACACGGTCAGAGCGTGAAAGAATGTATATTCTTACACGCTCCGAGCATTAAAGAATGGAAATTATTACACTAGTTGCAGAATATTCATTCTTACACGCTCCTTATATTGATTTTTTAAACATAGATCAATATTGAAAATGACTTAATTATTTTGTACTGACAACATGCACAGGGCACACTCACCTTTTTCATTTATATAAATACATGCAAACTTACCTTTTTATACTTTAAAATAACATGCTCACTTACTTTTTTCTTTAATATTAAAACATGCAAACTTACCTTTTCATGCTAAGTTTTGATATACCTTAATTCAGTAATATCCATTTAAATCTCAACCCTAATCCTGTGTTTAATTAACATTTTCTGAAATTCTGACCTTTCCAAAAAAATGGACAATGCTTTAAGCCTTACATTGGACATTTTCATCCAACTGCCGAGTCTCAAAGACTGCCTTCTATTTTGCAAATCTCTGCATAATTGTAATAGTACAGTCAGAGCTTTTCAAAAATGGAAAGGTTGTCATGTCTTCAAAATTTCAATCAATTGTTTTTTCATTTTATATTAAAAAGGGTCTCCAAAATTCCAAATTCATTTGTAATTCTTAAAAAATTACAGAATAAAAAGGTCAATTTGTCCCCCACCCCACAGCTAAAACTAGTTTTAAAGTACCTCAGTCTGAGTCAGTCGTCACCAAATCTCGCATAGCTCGAGATGATGAAGTGAAACCACAATCAAAACCAAAAATAGTTAATTTTATAAAAACTTATCATTGAAATACTAGTGTCACAAACTTTTATTGGGGTCTTAGCACTCCATAGCAATGCGAACAAACCAGTAAATCTTGCTTCATGAATAAAAAACAAAGATCAGTTTATGTCGAACTGATTAGATAACCTGCTTTTATCTCCTCTTTTTGGAAGATTTAGGATCTAATATCCAGGAAATGATTTCTTCTATAAATGAAAGCACGATTTTGTTCAGTAGATTCAGACAACCTACTACTATACCTTCTCTCCATCTAAAAAAACTCAGAGCAAATTCAACATGCTGTGTCTAAGTGTAGTATCAAAAAAACAAGCAAAATCATAAGAAATTAATAAACAAACAAACTAAACTAAGGAAACAATCGCACCACATGCATTACTTTCAAATTAAGAACCAATTTTTACTTATGAAATTTGAAACAGTCGGATTTCACCAGAAATATCTTTTACTATAATTTCTTGGGTATGTGTCCATGGAACCTCACAAATATGATATAATAATAATCTTATGAGGATAAAAATGTAATAATGGAATTCTTAAACTCGATGAACTAATCTTGATGCATTCTTTAACTCAGGCCTGCGGCCTTCTTACTTACTTGGTTACTTGTGTGGTGATCCTCAGAACTCCAGGTAGGAGCATTATGAGGATAGCTGTAGTAGCCCGCACAGTCCAGAGTACAGGTCATCATCTGTAGAGAATTCTCAAGCAATTACTCACACCCTGGACCTGGCACAATAGTTAGAAGATTAATTAACTATTCAAATGAGAGTCGAGCATGTTTTTGAACATATTTAGCGATTTAGCATCCTTGATCTCAGCTGGGAGGGCGTTCCAAGAGTTCACAACCCTGTTGGAGAAAAAGTTTAATCTAGGATCCGTCCTGGAGCGTTTTGGGATTATGTTGAATTGATGGGAGGTCAGTCTGGTTGGTCTTGGATTATCAGGTCCGACTAACTCAAACCAAATATCTCTATTAACTCTGTCGAACCCTTTGATGATTTTGAAGGTCTGAACAAGATCAAACCTCGATCTTCTTGCTTCCAATGACATAAGATCTATTTCCTGTAGCTTCTCCAGGTATGATTTCCCCTTCAGTCCTGCTATTAGATTCACAGCACGTTTCTTTACCCGTTCCAGAATATCGATATCACCCTGCGACCAGGGTGACCAAGCTGGGATGGAAAATTCAAGATGACATCTCACAAACTGTATATATAATTTGAGAAAAGTATTTCTATCGCGATAAAGAAAAGCTCTGGTAATTTGTGTGAGGATACCAGATGCTCGCCTAGCAGCCTCAGCACATTGAAGTGATGGTTTCAACGATTTGTCTATAATTACGCCTATATCTCGTTCAGAGTCCACTGAGTCTAGTTTCTCTCCGTTCATGAGGTATTCAAATTTCTTATTATTCCGGCCGACATGCAAAACTTTACATTTTTTTACATTGAATTCCATGCACCACATTGAAGCCCAGTTTGTCAGCCTGGTTAGGCAATCCTGCAAATTATCTTTGTCCTCCTCACTTGAAATCCTCTGTCCTAGCTTAGTGTCATCAGCAAATTTATTAATTATAGTAATCAATCCCGCCTCATCATCCAAGTCATTTATATAAATGACGAAGGCCAGTGGGCCGAGCACCGAACCTTGCGGGACCCCTGAGTACACTCTGCTCCATTCTGAGAAACAACCATTGAGGACTGTTCTCTGAAGCCTATCAGATAGCCAGTCAGAGAACCAACTTAGAATGTTTCCTTCAATACCATGCATCTTAATTTTGGCTAACAGACGTTTTTTAGGGACTTTATCGAACGCTTTGCTAAAGTCTAGATAAACTATGTCAGCTGGGTCCCCTTCATCTATGATTTTGGTAATTGTTTCTAGGAATTCTAATAAATTGGTTGTGCATGATTTGTTCTTCATGAACCCGTGCTGGGAGGCCTTGATTAAATAGTTGATCTCAAGGTGGGTAACAACTTGATCCCTGATTATTGACTCCATGAGTTTGCAGCAAATCGAGGTTAGGGAGACAGGTCGATAATTTTCCGGCTTACTCTTGGAACCCTTTTTAAAGATTGGCGTAACATTCGCTAACTTCCAGTCATGGGGGACGCATCCTGCGTCCATGGATTTATTGAAAATAATAGATAAAGGAACACAGAGCGAGTCACAGTTGTCTTTTAATACCCTGGCAGGGATACCATCAGGACCTTGGGCTGTTCCGGGTTTGAGTTTCATAATTTTATCCCTAACTTGACCTCTGCTGAATGATACACTGGATATTTTACTATTAACTGGAAGGGGTTCACAAACTGGGATGTTATTTTCATTCTCCATAGTAAAAACCTTACAAAAAGCTGTGTTTAATTCTGCAGCCATACCTTTGTTATCGCTGATAGTTACATTATTGACTTTTAGAGGTCCAACTCCTACTTTTGTCTTAGTTCTACTTTTAATGTACGAATTAAAGGGTCTTTTATTACCATTGTCAGCTATGCTTCGTTCAAACTTTCTTTTGGCTTGCCTTACAGCCTTTTTACATTGCTTTTGGATGTCCTTAAAATTCTGTTCATGCTCTGGGGATCGAGTTTGCATATATAAATTGTACCTTCGTTGTTTAGTTCTGATTAATTTGATGACTTTTCTCGTCATCCATCTAGGTTTATTACGTTGACGACGTGGGATTTTCGGGATAAACAAATCAATACCTGCATGGATTGTATCCTTTAGAAAATTCCAAGAGTCCTCCGTATTTCTCTGCTCAAGCTCATTTTCCCAGTTTATCCGATATAAATAGTCTGCTAGACCTGATACATTTCCATTCTTCCAGTCACATATATTCTCATCCGTAGCACAGAATCTGGATTTAAATAAAATTTCTGTTAAGATAATAGTATGGTCGCTATTCGCAAGATTCCCCAAGGGTTCAACATTTATAATATTTTCCGGTCTGTTTGAAAGCGCAAGGTCTAATATATTGCCGCGTATATGCGTCTTGAATTCTACTAATTGGTCGTATTCATTTTCCTCAACGGCTTGAAGGAAATTCTCTGATTTTCTGTCGCAGGTTTTTAGATTCCAATCAATTGAAGGAAAATTAAAATCCCCTATGAATAATGAGTTTTTGCCGGACGATTTTAATAATTTGCAAAGCTCAAACGTGTTTGCCTCATTTGAACTCGGAGGTCTGTACACAAGTGTAATAACCAGATTATTTGATGTATCAATGTCGTCATTGCTTAGGACTTCAAACTGGAGGAATTGGTTAAAACGGTTGTCAGTATTATTGATAGGTTTGACTAAAAGGCCAATTCTTACATAGACAAGTAGACCTCCTCCAATACCGTTTAAGGTGTCCTCTCTGTCTTTCCTCAGTTCAGGGTCTATATAATAACCGTCTATATTCAGCATGGCCATACTTATATCATTATTGCACCAAGTTTCTGAAATAAGTAAAATGTCTGGACTGTAGTCAGATAATAAAACTTCAAGGTCATTTAATTTATTTATAATGCTACGAGAGTTTAAGTAAATGACAGAAATCATTTCGTTGATTTCTTCCTGGTTCTTGAGTCTGGGGGGCTTTTGGAGTCTGCCCTCGTCCTCTTCCTGTCCTCTTTCGATGGTTTCTGGGGTTCGCCAGCCTCCATATTCTCCGTGTTGTCCTCTGGAGTCGTTTGTTAGGTAGTACTTGTCCTAAAGTCCTCCCTAGTGGCTGTTGAGTAGAGAGTTGGGTTAGATTTGCTCCTGTGAGTGCTGAGCCACTTCTCCGCAAGTCTCCCCTCCCCCTCTCCTCCCCTCTGATCTGGATAATTTTCCTTTTTATGAGTCTCCGGTCTCCTCTCATCCCAACAAGCACCCACTCCCAGTTTAAAGCCTCCTCATGCTCTAGTTCTCTATTACGTTTCTCTGCAGTTTTTCTTAGTTTCTCCTCCTCCTTCCTTTGATCCTGGGTTAAATCTGGGATAATGCTTATTGAGTTAAAGCTGGAGCCGGCTAGCTTCCTAGTATTGTCTAGAATATAGTCCCTGAGCCCTGGATCCTTAAGGCTCATGATGACAGGCCTTGGTCTACCTGACTCCATTCTTTCTCCTGGTCTGTATAAGAACTTAATACCTTCCTTAGTGAGAGGGGCATCGAGGAATTTAAAGATCTTGCATTCATAGCCCCGTGTTAAGTTAGCAGGTGGTTCAGGTATTTGGTGGATTACCAAGTTGTTTCTACGAGCTCTCTGTTCTCTCAACTCCTCCATCATTGCCTCCTTGCTAGATTGGACAATCTCCTCCTTGTTCATCTCAGATTGTTTCTTCTCTACCTTATCCAGTCTAGCACTGTGGTTTGCGATCTCCTCTTTGTTTAACTCTATGTTTGTGCACATCTCCGACTGCTTTAGTTGAATTTGCACAATCTCCTGCTTTATTTTCTTAGAGACGGCCATGCAGGGGTCACATTTCCATTTCTTCGTTAAAGAATACATCAAGATTAGTTCATCTCGTTTAAGAATTTCCATTATTACATTTTTTTCCTCATAAGATTATCATATTATTATTATTATTATAATTATTTTAAGTTAAATTTTTTTGTTATAGGTGTTTGCTCTGTCTGGCGTAGGATCAATAGTTAGAGTGCTCACCGACAAGAAAAAAGTTTAAATAAAATTTTTTTTTTTTCGTTCTTCATTTAATAGCTTTGTAATTCCAGTCTTCTTATATTCTACAGATAAACTTTCCTTCAGACTGTATTCTGTTCAATTTTTTATGATTATGGACTTAAAAAAATATTAATTATTTTTCAAACCAACATTTAGAAATTTTTTTCTTCTTTTCTCTTTCTGCCTTTAAGTAGTTGTTGAACCTAAAGATCTTAAACTTGTCTATATCAAAATTGTATTTCTTCCCATGATTTTATGCATTTAAGTTTGCACTAATTTATGTCATTAAAACTGATTACAGTAATAATAATGCCATCATTTCTGAAAGTGAAGTAGAAGTGGTGATAATGTTATTATTATAGAAATGATATTATTAAAATATGAATATGATGATGTTTCAGATAAATATGGTTGGAGTTCCAGACCCTCCTGATCCAGTAGATCTACCAAACTTTAAGTTTACTGCACTCAGACAGGTTAGTTGATTCATTGATTTATCGATTCATAGACTCATTAATTCATTGATTCATCAATTCATTGATTCATTAATTCATTGATTCATTAATTCAGTGATTCATTAATTCATTGATTCATTAATTCATTGATTCATTAATTCATTGATTCATTAATTCATTAATTCATTAATTCATTAATTCATTGATTCATTGGTTCATTGGTTCATTAGTTCATTAGTTCATTGGTTCATTGGTTCATTGGTTCATTGGTTCATTGGTTCATTAGTTCATTGGTTCATTGGTTCATTGGTTCATTGGTTCATTGGTTCATTGGTTCATTGGTTCATTGGTTCATTGGTTCATTGGTTCATTGATTCATTGATTCATTGATTCATTGATTCATTGATTCATTGGTTCATTGGTTCATTGGTTCATTGGTTCATTGGTTCATTGATTCATTGACTCATTAACTAATTGATTCATTGGTTCTTTGATTTATTGATGTATTATTAAAAGTCTATTTTGCACTTTTGTTTATGCAAAGTGTTTGGATCCTGACATCTCACTTTCTTGAAAGTTGTATTTGATGATGATAAACACATCTATTTGTTTGGATTGTTTAGGCATTTTTTATAGAAAGAATTAAACAGGATTTTCATTGAATAGTTAACGTAGATTTTGCCAGGATAAAGGTGGAAGCTTTGATTGATGTAATCCATTTAGATAAAGTTGGGAGATGACAGTACACTGCCAGACTCTTTGAACCTGCTGGCAATATCAAACAAGGAATCTATTTCATTCATTTATCAAGATTCAAGAAACTCGTGAATCTGTCTTTATTCTTTATATATAAAGTAGTAATCTCAGTCTTATGAACCAATTGACCAATTTGTCATGATTTTGGAAACTCTGTAGAACCACTGAAATGTTCTTAGCTTGGCTTAGAATTCAAAATGGAGTGGGTTGACTTAAAATTTTGTTTTCAAGCAAAGCTGGGTTCCCAAGCTAGTTATAAATAATAATATTTTAGAGAGTATGAACAATTCCAATATATAGTTTATTTGGTATATATTTAATAAACAGATATTTATATCGAAGAGTAGATCTGTTCAAGTTGAAGGGTAGAGACGGACTGACTCCTAGATTCTCGTTTTCTTGTTCGGAGATTTTCTTCTTTATCTTCGAGCATTTCTTGGATTTATCCTCTCAGATTCCTGCTTCTACATATGTCCCCCCCAAGTCTCTAGATCTTATTGGAGATTGAGACTGACTGAGGATAGGTTTCTTTGGAGGTCTACCTCTAGGACGAGGTTGAGCTGGTGTAACCTTATCCTGAGTGTGGAAAGGATTTATCCTCTCAGATTCCTGCTTCTACAATATTATAAAAAATGCTCAACCAATTCTTCGGATCCATTGAATTTGGAATTTAATACATCTGAACTTAGGAAGGTTTTAATAAATAATATTTTCGTTGCTAAAACTAAAGATTTGTTTATTGAGAGAACATTTTTTCAATGTATTTTGCCACCTTAGTCCTGATATTTTTGTTGATCCGGATCCGGATCCGAGCACACTGTTGAGTGTTGACAATCAATGAATGAGGTGGTATCTGTAGAGTGGTCAGCTGTTTGCTGGTGTTGGAAAGATTCTTCATATCATTCAATCAAAAGATGTCGAAGCACAGGTAGAGAATTAAATTTAAATTTAAATTTTAATTTTCATTAATTAATTGCAATGAATGATTTGATTAATAATTAACAAAGTTAGTAAAAAGTTGGTGGGGTGGTGGGGGGGCGGAATGGAATGAAAAGGGGACATTTAATAGTATGGCCCTCTCACCTGGCGGTGGTATTGGGGCTCATAACGGGTCCTTTACACATGACATGTTAATTAAGTTCTTAATAATGAGTTACTAATTGATTGTTAAATTATCTTATACGCAGATGTTACCTTATTATTACCGCCTGCTCAATTCAAATTCTTGGTGGAAACGTTTTAAAGCATGATTTGAAAATGTCAGATGTCCGCTGTACAAAAATGCAATTGTAGAATTTTAGTTACTTTTCATTTTTAAAAATCAAATGGTTAAGATAAGAATCATTAATTCATTAGTTTAAAGAAAATATAATTCTTGTTTCTAAAGTGGTACATTAATAAATTCATTTCGAGTTTGTGGGCTTTTTAAAGTTTATTTTATGCCATGGATCATACTCGAATTAGAATACAGTCGAAAGAGCAGGTTTTTAATCTGCGGAAGGAGCGGAAGGCATGCAATAGGCATAGTAACTTTTATTCATGAGAGCAAATATTTGGCTTGCAACTTAAATATTGTAATATTAATTTTCCACCATTTTTTCTTACGGTTTTAAAGATGATTTAATTTTTAATAAAAAAAACGAAAATAATTCTGAAAACTTAGTCAAGAGAGCAGTATATGGAAAAAACAGAGAATTATTTTTAATTAAGTTTTATATTGGTTGTTTAGGATAACTGTGATAAGAACGTAAGAGGAACTGAGAACACAGAGTTCACCTCCTGCAAGGTTCAACTTCCTGCAGATATTCTACATGTAGGAATCAGGTAATCAAACTCAAATCAATTGTCAAGGAAAACATTTTTTTTAGAGGATGGGGGGGAGGGGTATTTTTTAAAGAAACTACTGAGCTATCCCCTGTTTAAACAATAGATATCCATTAGATGATTAGATGAATTAGATTGGAACTGAGCAATAACTTAAGACATTTTTAGGTCGAAAAATATCGTGTAGTGTATTCGTGCCAAAACTATAAATCATCTAATTCTATGTCAAATATTGAGATCAAAGAAATAAAATTTGAATTGCCAGTAAATTGTGAGAAGTTGTAGTGCAAAACAGGACACCCTAATGTCAAACTTCACCCTCCCCTCAAACAATTTCCGGTTGCGCTCATTAAATATATTCTTTAATTCAGTTGTGATGATCTGGTTTTATCTGTAGTTGTAAATCTACCAACATTCCCGGTCCTCTACCTCTTCGACACTAGGGGGCTAGCCACAGCGGACACTCCCTTCAATCAAGGTCATTGATTTTTTTATCGATTGATTGATTATTGATAAATTGATTGGTTTATTGATTGATTGATTGATTGGATTTATTTCTTGATTCATTCATTCATTTATTGACTGATGATTAATTGACTAACTGACTGACTGATTGATTCATTCATTGATTCATTCATTGATTCATTGATTAATTCATTGATCGATACGAATTTATTGTTAGCTTTTGATGTGAATTTTCTAGTTTGGACATTTATTGAAATATACGCTTTAAATTTTTCGTTTCTAAAATTTCTTTTTGTAATTAATTGATATTTACTCAATTGTGAATCCTATAAATCATAAGTGGATGCTGTTTTTATTAATTAATTGCAATGAATAATTAACAAAGTTAGTAAAAAGTTGGTGGGGTGGTGGGGGGGCGGAATGGAATGAAAAGGGGACATTTAATAGTATGGCCCTCTCACCTGGCGGTGGTATTGGGGCTCATAACGGGTCCTTTACACATGACATGTTAATTAAGTTCTTAATAATGAGTTACTAATTGATTGTTAAATTATCTTATAGGTTGATTAATTTACTTGCTGTTTGATTAATTTACACATTGTCAATCATATAAATAATTGATTGATCGATTATTAATTTTGGTTAACTGATTTAATCATTGGTTGAGTTATATTCTGGTTGGTTGGTTGATTGATTGATGTTTAGTTTGTTGTACACTACTGTGTCTGGTGTTGTTATATCCCTGATATCCTGGTTGATTGATTGATTTATTGATTGATTGGTTGATTGATTGATGTTTAGTTTGCTTGAATACTACTGTGTCTGGTGTGGGTATATCCCAGGTATCCTGGAACCCGGCTCTCACTGGTATATTCTCCGTCACCTTCAACGATGGAAGCTTTGTCATGTACACACTTAAGGTCAGAGAATCCTTGTTTTCTTCAGGCCAGTAACTAGGGGGGTTTCAAGGGTCTTTAAATTTTGCAGAAACATTGCCTTAGTTTTAATATTTTGTCCAGACAATTCAAAATCAGCGAACTTGAATAGTATTATCAAAATTATGAAAATTTTCCTTGTACCATACAAAACATCAAATTAGAAAATAGCCTACATAACATAATATTCAAGCTACAGTTACTCGTTTTTATACCAAAATTATAAAAATTCTGGAACCCCCCGCTTGTTTACTACGTTTCACTCTTTGATCCTGGGCCCATAATACAAAACCCCCCTGTGCATCCCCCTTGGGAAAATCCTGGTAACGGGCCTGGACTTTTTCTACATTCGATCTTAAATTAAAATCAAGATAACAATGTAAATAGTAAAATTAAATTCGTCAAGATGAGACTATAATCGACATTTTTTGATAAAAATGCTCATATTCATCTGGAACTAACCATAAAGTTTTATTTTTTTTTTGTCTATTTTAAATTCATTTAGATTTTTGTTTTTTTGGAAAGCTATATTGATACACAAATTTACTTGTTTTAGACGTTTTTTGGCCATTATTTAAAAAATTAATTCAGTATTCAGCGGTTTGAGACGAACACCACATCAACATGTTTAATAAGATTGAAAAATTGGCCTCCCTATCTCCCTTACTATTGATTACTGAATTCAGGAATTTTTCAATATTTCTTTTTTCGAGTGTTTACGAAAAGTATTTCAGATCAGACATTCTGAGACTAGGAAAGGTATGACGTGCTTTTATATTCTAGGATGATGGAAGTTTAGATTGTCAAAGTTTACCCCCAGCTGTAGGTATTTGTGCCGTATCCTGGTCTCCGAAAGGTAAAAATGTAAAAAAAAACTTTATTGAAAATTTAAAAGAAAAATACTAAAAAAGGCCTGTTAAGAATATGAAACATTTTCTAAATCTGATTGCACTTTTTGTAAGATAAAAGTTAAACATATTTTATTTTCTTCAAATTCTCTAACGATTACGAGAAAATAAAATCCGAGGAACCTCCTTATTTGAAATCTGTGTTAATTCTGTACTGTACATTTTAAAGTGAACTTAAATGTTAAGGCAAACAGTTAGCAGCGGTCAAGAAGGATAGAAGTGTTACCCAGTACAAACCAGATCTAAAGGTATAAATAGACAAAACAAAAAATCCGACATTTTTCCAACGGTGCTATTACGATAGGACTAAAGACCGATGAAACTTTAGCTGTTCACAAACCGGTTTTTAGTCCATTTGAACAGTAGTGCATATAAACAATACAAATAATTGTGTTCAAATGAAGTTTGAAAAAAAAACAAAAAAGATTAAGCATGTCTTGGCAATAGCGCTCGGCCGCTAGCCTATCCTAGCCGCAGCGCTCAGCCCAGAAATTGTTCTTTAACCTCAAATATTCAGATTATATAATTTTTTGTGTAAAAAAAACTTTAAACTTGAAAGCTACAATTTTAAAAAAATTTAAAACTTAGTTCAATTGAACAAATGTTTGTTAAAAAAGGACTGTAGTACTTTTGAACGTAATAATCCAAATGAACATTAGTCCAATCGATATGACACCTTTCTAACCCCATTATCGAGTAGTTTTCTTTTCATAATCAGGTAGATTTGCTTTACCACACGACGCACGTTCTGTATTCTTCCATTTCAAAGCTACGTAATTTTTAATACAAATTTTCTTTTTATTTAACCTTATTGTTGAATTTAGGAAGCTAAAACGTATCCTGGTCCTGAGATATCTGGATTCAAGCCTGTATCCATATTTTGGATATCTACATACGAGTTTCTTGTGGGATATTTGGTAAAAGAATTGAAACTCTTTCTGATTTGGATTTTGGTAGCCACTACTCATCTCTCACTTATAATTTATTTATTTCTATTAATAAATTCCGACGTAAAAAATTTTAAATTTAAAATATTTCAGGTTGCTTTAACTACATCTCAAATTTTTTTTAGCTTTCTTTGAACTCTTAACTTTTGCAACCCTAAATTTATAACTTCTAAAAGAAATACACAATTTCTGATGATTAAGGATGAATCGGATCCAAGTAACCGGGCCGGCCTCTGGTTGATAAGAGGCAGTAAGGCTGGATCCACAGAGTATACGTTCTTTGATGACATCACTTACTCTACAGGTAAAAAAAGAAAAAATGTTAATTGATTTTTGATCTATCTACTCAGCCCCGGCCACAGTGCTCTGATGCGGACATATTAACGAAATATCCCAAGGAACTTTATTTAGGCGTACTGCAGTTTTACGAACAAAAATAAACATTCTTTAAAAAAGAATTGCTGAGTTTGTTAATTTTGCTGTCAAGAACTGCCGTACACATTTTGGGAACAAATACTTTGGACTTCCGGTTGTAAAATAAAAGCGTCATTTGTTTTTTGATTTACATAATTTAAAATTCGGTGTTGGTGATGGACCAAACCTCTGTAGAGTAAAAAAGTAGATGTTAGTTGCACATAACTTGTTTTCTAGGTGAAGATCGAAAGAAAAGGTTTGAGAGTGTCGGTATCCCTGAATGGAACTATGTGATAGGTAAATCTGAAATATTTATTTTTGAAGATATGATTTTATGATTTTATTGTTCGATTTGATAATATCATCGATTGTACCAAGTTCTCATTTCTCATCGTATTTACTATGTAGCCAAATTTGTACAGCTCATTTATCTTTGTTCTCAATTTTCAGTGTAATAATAACTTTTTAACTATCAATTCAATCCAAGAAAAAAGTAATAATTTTACTCATCAATCACTTATAAATAAATCAATGAAAAAATATAAAGATAAAATTTTAAAAATGATTAAATGAATAAATTATCAATTTAATAAATGAATTAATGAAAGAGTGACTAAAATAATAAATGCGATAATGAAAATGAAATGTCTAGTTGGATCTGGGAATAGTGTTGAAATCTCTATGTTGACCCTGGAGGGTGAAAGCTGGAGGCAGGGAATGCTGGATGATAGTGGCAGAGCAGAGATCCCACTTTCTAAGGTAAATCTAGAGTTCTTCATACTGCAATCATCTTGAAAATCGGTTTAAAAAAGGCATTTACAAAACCTGGTATCCAGGGATCATATTTAAGGAATAGCAAGACATAGTTGACCTTTGTATACTTATTTCAACCGCGTAGATTTAGTTGAACCTATTTCTGCAGCTTGACCCAGCGCACAAGAAAAGTGGTTCAATTTTGTCAACATGGTTCTTCTATGTCTCGCTCATGTTACAATCCGGTCCAAGGTACAGGGTGTCCCACGAAACATGAGAGTATGCAAGACGACTTGAATATCGTCTTTATTTTTGATACAATTTTGCTGCATTTATTTGTCAACCCAATTTTAGAAGTAAATTTCTAGAGATAATAATCACAAAATTTCCCAAGTCCTGCCATTTCCAAAATGTGGTCTGCCTTTTTTGTGCTTTCCATATTGCCCGAGATATGAACAATTTCGTTCAGATTTCGACAATTTTGCTTTTATTTAACAAAATTGAAATCTGAACCAAACTCTTTATATCTCCGGTAATATTGAAAGCACAAAAAACGCAGACCACTTTTTGGAAATGCCAGTGCTAGGAGAATTATGTGATAATTGTTTAAAGAATCATACATGTTAAAGTAGATAGAAGACTAAATGTCACAAATAAATTCAAATATCAAAGACGACTTTCAAGTCGTCTTGCTATTGTCATGTTTCGTGGGACACCCTGTATATCAGCATTTTATATTTATCAATTTTACCATAAATTTTGTCAGTCAAAATAAGATAAAGTAAAAAAGAAAAAAATGGTCAGAAATAGAAAATTATCAATTACTTTAAATTGCTGTTGTAGGGTAGCGGAGAAACCTATCCTGCCGGGATGGTTCTGAATCTGAGTGCGGAGCGGAATACTCCAGTCGGAGAAAGTTTTATTCCACCTTCTCCAATTCTTCACGTTCTCTCCTCTGACGGACATCTTTGCTCCTTCTCCTGTGTTAATACTACACCTGGAGCTCCCTCCCTGTGTACCACTGTCCCTGGACTACCTCAAGAGGGCATAAGACATGGTACAGTTAAATATCCAGAACCTTCTGTTCCTAAACATCAGTCCGTCCCCATTCCTGCATCCCTACCACCCCCACCATACTCCCAACCTAAGCCTAGTCTGGATAAATCCCAGGTTCAGTTTAGCTCCGGTATCTTTAATCCCAGCTCTGCATCCTTTATCCAGTCTACCCCTGTTAAACCCTTTGGAGCAGTAGAACCTTCTTCTTCCACCACCGCTACCGGAGCTCCATTCGGAGGTCTCTTTAAACCCGCGGAGGGATCTCTATTTGGAGGAGGTTCCAGCACTCCATTTGGAGGAGGTGCCAGCACTCCATTTGCAGGGTTCGGAAAGCCTAAAGAATCGGTTCCTTCGCCGTTAAGTAAACCTATTTCTAAGGAAACTACTCCAGTGAGTAAAGAGCCTACACCTGCTCCTGTAGAACCTAATCCTACTCTGAAAGAACCAACACACACGCCCAAAGAGCCTACTCCCTTTGTCACAAAACCAATTCCCCCGACTAAAGAACATCCTTCTGTAAATCCAAGCAATTTAGTCAGTACCCGAAATGTCCCTGATGAGACTGCTAAGAGAAGGTTGAATAGAAAGATTGATGAGGAGTTCAAAACTTTTGAGGATAAGCTTGCTGCACTCAGAGATACCGTCTATAGTCTGAAGATTGATATTGGAACTCAGGTTAGTAAGCGACTTAGGCTTTCCCTTTCAGCTTTTTTAACGGAATACAAGTTCGATTTACAATGGTACCCCAAGGGGGGTATATTTTCTCACAAAAACATTTCCCCTTCCCTCTTTTTGAAAATCTTTTTTTTCCCAGATGATAGGTAACTCATTCTTTATGGTTCGCTGATATTGAAAAATTAACGAGTTTTAGGGTAAAAAGTATCAAAAATTATAAAAAAAACTTTTTCCCTGTTACAAAAAATCACCATTTGAGGGCTTGGGGTTGGTAATTCTTGACAGTATAAACTTCTACGGTACCTTTTTAACTAAGATTATTGAGTTCAATCTTTTTCTCTATCTTAAAATGAGTATTTTCAATTGCTGTTCTATTTTAAATGAGATGCGCATTTATGCCGCAGGAGAATGTAATCATCAGAATACATCACTTTCAAATTGGTTTTAGATTCTTAGCTTTTCTTTCTCAACAAAAGATTAAGTTTATGTGATGTATATTCAGGAGGACAAGGTAAACCTTGTGACGAGGACGGAGATCCTCAAAAGGTTCTCTAAAGAGGTTCTGGAGACAACAACCTGCCAGAGCAAAGAAATAGCAGATCTGAAGGCAGAAGGTATGGAGAGTTCTTCGCTTCGAGTTGTATGTTTTCCTTGTCAGTTGAGAGGGGGGGGGGAGGCAACCCGCACCCTTTTTACATACGACCTGCAGATGGCGTCACAAAATGGGATTTGCAGCATGTGCTTACCTCTATGCCGTCTGATCCTCACCCATGTTGCCTTTCGGCAAAATGTCCTAATATGTACAGGCAATTATTATGAGTCTGAAAATTGTTTTTATTTCTTATTGGCAGCGTCAGGCAGGCACGACTGGTTTTGACCAAACTTTATAATTTTAAAACATAAATTTTAATTGGATTTAAAATAAATTATATCTTTTTTTATTACAGCATATTCTTTTAATGATTCGACACATGGCAAAATGTGAGATTTTATTTTTTCTTAATGTTCCAAAGCTTTTTGGGGTAGATGAGCTACTTTAATATATTGATAACGAGTAAATAGCGAAAAACCGCATTTATCTTATAGAAAAATAATGCGGGTCTGAAGACATACGGGTAAGTGACGCAAATAGTGTAATATGCCGCAAGTACGATCTACACTTAAATGTTGTTTGATCAGAATTTTTTAAACTATCGCTTATTTGAGTGGGGAAATTTGTTTCTGTTACAAACAAAAAATATGATTAATAAGTTAATTATATGATAAATGCCATGACGTCTTTATAAATTTAAATTAATGCTGCATTCGTCTATAATTAGCTTATAGAGGACGTGAGTCAGACTCTAATAAAACGCATAAATAACTTCCAGTATATATATTTCTTATAACTTATTACTAGAGGGTTCAGAACTAGAGTCAATATCGATATCGCACGTGTAGACTGTAGAGATGATATCAGTACTAATGCCCCGTATCCGTTCTATCTCATTCTGTTGAATCTTGTGGAACTAGTTTAACGCGGCCAGGCATCGTCTTCCACAAGCTTATACAAATTAAGACATTTTGCCAGGTGAGGGTCAGACGGTATAGGGGTAAGCGCATGCCGCAAATCCCTTTTTGTGATTTCATCTGCGGGTCGGAGGTAAAACGGGTGCGGGTTGCCTTCCCCCTCGTCTGTCTGTTTGTTTCAAATGTATAGTTAACTACTTCTACCAAATTTGTTATGGACCAAACATGATCCTATGGCGTGCTTTTTTATTTTAAAATATTTATTTTTTATTTTCTTAAAAGTCGAGTAAACTCGGGAAAATCTGCTATAAAAACAAAATAAATTGTTTCCACAATAACTTTTAACAGTTATAATTATTCCTTGAAAGAGGGGATTCCTGCCCTGAAGGTCAAAAAGCAACAATTCGTGATTTGTTTTTGACTAAATACTTTAAGGCAATTCTTTCCTGTTTAAATGTATTTTTCCAAAGTATAAATGTTTGGAAATTTTTTATTCAAATCCATTAATTTTGATTATGAAAAAATTGACTTAGTCTATTTTGTTAGTTTTAAGGTTGTACTTTTTTTTGTAAGACTTAATTGCTTCGGATCCATTTGATTTTGATCCGGATCTAGGTTATTTCCTTGAGATTTGATGATTTGTTTGATAAATGAGATTATTTATTTTTTAATTTGTTTTCATTTATTTAATGTCAAAACTTGATCCAGATCGAGATGAAAAGGAAAATTTTAATAATCTCTTTTTTCAACAGTTCAGATTTTGATTTTGAGAGCAAAAAGCTTTTTTTAGTTTTTGGTTGATATTTGGGCCCTTGGATCCGGATCCTTGGATTTGCATATTTTTGAGGATCCGGATTTCCAAAATATTGCAAAACCAGAACTTCAAAAGTAACTGACTGAAATTTTGTTATTTATGTTGTATGATTTAGTTGCTGAGACTGCTGCTTGGATGCATGAAGCCCGAAGTAGGAACCAGGAAAGAGGATCTCATGGATACTCAAGGATATTAAGATCTAGACCACTAGACCCAAGGCAACTTTGCAGTATTATTTTAATATCACTTTTATTAAACAGAGATAGGAACTAATTGTGTGGAATTGGATATTGTAAATCTTTTGTGTTTGATGTCAATATCCAGTGTGTGCACTTTTTAAGAGGATCAATGCTTGATCCCTCAATTGAAATTATCCCTTCAGGGTAATGGTATCCCCATCACAGGATATTAAAAAGGCATTAAATAGGCATAAGATGGAGATCAATGCTTAATCCCGAGATTCACAAAACAAAAGTTCTGACTTCTTTTAATTTGTCATCATATGACCGTTGTTTTATTAATTTCTTTCGACCCCTATTTCAATGAATGATGGGTTGTCTGCTTATATTAATAATAATAGAAAGAACCCTCTCTCCTGAATTTAAAACATTTTTATTTTACTTTTCTATTCTTGAATATAATAGTTTGGTTGCATTTTTTGATTTTTGAAAAAAATGTCTCTCAATATTAAATCTGCTTTTTGCACCAACCAGCTTATTGTTCAGGAGTTCTCGGAAAATGAATGAGTTGACCAGCTTGTACCAGTATATAGAGCTCCAGGTAGATGAAGCAAACACCAAGCTTGACTCAGACTGGGAGGAAAGGAAGATGAGTTTGAGGCGGGGGGCTTCCAACATTAACCAGGTAAACTAAATTGATGCAGATTTAATTTTACAATTTTTAAGAAAGCCAAAAGATGCCTTAAAAATAAAGACTCCTTATAAATGAATTGTAAACTTTTTTATCTTTGGAAATATCAAATAGTAGTTTTTTATTTAGGAGGATATCTTTGCTGCTTTGCTGACAAACCATAAGGTTGTTGAGGAGCAGAGGTGTCGTGTCAGTCATCTTGCACAGGAGATAAGCAAAGTTAAGATAAACAAGACAACCCTGTCAGGGGGCAAACAGTCCTCTCTAGGTAGAGCTAGAGGAGAATCCGATGCTGAGATGGAGATAAGAAAGCTTGCTGAGTCCTTCAGAGATAAATCCAAACTGAGTTCCTATCCTAAAATAACTCAAACAACACCCATAACTCCAAGAACAGTTGGTAAAAGCAAGACAAATATATCTCCTGTAAAGTGTTTAACTCCAGATAAGGAAAAGGCAATCAGAAAACTCCTGGAAAAGAAATCTATTTCAGTGGTGAAACCTATGAAGCATAGCAGTCCTGCAGCTTCTAGACTAATCCAATCCCCTGAAGAGGAAAAGCCCTCTAGTTCTCAACATTTGGTACAACTTAGAGCTGCTGATGATAAGGTTGGGGAAATAGAGAAGGTTACAATGGCTAGATTTTCTGCTGTTGTGTCCAAACCATCTTCTGTCCAGAAAACATTGTTTGAAGATGTTACTCCTGTCAAAGAACCAGCTCCAGCTTTTGGGTTGAACATAAAACCACCTGAAACTGGTGTTCTCTCATCCTCTACTGGAGATCTTAGTTTTATGAACAAACCTCAGAGTAGTCCTATCTCCAGTTTATCAATTAAACCTACTTCAACTTCATCCTTGACAAGTTCTACAATCTCCTTGCCGACATCTGCCTCAAGCATCCCATTTTCTTTTGCTCCCTCCAAGACTGTTACTCCAACACCAAAACAACCCACAAGTGAAAAACCAGTTTTAACAGACAAGATCAAACCTGACAATTCTGGATTAAAACCTTTTGATTTAAGCTCTGCATTATCCAAGGCAGGAAGCACAGCAACTCCTGGTATTGGATTCTCATTCTCTGAAAGTAGTACTAATAAAGAATCTAATACATTTCCTGGTTTCAAGTCAGCTGTTTCAGAACCTTCTAAGCCAGCTCCATCTGGAGGGCTTCCTTTTGGTGGCAGCATCACTTCCTCTCAGCCATCTTTAGGTTTCAGTTTTTCTGGGCCTAAAGAGACCATTCTTACAGAGAGAACCAAACTTGTACCTTCTACAAAGCCCACAACTGTGACAAAGCCCGTAATTACTACTGGTGAAGGTGTTAGTAAGCCTTCCCAAGCACAAGCTGCGGTGCCTAAACTTGTCTCAGATCCAGCAAAACAGGTGGAAACCAAACTTGCAGCGGTTTCAGTATCCACTGCTCCCAGTGCAGGTGCTTTAATTTTTGGAGGGAGCAAGTCCTCTTCAGGGTTTAGTTTTTCAACTACATCAGCTCCAACATCAGTATCTTCATCATTAACTCCATCTGGCCTGAGTTTTGGAGGTACATCTGCCCAGTCTGGTTCAGGCCTTGATCTTTCCAGAGCATCTACTGAAACATCATCAAGTACTTCCGGAGGCAGTTTTGGTGGAAAAACTGTGATATCCAGTACAAATCCAGTAACCTCCCAAAGTTCTACTACAAGTTCTATATTTGGTGTAACTCAGGCCAGCAGCACTGGTGGGTCTATGTTTGGAGGATCAGAAAAATCAGCTTTTGGATCAGTGACATCAGCTCCTGCAACTGGAACAGCCTTTGGTGGAGCAGGAACCTCAGTTCTTGGTGGTTTACCTTCAAATCCTTCTATTGTTGTATCAACTACAGCTTCAACGACTACTACTTCTTCAGTGTCTTTATTTGGTGTTAGCAATACAACAAAGTCGACATCTCTCTTTGGAGGCAGCAGTGGGGGACCCTCTATCTTTGGAGGAAGTAGCAAAGGATCAGGCTTTGGATCTGTTGCAGAAACTAAACCAGAGACCAGTTCTGCTGGAGGCTCAATATTTGGAGGAGCTTCAGCATCCAGCGGAATATTTGGGGGTAGTGCTTCATCTCAACCATCTAGTTCAGCTTCCATCTTTGGTGGTTCTTCCACCCAAACAACTGGAAGTGTTTTTGGCGGAGTTTCACAACCTTCCAGCGCCAGTGCATCAATATTTGGAGGAGCCAGCTCTACTTCAAATAGTGTCTTTGGAGGAGGAAACACTACAGTAAGTTCTCCTTTTGGAGGAAGTGCTAGTACAGCTAGTTCTCCATTTGGAAGTGGAACTAAATCTTCCGGTAGCATCTTTGGAGGAAATACCAACACAGGTAGCACCCCATTTGGAGGGAGTTCAACATCAACACCATTTGGTGTAACCTCTTCAGCTGGAGCATTTGGTGGAAGTTCCAATGCTTTTGGCGGGACTACATCATCCTCAACTAGTTCCCCCTTCTCTGGAGGTGCCTCGTCCTCTGGATCCATATTTGGAGGGAGTTCTGGAGGAGGTTTTTTTAGTGGGTTGGGAGGAGCATCATCCACCGCTAGTCCTAATCAAAATCCTTTTGGTTCTGCTCCTTCTGGGGCTCCAACCTCTGGAACAAATCTATTTGGAGGCTCATCAGCCAGTACATTTGGAGCAACTAGCTCCAAATCTGGCGGGTTTGGATCAGCTGGCTCTTTCTCAGGAGGTAATGCGAGTATTGGGAGTCAAGGATTTGGATTTCAAGGTGGAGCTACCCCATCCAAACCTACCTCTGCTTTTGGTGCTTCATCTGGATTTGGTGCTGCTCCAGCTTTTGGATCTCCACCGGCATTTGGATCTACTCCAGCATTTGGATCATCTCCGGCATTTGGAGTAGCTTCAACCACAGGAGCAGCTCCTGCGTTTGGTGGAGGAGCTTCCTTTGGTGGCACTGCCTTTGGAGCTGGAAAAGTAGATTCTGCTCCTACTTTTGGTGCACTAGCGGGTAGCAGTGGTGGATCAACATTTGGTGCATCTACTTTTGGAGCTCAACAATCCTCTGGGTTTGGTGGGTTTGGAGGAGGTAGTGGAGCAGCTCCTGGGAGCCCTCCACCTCCTGGCAAACAATTTAATTCTTGGCGCTAAAGAAACCTTCAAGATGGACGGACCAATAAAATCCTGGCTGCTGGATCTAAACATTAAATCCTCATTCACTTTTCTTTTCACATAGTATAATTCATCCATAACATTTAAAATTCTGTATATTGACAGGTCACAGAACAAAATAATTAAATAAATATTTTTTCAGAGAATAATATGTCGGGGTACTCAAACAGGTTTACGTTTGCCTGTCTACCCAGAACAGAACGTGGGCAACCCATTGTACTTGGGGAAGACCCTAAGGTTAGTTTTCACTTTAAGAATGCCATGTTTGTTACTGTTCAACTCATACCTTCGGCAGCGGAAAATCTTTTTTTCGATAAAATTTACCTCATGAATCAATATTTGTCATCACGCAATAAATTGATCTTTTAAATTTTCCTTAAAAGGGGGCGGCAAGCGTAATTTCAAGTGACCCTCCAAGCAAAGATGGCAATGCCCGATTCACAACGGCACCCTTAACATCTTTGTCTGATCAAGTATGAAATGTCAATGTTTTAATTTTAAAATTAATTATTTAAGTGTACCTTTGTGAATCGGGAATTGTCAACTTTACATGGAGGGTCACTTGAAATTGTGCTTACAATCCCTTATTAAAAAACTTTTTAATGTCAATAAGTTAAAAACAAGGTGATACATTTATAAAGTTACTTTAAATAATCATGAAAACCAGTGTCCAATTGCAGACTGGCCCAATTTCGTTGTCCGTTATGTAAAAATTACATTAATTCAAAAATGACGTGAGTAATTCGTTGAATCGGTGCCATGGAAAGGGCTCACCACGGACACTCATTGTAAATCATAAACCCAGACTACAAGTCATCTTAAATCTGAACCTAGAAGTCTTCATTTGATTTGATTTGTGCAGGGGATTGAATATCTGTAAACTGTAAAGCATAACTTTAAAAAAAGCCTTCATTAGTTTTTTTGTTAAGGGTGAGAACTTCTTGTACTGTCACGGAAACAGTGTAGTAATCAGGAACCTAGATAGTCCACAGTACTCGGAGATTTATACTCAGGTAACAGTTTAGATTATAAACCTAGAAAGCCCACAGTACTAAGATATAAATACTCAGGAAACCGTTTACATTAGAAACCTAGAAAGTCCACAGTACTCGGAGATTAATACTCAGGTAACAGTTTAGATTAGGAACCTAGACAGTCCTCTGAACTCTGAGGTTTATACTCAGGAAACCGTTTAGATTAGGAACCTAGATAGTCCACAGTACTCGGAGATTTATACTCAGGTAACAGTTTAGATTAGGAACCTAGATAGTCCACAGTACTCGGAGATTTATACTCAGGGAACATTTTAGATTAGGAACTTAGATAGGCTTCAGAATTCGGAGATTTATACTCAGGGAACAGTGTAGATCAGGAACCTGGATAGTCCACAGAACTCGGAGATTTATACTTAGTTAATAGTTAAGAAATTAGGAACTTAGATAGTCCTCAGAACTCGGAGATTTATACTCGGGTAACAGTTTAGATTAGGAACCTAGATAGTCCACAGTACTCGGGGATTTATACTCAGGTAACAATTTAGATTAAGAACCTAGATAGTCCTCTAAACTCGGAGATTTATATTCAGGTAACCGTTTAGATTAGGAACCTAGATGGTCCACAGTACTCGGGAATTTATACTCAGGGAACAGTGTAAATAGTCCACAGTACTCGGGGATTTATACTTAGGTAACAGTTAAGATTAGGAACCTAGATAGTCCACATAACTCGGAGATTTATGCTCAGGGAACCGTGCAGATCATTTACCTAGATAGTCCTCAGTACTTGTAGATATAAACTTAGGTAACAGTGCAGATCAGGAACCTAGATAATCCTAAGTACTCGGAGATATATACTCACTACTCATGTAATAGTGCAGATCATAAAACTAGATAATTCACAGTACTCGGAGAGATATATAGTTCAGGTAAAAGTAATTTTTCAACAAAAACAAAACTTCATTCCCCAGTTTTTTAAAAAATAAACAAGAATCAATTTTAGTTTTTATATCTTATTTTTTGTTAGCATTCGACCCAGGTGAATGTTGCCAAGTATTCCCCGAGCAGGTTCTACATTGCGTCTGCAGATAAATCTGGGAAGGTTAGAATCTGGGATACTGTCAACAAGGAGCATATTCTCAAGAACGAGTTCCAACCTATCTCCGGACCTATTAAAGACCTGGCCTGGTCCTCAGATAACCAAAGGTTTGTTGGTTGGTTTTCCCCATTTTAGCACAGATGCAAGGGGGATTTTAACAGTTTTCATGATCCATTCAATTTAGGCGCAGATACTGTTTACACCAGGGGTGTATATTTTCTCAAAAAATCAAACCCGCCCTTTTGAAAATCATTTCTTCCCCAAAAGTAATATGTGTTCGCGCAGAGCGCCAAAAATAAGCTTAGGTTTTTTGCATGAGGAAAATTATAATTTTTCAGGAAAAATTTCTGAATTTTTGGGTAAAAAGTATCGAAAAAGAACAAAAAAAAACCTTGCCTGTTTACATAATGCCTAGTGTTGAACACGGTTCTTGTATAGGATAGTAGTGGTCGGAGAAGGACGGGAGAAATTTGGTCATGTGTTCCTGGCTGATACTGGAACCAGTAACGGAGATATTACAGGACAAACCCGTCCCATCAATACTGTAGACTTTAAGGTAACATTAGAGAACAGAATTATAAGAAAAACTGAATAAGAATCCAGAGTAAATTATCGTTGAACTCTGACCGCGCTGGTTGGATTATCTTTTTTTCATATTAGACTTGTTGGTTGGAATTTTTAAAATTTTTGATATTTGTATTTATATTTGTAGCCGTCTCGGCCGTTCCGTATTGTGACCGGTAGCGAGGATAACACTGCTGCTGTTTATGAGGGTCCTCCATTCAAGTTTAAAGCAACCAAGAACGAGCATACAAGATACTGCCAGGTTTGACGCATTTGGAATATTTTGATTGATAGTTTTCAATTGAGGTGGGGTTTATTCAAAAAGTATTAGGGTGGATTTATGCAGGAACGACAAGTTCAAAACATTGAATTCGCATAAATATAAAAAACGGAGGCATCTTGATAACGATTCAATAGGTACGGATGTGAATTGGATATGCAACTCTTTCAAGGATGGGTCACATGAAATTACGTCTAAATACATTGAAATTGTGGGAATAGAATATATAGCTTGAAATTGTGGGAATAGGATACAAAGCTTGAAATTGTGGGAATAGAATACATCGCTTGAAATTGTGGGAATAGAATACATAGCTTGAAATTGTGGGAATAGGATACATAGCTTGAAATTGTGTGAATAGGATACATAGCTTGAAATTTTGGGGAAAGGATTCATAGCTTGAAATTGTGGGAATAGGATACATAGATTGAAATTGTGGGAATACGATATATAGATTGAAATTGTGGGAATAGGATATATAGTTTGAAATTGTAGGAATAAGATACATAGCTTGAAATTGTGGGAATAGGATACATTGCTTGAAATTGTGGGAATAGGATACATAGCTTGAAATTGTGGGAATAGGATACATGGCTTGAAATTGTGGGAATAGGATACATTGCTTGAAATTGTGTGAATAGGATACAAAGCTTGAAAATGTGATTGTGTGGGAAGAGGATACATAGCTTGAAATTGTGGGAATAGGATATAAAGTTTGAAATTGTGGGAAAATAGGATACATAGCTTGAAATTGTGGGAATAGGATATATAGTTTGAAATTGTGGGAAAAGGATACATAGCTTGAAATTGTGGGAATGGGTTACATATGCTTGAAATTGTGGGAATAGGATACATAGCTTGAAATTGTGATTGTGGGAATAGGATACATAGCTGTTAATTAGAATTGTAAGGAATCAGTGACTACTGACTATGAAGAAAGTAAAAATCATCAACTAATTCAAGTTTTGTAAAGAATATTTCCTAATATTAAATATTCAGGTTGTACGCTACTCCCCTGATGGAAACTATTGGGCTAGTGGTGGCTTTGATGGAAAGATATTCTTGTACGATGGTAAGCTGGGATTTTTTTGTAGGGTGCCTGATTTCTACTATGAACAAAATTGATATCAATTCTAACAAATAATTTGCTTTGATAAATTGTTTTTTCTTCTTTGTTCACTAGCTAGGGAACCCAGCTTTGCCTGGAGACTAATCTTTCTCTGTAAAACAGACACCCATACGGACAAGAGTTCACTTTAATTATATATCTAAGAAGCGCTAGATATCTTCGTATTGCTCGTTACTCTTGGTACAACACAGTGTAAAATATATAGAAAATGGCCAGATTTTTTTTTTTAATTAAATCTTCAATTTCTTCAGCATTGTTGATATTCAATCGTTTATGGTACTGATATAATGGTCACTCAGAACTGTAATTTCATAATCTTTTCACGGGAATTATTTTAACTTGTTGATTCTAGGTAAGGACAGTGAGTTGAAGGGAGAGCTCTCTGGTCACACCGGAGGAGTTTATGGATTAGCGTGGGACGGATCAGGACGGAAACTACTCTCCGCCAGCGGAGATAAAACATGCAGGTCAGCCTAGAATTGATTAATGGAATTTTCTCAAATTAAGAATATAAATTGTATATAACTTGTGTGTGTATCACTGTGAGATAAATTCAACTCTGTTCTACTTCTTTTCAACTACTGGTTGGTTTGAAAACTTTAAACAAACTAAAAGAAGAGTGTTTTAATCTTGTCACCGTAGTTGTACACCGTAAGTACGTACACTACATTGCACAGTTTACAGCAAATCTTTTCTATGCACGTAATTTCAATCTAGTCATAACCGAGTACTTATCAAAGGGACTATACGCGTAATTTCAATCTAGTTATAACCGAGTACTTATCAAAGGGACTATAAGCGTAATTTCAATCTAGTCATAACCGAGTACTTATCAAAGGGACTATAAGCGTAATTTCAATCTATCAAGGGGACTATAAGCGTAATTTCAATCTAGTCATAACCGAGTACTTATCAAAGGGACTATAAGCGTAATTTCAATCTGGTCATAACCGAGTACTTATCAAAGGGACTATAAGCGTAATTTCAAGCATGACTTCCCATGCAAAGATGGCAATGTTTGATTCACAACGGTACCCTGACTTTGTCTTAAGTCTTCTTTAGATATCCATGTATTTAATTTTGAGAAACTGATTTTTTTCAATGGTTGGTTTCTCTACTAAAGTGACTTGCGCATTTCCATTGAAGGAAATCATAAACCTAAATCCAAACCTATGAAAACAACAATATTTTCAACTTTATTGATCAGAAAAGGTTTCAAGAATACCGTTGCCATCTTTGCATGAAGGGTCACTTGCAGTTTGCAGTTCCTTTAAAGAACTTTTATATTTAAAAAAAATAGGTTGTGGGATATTGAGACTCAGAGATGCATAACAACCTTTAATATGGGAACTCAAGTGGAGGATCAGCAGGTACTTTTCAAATCTGTCTACTAGGGGTAGGTTTGTTACTGACAGCGGAGTGACCTCCAAAATCTTTTTAATCTATTAAACACATATTTGTTTAGTTTTTACATCTTTTGATTTGTACAATTTATTGCTATTATGTTAATTCCATCTATATGAGATACTATTAGGTCGTTTTTGATCCAAATAAAAGTCGTCTTCCTATTCCCCAGTTTTATTTTCACCAATGTATTTCTTTAATCCACCTTTTTAAAATCCTCCAATAATTCATGCCTCAAACCTTTTGCAATTAACTTTAAAAGACGTATTAAGGTCGTCCTTTAATTTGCATTTTTAACGAAACTGTCTTTGATAGTTTTTCTTTAATGGTGGATATTTTTCAAACAACATTCCCATAATAATAATAATAATCTCTAAAATGTTAAACTCGGAAAAATGTCTGACATTATTCATAGCGAATATGAAGCTAAAAAGATTAGAATAAAAAGAATTGGAAAAAAAGAAACAAGTCTATTTGAATAAGCTCAACCACTTAAAAATCATTCTTTACGCAAGTCACTTTCATAGAGAACAGATACCACAATTGAAAATTATCAACTTTGTCTAGGTCGGATGCTTGTGGTCCGGTCAACACTTGATATCCGTTTCTCTCTCCGGGTTCATCAACTACCTGGATATCAATAATCCAGATACTCCTAAATTAATTATCAAGGTAGGATTATTTACCAAAATTCTAGGCTTACCCCTTCTTTACTATAACATCCTTAGTTTTATTTTTGTTGAGGAATGATGATCGTTTACCTTGAACACTTGATCTCGATATCCAATTAGGGTAAATGCTTAAATCCTTCACTTAAGATATTCCTGCAGGGTATGACCACTACAGGATATCAAAAAGGAATTAAATAAATCAGAGGTCTGAATAAGATGTAGATCAATGCTTGATCCTAGATACACAACACAAAAGTTTTCATTGGTTCTCTGTTGATGTACTTTATTGAGGTTTAAGAATAGATTTAATTATCAATATTATTTTTTATAACGAGACATGTATGCCAACGTGCACAAACAAGAACATAAAATAATTGAGAATTTACAAATATTTAAAAATCTTATAATTCGAAGATGGCAACAATTATAGATTTAATGTGAGGGTCAGTTGTTTTAATGTTAACGGGATAAAATCAGAGCTGGGAATTCGTTGTTTAAATATCGAGATAAATGCTTCGGTAATGTTGATCCGCTCTACTGCCCATCCGTCCTATTGCCCATCCGCTATACTGCCCATCTCACGTGGTTGTAGGTCGGATGGGCAGTAGAGGGGATGGGCGTAGGTCCAAAAATACACCATCAAATGCTTCATCTCAATCTTTTATTAATCTGCAGAAAAGTTTTATCTTTTTTCGATATCCCACGTGTAATTGTACCCTGAAGGGATAACTGAAAAAAAGTTAATTAATCCTTAAATTAAAAGTGCTCACTGTGGATATCGAAATCAAGCGATCGGGATTAAGAGTATCCACCACAAAAGTTCCTGGCTCAGTTCCGAATAACAAGCCAAATCTTTATGCAATTTTTTAACATTTAAAAATCTAAAATCTTCGCACGATTTCTGTCAGTTTCAAAAAAAAGGTTTTTAAAACCAATTTGCTTTCTTAAGTTCTTTTTCTAAATGTCTGAATGTCAAATCCGTTTTTTAAGCGGCGGGGGGGGGGGGGTCTGATTACTGATGTTGGTTGACGCTTTTTAGTTTGACAATAAATGTATTTCAGGGCCATAATAAACCCATTACTGCTATGGATCTATCCTCTGATAAGAAGACGATCTATACCGGAGGTAGTGATGGAACTGTAACCGCCTGGGATCCTGAGTCAGGGAACAACCAGAGAATCGGGGGATCAGGACACGGAGCTCAGATCATTCAGATCAAAGGTATCAAACTAATAAAACAAATATCTAATCTTAAATCTGTATTTTGGAGCTCGAAGCAATCGCTGCATCACATCGCTTTAGGCATAAATCCCTGCATTAAATGATTTGACTTGATTAAGGAACTAATACTGGAGTGGCTAGTATCGGATTTGATGATACACTACGTGGAGTAGATGGTGGCAGTGGAGAATATACAGGACCTGCTCAACCCCTCTCCGCTCAACCTAGAGCTCTAGATATTAAAGGAGATCTCACCGTCACTGCTACTCTAAAGGTTTATATTTTAAATTTCCTTACCTTCAAAGTTCAAATAATCAAAAATTCTATTAAATGGGTTCGTCCTTGGCCGGAAAAGAAATGTAGAAATTGGTATGAAGTAAAATTAGACTGTCATGGGGGGAGGGGGGGTGTTTGAAATTTTACATTCCGATCTCATCAATCACATTTTTCTGTAACAAATCTAAAATCAGTGCTATTAATTACACACTAAACCAACATGATGACCAAAAATCCGCGAAATATATTTCAGAAAATCCGCAAATTTATGCTGTATCTGAGTGTATAGTGTATAGTAAAGAAATTATTGGCATCACATCCTTTACTAAATTAAATCAAATTTATCTAATTCAAACCACATATATTTTTTATTAACTACCAGGGGCGGATACAGGGGTGAGCCTTGGAAAAATGGCTCTCTCCTATAATAATTGCTCCCTTCTATAGTATTTGGGGGAAGCTACGGAAAACGGAGAACAAATTCCGCTCCTGTTAACATACTTATCAAAATCATTTACATTTTACATGTTAGCTTTTTACAGTTAAATTCCAAGATTAGAATAAACGTTGTTCTAGAGTTTAGTTCTGCAACGAGGAGGAAACCTCATGTTTGAGGAGAAGGTTGAGTTCGAGCCTAGCAGTGTCAACTACTCAACCAGTCTTGCTCATCTAGCTGTAGGGGAGGCAGGCGGGAACCTTCTCAGGATCTACAGTGTTCAGGTTAGTGTCGAGGGGGGCAGCCAAGATATTAAAAAAGAGAAAATTACAGAGCTAAAACAGTGGGAAATTGTTAAAAGAAATTTGCACTTTACAGGAAAATGGTTATGTTGTGATTTCCGAGTATTTGTTATTGTACTGCTATGCTTATTGTACTGTACTGCATGTTGCACAGCATTTCACATTGTACTATTATTATTATTGTCATCATCCTCATCTCATCCTCATTTAAGTTACAGCCAAAGTATCATCAAAGGCTATGTTACGTCAAGAAATGCATATATTATATTGTAAAGTTTTGAATATTGTACTCTGCATATAGTACTGTACATATTGTACTGTACTGTATATTATACTGTGCATATTGCACTATAAATATTGTACTGTACTACATATGTTTCAGGAAGGTGGGCTGGACCTGGTAAAAGAGATCCAGTTGACTGGTGCTGTGCAGGATCTGATGTATTCTCCAGATCAGAAATATCTTGTTGCTGCAGACAGTAATAGGAAGGTATAAACGCTATTTATAAAGATCAGCTTTAAAACATTACCAGTAATATGAAAGTGTTTTAAGTCTGATTTTAAAAAAAAGAACAATAATGGAATAAATTTTGAAATTAAGAGTCCTTTGATCATACGAAGTTCACAAAACCTGTATTTCTAGTAACGTACTTCGATTTGACGGAAAAGTTCAAGATACAAGTTGATGCTGTTCCTTGCAAAAAAAATTGAGATTTCGGATGTTCTTCCAGCTACCTGCTCAATGCTTATCCTACTATAAATTCAGTTGTATTTTAAAAAGAATAAATTACGTGTCAAAACACTTTTCGGAATGTATTTTTGGATTCTCAGAACGTATATTTGTACTGAAATCTACAAAATGTAGTGAGGTTAAATACAGGCATGTTTTATTGTCAACCAATAAGCTGATGCTTGATTTTGTTTAAGGTGAGTGTGTATACAGCCGGATCCTACGAGAAACCTCATAAACAAGAATGGGGGTTCCACACCGCTAAGGTGATTCATACTCTAATTATTTTAATAGATAAATCATATGTGATCTACATAAATTTTATGATGAAGAAATATTCGATCTTAAAAAGAAAATTAAAGAATTTGGGTGGGTTTTCGTCTGTGCACTCAGAGGCGTATACAGGATATTCTAGAGGGGGAGTCAGTCCCCCAACTCGAAAAATGCTTCACTTGTCTAAGGGTAGGGTCTTACACCCCTACACCTAAGCATCTTTCTGTGCTGTAGAAATCCCTAAATAGTCGAGAAAAGCTGCGTTTTTTTTATTTTACTATGATATTAAGGTGAACTGTGTAGCCTGGGCTCCTAACTCCATCTATGTGGCGAGCGGTGGACTAGACTGTTCTATCATTATCTGGTCCATGGACTTACCTGACAAACATTGTATTATGAGAAACGCTCATGATCAGGTCATTAATGTGAAGTCTTTTTCAATTAGGGGCTATTAACATATTTATAACACATTTTAAAACCAAAGTTTTAAATTAGTATCATATCATATTGATTTCTAATATGGCAAAAACTCTAATTAATTTGATTACTACCAAAACATAAAGATATTCAATGATATTTCTTGGTTTATGCGCTGACTTACTTTAAAACCTTCTCTCAAATAAAATTCATTAAAAATGCACTCATAAATTAAGCTTTAATATGTTTTGCAGTCCATAATGATAGGTTTCAAAATTGGTCGTTTTGTAGGATTTCTGTAATGTCGAATTTTCATTCAGACTTAAAATCCGCACTGAAAAACGGTACATACGGTAGCCCTTTAATTTCGGGATTTGATTGAATTTTGTACATCTTTTTTAATGTTAATGTTTTAGAGTCAAATAACCCGTGTAAGCTGGTTGGATAACTCATCCCTTGTATCTACTGGACAGGATGGAAATACCAAGATATGGAATATTACCTGGCCAAACTAAAGGTTAGATTAAGCTGTTACTATCTCTTGGTTTAATATTCGATCTATTTATTTTTGACGTCTTGGGTTGCTTCTTTTTTGTAGCCTAAAAACGCCAAAACTGAAAACGATTTAGACCAACAAAAAAAAGGGTTGAACTTGCCTACCTAGGTTTAAACAATTCCATTTCCAAGAATTTTGTAATTCTATCAAATTGAAAAATATAGAAAAAGAGACTTAAAGCGTCCAAACTGCCTTTATTATGTAAATCAAGGGTTTCTTGTTAGACAAGAGAAAGCTTAACGAAGCCGATATTATGCATTGCCTTTGAGCAATCTGAATTGCGGCCAAAACAATTTCAAAATCTACGTAACATTTCCGACCCCCAATCTAAGGGTTGTAACACAATTTGAGGAGGCTTGAAGTTTGCCATTTTAAGCCATGATTATTGAGTCGAGTATCTTAAAGAGCGTCTTTTTTGGGACATCATGTATAATATATTGTTGTTGACTTTAAAAGTCAATATGATAAAATAAAAGAGATCTAATGGTATTTCTAATCTTTATTTATTAAAAACGAAAGGTTATGAAATAGTTTCCCAAGTGGGGTTAAAATTGGTTGGTTTAGAAATTAATAAAGAAACTATAAATTGGCAATCAGTAGCAACTTAAGTGAGCTATGTAGAACTTCATGTTGGTAGTGCAGATCAACTAGAACTGTAACAGCAGGTTTCTGCTCTCTCCAGGCTCTCGTAGGATATATAATCCCCAACAAAACTTCCAGGTTCGATTAGGAAACTCTTTAGAGTTGAGATTATCCTCTTGTAGAGGAGAGTGGGTGAGTAGGCCCGTCGGAACTCCGGGGAGGGAAATATATTCAGTCCGGATAATTCCTTTCCGTTCGGCCGCAAATGCTTAGAACTCTTGGAACATTTTGATGGGCTGGATGTAAGCATCGTCTGCTGCTGCTCAAGTATCTATATTAACAACATGCAGGAGCCAGGGTAGCTCTCTGAGACTGAGTTGTGATCATCTCGGATGTTTTCGGCTGACTGCTGAGGTGAGGCAGGAGCTGGGATGAGCGGGGATTTGACATCTGTGGTGTGCTTCATTGCGGAAATGGATCCTGTGTACACACACATCTAGAGAATTAACAGAGGCATTTGAGTCGGTACAATCGTCTTCCTTATATTTCGAATTTATGTTAACAATTGTATAATAATTTGAAATACTTGAAAAGAACCCTTTACACCGTTCATACGCTGAACACTCTATTACGCAATATATATATAAATATATTTGTATATTAAAATACAGCTCTATACTGGACTTGTATCGAGATGGACTGGTCGTGACGTAGTCATTGGCCCCGCCATGTTGGTTCATACTAAACTTGTGTCATTGACCAACATGAATTAATTTTCGCCCTTTGGCGGTCATTTTTAAGGATGGGTCGGCCTGGATTTCTACGTAATGAAGGTTGATGTTTTTTTTATTTACTTATTTGTATAGGTTGACCTGCGTGCCTTTGGATGCTTCTCATCTTACAGAAGATCTTCTCCCTCCTCATCTCAGGAGCTTGTCTTTTCTATATTTATAATAACTCCCACAACCCTGGTGCCTAAATTTAAAAATTTTATTTTAATTAATATTTTTACTAATCGAACCAAAGTTTTGGAACAATGTGATTTTATGATAAACCCTTCATCAGCCCGGAATCGGATAAAACTCATTTTTGGATTTTATAATATCAAACTGGCCTTGGCCAATATTTAGATTGTGCTAGCTTCTGAAAACAAAGATAAAAGAGGGAATCATAGAAATATTTTCTTTGTACACTCGGTATATGTATTAGCTCTGTATTTGTATATTGTATAGTCCAGTTAATGGTGGTAAGGCAAGTTGCTTGTCAGAGCATAGTGTACATTGTACATCATGTACAGTGTACATTGTACATCATGTACAGTGTACACGTAATCTGCCAGTATTGTAATACGTCGTACATTAGGAACACTTTGTATTTAGCTCACTTCAATAGAATGAACTTGGTTGAAACTAGTTCACTGTTCAGTGTACTCTAGTTTACTCCATGGTTTACCATATCTTAATGGCTGATAAATGATGGTATGCGTGAGATGTCTTCCTTTGAATAAAAAATCCACATTTTCACAATTTTCAAATTTATACTAACCATTTTTTAACCATATTGTGATTTATTTAAAGACAATATTTATTGATTTATTGATTTTAGAAATTTGATAATTTATTTAATAAGTTTAATAAATTTAGTAAATACTGAAATGTTTTATGATAATATATACCTGTCAACTTTTTCTGTTAAAATTTATATTTATGTGTTTTAAAAAAAGGTTTAGATTAATATGGCATCTAGAATGGCTGTTGGAGCTGAGAGAAGGAAAATAATTGGATTGGTTGATGCTTGTCAGGGTGAAGATGATACACCCATTGACCAGTCATTGCAGAAATGGGATGTGCAAATAAATCCCAGTTTGATACCAAGGCAAAGAATGCTTGTTGATGGAAATATTTGGGAACAGTCTTGGGAAGGGAACTGGTTTCCAATTCAGAATCTACCAAAAGAATTGGAAAAGACTCAGGATGATTGGCCTCCTGTTGTTCCTTTTAGGGACGATCACGAGCAGATCTCCAATATGTACCAGGACGAATGGCCGCCGATCAATGACCCGTCTCCTTATGAAAACGACGGTTTTGGCTCTTTATGGGGTCCTTGGAACTCTGGGTTCTCTAGGAGAGAAGATGCACAAGAAAGAGTGAACAGGTTGAAGGAGGACCAGGATAAAGGAGATGAAACCTCTGCTGAAATCCCTGCTATGGATAAGCAGGACGAGCTCAAGAACAAGACTGAAGTTGGGAGCAGAATTAGCAACCTAGTTGGAGAGATTATTGCCTGCACAAACCAACCATGTAATGTTAATTATATTCATTTCTATCTAGTGCGTTTTATTTCGGAGTAGATGTAAGTATTTAATGAATTGTTACGATATCAGTTAATTTTGATTTTATATATCTATCTTTGGGTCGGTGCTATAAAATATAGGTATTAGAGTTCATATTACTTTCTACAAATAGGCTTCAATTGATAAATTTCAAATTTGCTTGAAAGGAAGAATGAAAGAATGAATGGGGCAACGTGTTTCTTTGTACATCAGAATAAGAAATATATATACATGATTGGTTAAAGTTGTATCTTTTTATATCTGTTCTGAAGAAATGATTGCTAGCTTTAAACTGAATTTTTAATTTAGTGAATGTTATCCTTGATTTAATGATTCTTCATCTGCATGGAATAAAATTTATCTCCGGACTCCCTTATCTACTCTTCAACATTCTACCTGAACCATGTTCAACTCCTCGGATAGACGAGAGTCGGGACTCTGGCTCATCTCAGTCATACATGGAGTCGGAGCAGTCCTTGGTAAAACCATCTCAACAGGTAAGATGAGGGGGGAACCCCCGGTCGCCATGAGCCTTCGCTATGCAGATACGAGCCTCCCAAATTTGCTAGGCAGACCGAGCCTCCGCTATGTAGTAATGAGCGTGCGCAACACATCAAAATGTGCCTGTGTATTACAGAAGGTTTTTTTAAGCTTGTGTTCTAAGTTTAAATTAAAGATTTTTTTTTTCAAATATTTCGACATAGTGGCATGAGAGGTTTCTCAAGGATGAGAAGTATTTATTAATTATCATAAATAGTGCCTAATTATGACTAATAAAGTGGTATATATAACTTTAAAACATTTTTACACTAAAAGGAAAATATTTAGAGAAAAAAAAATAATTGAGTTTTATTTAATCTTTTAAAATCTTTGATTTAAGCGATACACTTTTTTGTAGTTCAAATTAAATCTAGAAAATTTGTATAATTTGTTTAAGTCTTTACATTTTTCAAAAAAGGTATTGTTCAAATCAAAGATTACAACAAAACAAATTAAATTTACTCCAGAAATATTTCTCTAAATATATTCCTTTATATAAATGTATAATTCTTATAAACCATAAATCATGGCAATCAATAAATAACTCTAATCTCAAGTAAAATTCTTATGCCACTATGTCAAAAAAAAAATTTAAAATTTTTCATTACACATAAAAACCAAAATTTATAAAAAGCTGTGCTTTATGGTGGAGGCTTGTTTACTGCATAGGGGAGGCACGGCCTGCAAAGCGGTGGCTTGGTCTGCATAGTGGAGGCTCGGTTTGCCTAGAAAATCCAGGAAGCCCGTGTCTGCATAGTGGAGGCTCATTGGCTTCCGGGGTTCCCTCCCTCGTAAAATATAGGCCACTACTAAAACTCATGACAACTTAAAAGTTGTCTCTGATAGTTATTTAAGGATAGATTTTGTCATTTGATAGATATCAAAGATCAAAGACGATCTTTAAGTCGTAGCTCTCAACTGTCCTGTTAGTGGAAACCCCATTCAATATTCTTCATTTTACACTCTAGCTACACGGTTACACAATATCATTGTTAGACAAGAGTTTTTCAATACCACAACCTGAAAACTGGTTAATACTTTTTATACTCCTTTAAACCTGTAGTTACATCTAAAACATATGTGAAGAAAAAGAAACAGTTATATTAGGTTTATATTATAATTACAAATTCTATTGAATCTCAATTTCTATCATTTGTTTGTAACTTTGTAGGTATATTGTACAAATCTCACTTAATTATAATGTTTTAACTGTGTTTCTTGATCAAGCTAGTAAAATACAGGGTTACCCCCAAAAGACGCTATGTCATTTGTCCTACAACCATTTGTCCTACAATCATTTGTCCTACAGTTCATTTGTCCTTTACTTCATTTGTCCTACAGTTCATTTTTCCTACACTTCATTTTTCCTACACTTCATTTTTCCTACACTTCATTTTTCCTACACTTCAATTGTATTCTACGCATCAATTGTCCTACAGAGAGAGACAAACATCATTTGTTCTAAACCTGCTGCGACTAGGATGGGCTAGAAGGCCGAGCGCTGCGGCATCTCGAATATTAAATAATATGTTGTCTCTCACCTTATTTTGGTTTAGGTTAGGTGAATACAATTTCTGGGCCGAGCGAGCTGCGATTAGGATGGGCTAGCACTGCGATTTAATGGTCTCACGCTCTCAAGCTTAAATTGTTGAGAATTTTGCCAATAACTTCTAAAAAACAAAGCTGACAACAAGTGCTTTACAGTGCTAAAATGTACATGTAAAGGGCTACAGAAAAGCATAAGTTAGTTAGAGCGGTAAATCTTAGCTTAGGGCGTTGCGACACTTCAAAGTCAACCCTGTCTTAAAAATTTATGAGACTGTTAATAAGCAGGCTGAATCTATGTACTGGGGGCCGAGCCCTGCGGCCTCTGAAATGTAACAGACATTTATGTATATATTTTATGATGTATTGGACAAATGTATTTTTTCCGCTCTGTAGGAAAAATTATGTGTAGGACAAATGATTTGTAGGCCAAGTGTTGTGTAGGACAAACGATATGTATGAAAAATTAGTTTTCCCCCGCTCTGTAGGACAAATGAGATTAACGCCCCCTAAAATAGGATCAGACTTTCATGATAACTTGAAACTATTGGAATTTTGGGTTTCAGCATTGCATACAGTTTTTAAATGGTATACTTTTTGGGTTGGAAATTAAAGAACATGATTTCAACTGTGGGGAACCTAAAATGTAAGTTTCGGATAACCCTGTAGTTTCAGGTGGCAGCCTTTGATGGGAGAGAACCGGGAAGTCTTGGAACAACAACAACCTCTCCGGAGACAACAAGATGGTCTTCTCTGTGGTACCCCCCAACTTCTCCAACCTTGTATGATGTTAGCATAAACCTGGAGCAGAATGTGTCCAGAGGTAATCTGTCCCAGTCCGATGAGTCCAAGGACGGAAAGGCCGATGATGTATACCAGAAGATGAGGAGGGAAGGAAAAGTTTCCAAGAGATCTCGACTGAATCCAGGAAAATATGGTTACTGCAGGCCTGATCCCAGGTACACTTTTATATACAGAACAGAGGGACTCCCAACTCAAAGGGACTCCCAACGTTTCCCGCACTTGGTCGATTTTACCGGGAAACTAAATTTTTGCTATTGAAGTCGATCCACTCAACTTAGACTCTCAATAGATAAGAAGATTCCTGTGGTTCTGTCGAGTTTCCCAATATAAATTTGAGGCAACTGGGCCAAGGGCTTCATGAGTAACGGTCGGACATACTAACAAATAAACGGTCAAACAGAGATTACAACTTTATATATATGCGGTATATACGGTATACGTGACAACCTAAAAACTTCAACGCCAAAATACGCATATTGTTTTTATTTTATATTTTAATACATTTTTAAATAATTTAACTTTTGAAATAGTCGAACAAACATCTAAAAGCGCTCTGCACGATCCAATTTGATGTAGGAAACACCCTGTGGGACGTATACTGCATGTGTGTCTCACACGATAATTATTTGATAGTGGGATTCAAAAAAGGATTAGATTTCAATGACGACTGCGCGGATTTGAACTGTCCATTTCCTTATATTCATGTCTCCCTGAAACTTTGAATATTTTTATTCTTTGACCAACATTAAATATTCAATCAAAAGCGTATGTTCAAAGCTGTGAGACTTTAGGGTTTATAGGGTTTCAAAGTGTATCTTTAAATGACTTTTATCTCTCACTTCGTGGGTCGCACGTGTCTCATAGACGTGCTGAAGATTTTGTACCGTGGTATAATAATTCCTCTTTATAACTCGAAGTATAGAAGATAACTCCAAAATAGTTTATGTATTTATTTATCCTCTAATCAGGTGATAACTGAAAAAACAAATCACAATTAGATTAGTACAAATTACTGTAAATAAATATAAAAATAGGGAAAGTATTTAAAGATAAAATCAGCTATTTATAAGGCGCGGCTTTTATGAATGGTAAATAAATGAGTACTTACATTACGGACATTATCCAGTTACAAGAGAGATAGTCATGTTCACAGGTTTAAAGCTTGCTTCATGGTTGATAGTCGACGTCTAAAATTATTGACGTTTAGATGATCAATCAATCAATCAACAGTACATATAACAAATTAATATTTATATCTAACAGAGTTTTTTAAATAAATAAATATTATTTACCTATAGGATCATTTTGTAGCATGACAACCTATAGAGATCAGGATCGCTCACACCCAGCGATCTAAAGTTTAAAACTCGATTAAACTTTGATAAGTCATGAAAAAAGATACCGATTCTTTTCATGCTCAGGTTATATACTCTCTTTAAATGTTCAAATGTTTCTTATGAGAGATATATACCTGTAGTGGATTCACAATAAACAGGATCCGTTGAGCGAAGTTTAGTACGACTTCGCTAGAAAGGTCTGCAGGGAAACTCGTCTCCGTGCAATTCAGGTTCTAGAGAAAAGGTTTTAAAGTCTTTTTTCTATTAACTGAAAGGTGTGAAAAATGTTAGATGAATGCATTTTAAAGTATATGTATATACCTATATACTTAAAGCTGAGAGCTCGATCAGCCGGTCACACTCTACACGCTCCTTCAGTCTCTATAAAAAGTGCATTATTTATTTATGCTCATTTTATAGTCTTTTTTAGGCAATTTGTTTATTCACCTAAAAGTGCTACAGAGACTGCAAGAACGTACAGGTAGAGGTGTAGATCGTCAGTAGTTGCTATAACTTCAGATCTAGATTTACAAATTGGTTATTTTTTTTATAATGCAAACTTCTTTACAATTGTTTATATATGTTTAAAAATGTACCTATGATTACTAAGAGTAGAGCATTGCAGTAGGTTAAAACATCCTATCCGCAGTTCTTGGATATTTCATGTACAGTACTTTGAACGCGCCGTACATAATATCTGAAATATTCAGATATTAAATATAAAAAGTTTTTATAGAATTTCCGAGCATGGAAATTAAATTGTTTTGTGATTAAAACGTTTAAAAATTCTTGTATAAAAAGAACGGACATTAATAATTGTATATAGAAGGATTGTGCGTCCTCCTTCAACTTCTCAAGGATTGTGCGTCCTCCTTCAACTTCTCCCGTGTAACCAAGTCGTCTTCCCTGAATAGTATAGATTTTACAAAAGCAGACAACTTAATTTAAATTGCGGGATGGAGTCTATACGTGTGCGGCTTGCCTCCCCCCCCCCCTCAACTAACCTTGCCAATAAATTTTTTAAAAATAAATTATTTTTAAATTAGCATTTGTCTTCTAGGGGTAGGTTTGTTACTGATAGCGGAGTGATCAATAAATTTATATCTAAACCTTCCAATCCTTACACTCTTCAACAGGAAATATTTTATCAAAGATCAAAATTGTAAAATAATTGTTGTTTTATCTTTTTAGAAAGTGTAACTAAATATTATAGTTAGAATGAATCGCGACTATTCATGAAAAGAAAAAGATCAGTCATGCATAATCAAAATATTTAAAAACTCATTTTATTGAGTGTACTTGGGATCCTTCAAGGAATTTTAGACATGATTTCACGTGGGGTATATAGGGGTATATCCGATCAACGGTGTAATTCAAACTCTTGTCTAATCAAAAATGAACAAAAAATCCTCGTTTTTCTATCTTGAAAAGTTTTTAATTCTTACCCTTTTTAATGTTATTTAGTATATCAAGTCACTTTTATAGAGAAGCCACAGTTTAAAATTGTAAAAAAAGGATATCACATTAATCTCTGATCTAACATAGGTTTAAAAGATAGTGTTGTGATATAAAGGGTCAATTGACATTACGTCTTGTATCCCTTTAACAAATTCGTCAAATTGGAGATGGAAATTAAGATGTTAAATTTCTTAAACTTTATTTAAATACTATTTCCTTTTATTTAATAAAATATATTAGGCAACCTCCAGAAATCTAGCTCAGTTCGGCGCTGCACCTTGCACATATATCTATGATTAATTAATTTAATATTGTTTTTAATCTTTATATACGTTCTAATTTTTTTTATTTGTCCAAAACATTTGAAATATTAGTTTAAATTAGTTTATTTTACCTGACTTAAATTGTTCTCAATGAAATCCTTAAATTTTGACTTTTGGAAAAATCTAAAAATTTTACTATGATACTGTTTATTAGATGATATTGTTTCACAATTGAGTTTTTTAGTAATTCTGTGATTATTAATATTTGTTAATATTTAGCTTATTTGTTAATTCACAATTTTCATTATTTACTACGTAGATAAATTTTTTTTATTCAAGAAAGTTATTTCTTTTAAGTCTTAAAATGAAGATGGCCATGCTTTTCCCGTTTTAGGAGAGAAATCGTATCAGGAATATTTAAATTTTCATGCTGCTATAAATATTTTTCAAATAGAAATCAATAAAAACTTGATTCTCTTTACATTATTTTTTTCGTTCTTTTTTTTATGTGTGCAGTCTTCCATTTAAAGAGGAGGGGAGAAATTTTTTTTCTTATCTTGGGTGTTTTGTAATTTTGGTGTTTCTTCTGTTTTTTAAGTAATTTGTAAATTTTAGCGCACTATCATTTTTTTATGCATACAAATTATATTTCTTTTTTATAAAAGTAAATTTGCAAGCATTTTTTATTCGTGCTTTGAAATATTTGACAATACCATGTATTCACTTATTCAAATCCGGTTTAGTATTCAGATCCGGATCCAGGGTAGTATTCAGATCCGGATCCAGGGTAGTATTCAGATCCAGATCCGGAGTAGTATTCAGATCCGAAGTAGTATTCAGAGCCAGATCCAGGGTAGTATTCAGATCCGGAGTAGTATTTAGCTCTAGATCCGGGGTAGTGTTCAGATCCGGAGAAGTATTCAGATCCAGATCCGGGGTAGTATTCAGATCCGGGGTTGTATTCAGATCCGGAGTAGTATTCAGATCCGGAGAAGTATTCAGATCCGGAATAGTATTCATTGATTATAAATCTACATTCGTAGTCAGCCTTAGAATAAAAATTCATCATCGGCTTGTAGACGGGTGAATACTATACATATACATCCTAGCTCTATTTTGAATTAAGAAACTAGTAAGTTTAGGATCAAAAGACTCTGGCAGAGAAACTTTAGGATAGTCACTAACACTCTATTTCAAAAGTACCTAAAATGATCATCCTAGGTTGAGGCAGTATTAGTAAGGGAATAGGATTATTTAATGTTTAAAACACTTTAATCAATGTTGGCATAAAAATAAATTAAAAACTAAACTATAAAAATATAGAAGTAAAAATGCTAAAATGAGCTTTTTAAATAATATGTATGCATCCTGCAGGTCCGCTACCGTCAGAGCAACACACCCAAACATCTAGAGCGATTAAATTGTTTTAGATTGTGAGTCCATACAATTCGAAAAATTTAAAAAATTCCATTAAAATACCCCTAAACAAAGGGAGCACTGGCTCCACTAGTACCATTTGCCCGGAGTATAAATCTGCGAGCAAATGTTTCATGGGTCCAGTGCTCCCTTGAGCACTGGACCCACGAATAAAACTTGCATTAAAATAAATATCACTCCGGAAAAACCCAGTTCAAGATGCCTCGCTCCAACAGCCACAGACAAGCAGTTCACCGAATGACTCATTTAAATAAAATATTATTCATATTTTAAAAACCGATATATAAATTGCCTAGTTAACCGGTATTAAAATAAGACCAGGCCGAAACAAAAAACATTAAAAGAAAAATACACTAAAATTGGACCGAAATTAAATATGTATTGAAAACCTTAAGTGAAAAAATTAAATGAAAAAAGTTGATGAACAAATTAAATGAAAAAATTCAAATGAAAAAAATTTAAATAAAAATTTAAATAAAAAATTATAAATAAAAAATGTAAAATTTTTAAATCCTATTCTACCTATAATCAAAAGTTTAGTTTTTTTCATCTTCCGAACAGTAAAGATGTATTGCTCGAGTTTTTTCTCGGGAACATCCATTGGTAGATAGTAGTCTTCAAGGTTTATCTGAGATTTTTTAACAAATGATTTCACATATTTGTGCCGGTTAGAACATCCATTAAATTTGATCGTTGTTAAAAACTTCTTTTTCTTGCTAGTTTCTTGTCCTTTCCTAAGTTTCTTGGGATTTTTAATTTTAGAAATTTGATTTACAGAAAATCCTTTTAATTTAAGAATGTGGTGTATAATTTTATACTGGTTGTTTCTTTCTCTTGGAGTGGTGCAGTGAGTTCTTGCAGTACAAAAATATCCATTTCCTGCCATTTTCTTATATTTCCAGGCGACATTGGAATTAGGAGGAATAATATTGTACTTGTTGTTCTGTTTTCTCAGTACTGTCGTGAATGGGTTTTCAAAAGAAGGAAAATTAAATATTCGTATGTTCAAAAATTTTCCCTGGATGATTTTAGTTTCCATATTAAAAATAATATCTTTTGGATACCCAGTGCAAATTACTTTGATTGCTTTACATATATCATCAGGCGCTCCAACTATATGTACCGACACATCATCTCTAAACCTAAGATACCGCTTTACATTGTTTTGAAGATGGTGTCTTGATAAATTATTAAAAATGCTTAATTCTGCTATTCTCAAAATAATTTCGCTGCCTCTGGCTGCTGAGCAATCTCCCATTGAAAAACCTTTTAAAGTTTTAAACATTCCTAATGGCTCTTTGAAATACGAATGGTCCATAATGCACGTAATTAACAATGTAATGTAGTTAATTGAATTTTCGGAAAAAGATGCCAATTTGCATGCTTTGTTCACGCTGGATATCAGTAAATTTTTGTTGCAATTTGAATATAGGTCGCTGAAATCTCCTTCGATTTCTACAGAATTGCCCCAGTTACCTGTTTTACTTTCCTTGACCCTATTTATAGCCTCATCTATTCCTCCAACTGAAGGGGACCATTTACCGAATTTTTTGTTAAATTCATTTTCTATATAGAATAATAGATGATTAAAAACCCTATCTAAAATTTTCTGGATGGTTTTAATTGGATCCTTCATTGAGCTTTTTATACCCCGTGACGTTAAATTAACAACATTCTTGTGATTTACCTCTTGGAAGTTTTAAGATTTTTGGCATTAATCTAAGTACTCCTATTTCAGAATCTTTTTCTTCCCATCTAAAATATGATTTAGTTATAATTTTTGATAATTCGTTTGGCAGGTTTATTTCAGCTTGTTTAATGAAATCAAGTATATTCCTTATATACCAATCTTCGTCTAGATCTACTTTTCCAAAATGTTGTTGAAGGTTTATTTTCTCGTACTGTTGCAGTAGGTCTTGAACGTACATACAAACATAACCAATGTTTTTATCTCCCTCTATCAAAATTTTATTTTGCCCTGGTTCAAAAGCTGAATTAAAGAATTGTTCGTCTGGAAGATTTTCAACATTTCCCTTATTCCTTCGCATCTGGGTTGTAAATAAACTTAGCTCTTGTTTATATATATTAATTGCATGATCCAGGAACTCTTTAATTTTAATTGTTACATTTGATTCAATTATGTTCTCCAGGTCTTCCACAATATTCCTGGGATTGATTACAATTGAAATGTTGAACTCAGATTTGATGTATGATTTCAAGATTAAGATAATTTCTTTATTAAATCTATCAATTTCCCTGTTGGTAGAATAATTTGTTTGTGGTGAATATTTTTTGCCTAGTTTTAAATTCTTAATCAATTCTGGATTTATTTCCTCATCTGTTAAATTGAAAAAAGACTCGCTTTTTAATGCTTGTCTAATTGCCTCGATTTCTTCGGAAGTATAAATATCCATGGACTTATATAATCTGTTTAATAAATATTTCTCAAATTTGCTAATTAATACATCAATCTGTTGTAAGATTAAATCTTTACAGTGGCTTGGAGAATATAAATCAATTGCTTTGACGAGCCGTTCCCTGTAATTCATCCTCATCAGGGTTGTTCGTAGTTTACTGTAAAATTCGATCCATATTTGATTAAACCCATCACCTGAAGAAATCTTAAAGGTCCCGTTGTTTTGTAGAGTTGCGAAGTCTTCCGAGATCTCATTGAAAGTTTCTACCTTACAGTGTTATCATATTTTGTATTATAATTCTATCTTTAGCTTTTGTTACCTGGCCGGTCATACCGGCCCGTATAATCATGTTTATAAATAAATCAGTTGAATACAGACTTTTGTTCAGTATAGACGGAATCGGAATGATTCATTAGAGTTTTAGGCGGTTTAGCCATGCAGTAGTCAGAGTTGACTGATAATTAGAGTTTGAGGCAGTTTGGCCATAAAGATTCAGTGAGGAGAGACGGGCTAGATCGTTACATAAATAATAATATCGGGTTGCAAAGATACAAAGATTATCAAAACAGAGTTTGTGACAAAAACTCAATTCCTCTCTAAAACCCTGAAACAATCAAGCTCTTCCAAAACATCCCAGGGGGTGCTAAGCTCCCCCCCCTGAAAAGAAAAAAAAGTTACGTCTCCCCTGGAAAAATTCCTGAATACGCCCGTGGAAGAAAGCTGTAATGTATAGTGGAGGCTCGGTCTGCCTAGCAAATATGGGAGGCTCGTTACCTCCCTCACCCGGCACGAAATTCAAACTAAACTTAATAACCATTTCTAACCCTACTGGTTGAAGGGAGGCGAGGTATAAAGTATTTGAGCCAAAAACTTTTCTTTTTCGAGAGGGTTCGAGACTTTTTGATTAGATTTTTAACCAGAGCGTAATTGATCATGTTAAATGTATAGATTTAATATTATTTAGCATGTATTAACAAATTTTATCTGTATATTGAAAATATTAAATTTTGTACCTGTGTTTTTTTTATTTTCGTCAACTTCGGAGAAATAAACACATTTTAAACACATTTGTCTGTTACTTATTCAAAATGCGCAAATGTTGAAAGGTGTACTCAGCTGGGGTGATATTTTGCTTTTAAGCCCATCAGAAAATAGTGAAAATTTTACCCCATCTCAGCTGGGAATAGATGGGTTTCAGGATATGTTCACCATAGATTTAAAAGAGGCCACCAAGGCCATAAAACTACTAAACACTCTTTTGTTTATTTTTATGCGCCAAAAATCAAGGTTTATTATTCTCTCTGGTGCTAACTCTCCGACCCTGCCTTATTAGTGGATATAGCGCTGACCTATAGTACTCCATTAAAACTACAAGTGTATAATAATAAGCATATATTTCCATTTAAGGATTTGAGGTAGAAACAAGAAATTAGAAAAATCCAACTATTTCAGAAAAATTTTCATATAGCTGATATAATGATTTTCATATAGCTGATATAATGATTTTCTATCAGTTAAAGCCATTATAGCTGATAAAGCAAATAAAAACGTGACATAATTTACATTTTAAATCAATAAATTACTGATCTGTTAGTGGCCATTAATAAATCAACTAATGATCTGTTAGTTGTCATTACTTAAATTATCAGTTGGTGGCCATTAATCGAACAGTTAATCAATCAATTATTGATTTGTCGGTGGCCATTAAACATCTATTTATTAATCTATTTGCATGACATCTTCTTCAATAATCTGAAAGAGCTCTCCGTTCTGCATATAGTACTGAGGTTGAGATCTTTGGTCCTAAACATCAATAAATCAACGAATGAATGAAATTATAAAAATAAATTATCGGAAGGATGAATGAAGGACTGAATGAATAAATAAATAAATTAATTAAATGATTTAAAGTGCACCAAAGGAGATTACATAATTCGATGAATTAAATGAATAATGGATTGATTGAGCTACCTGCTCCTGTTCCTGTTGAAAGACTACCTGTCTCCCCAACTCATCTACATAGATTGGTTGATCCTGGTCCATATATACTCCTCCCTCCTCTCCTCCTTGCTGCAGGAACACCTCCCCCTCCTCCCCTCCCTGCTCTAGGTACACTTCTCCTGTCTCCCCACCCTCCTGGAGATACACTTCTTCCTCCTCCCTGCCCTGCTCAAGATACACCTCTCTCTGAACACCCTCCAAATCCTGGACGTAAACCCGTCTCCCCTGGTTCTCTTGGTAGTTCGATGACAGCATTTGACTAGAAAGACCAGCATTGTTTTGTCCTAGGAATAACTGTTGGCCTCCATCCTGCATAATATATTGCCCGCCACCATCAGCAAGATGTACAACTTCCTCATCACCCCTAGAATACAATCCATCATTCTTCTAAATTACTTTGCCAGCGGAATATAATTTCACTGAAAGGGGCTGTAAGAGTAATTTCAAGTGACCCTGCATGCAGGGATGACATTGACCAATTTACAACGGTACCACCGAAACCTTAATGTGGAAGATACGCAGTTTTTTTTGACTCAAAAAGTGTTTATTTCCGTAAGTTTCTCCCTTGCTTCTTATAAGCAAGAAAAGTATTCGCAGATTACCCGCAAATGAAAATGAACAGTTTAAAAAGAAAACAAAAATAGTGATATATAATTCATTCTTGACCAGACAAAGCTTTTAAGGGTACTGTTGTGAATCAGGCATTGCCATTTTTGCAATTACGCTTACTGTCACTTTAAATGTTCCTTGGAATAATGATATCTATGCAGATGCCTTGTGTTTTTTTTAATGAAAGAACATTTAAAATAACAAATGGTTTTTCAGAACAATCGTTCAGTGAAAAAAAGAATGAATTTAATGGAAAATAAACGTTAATTTTGATTAAAAAACACGATCGAAATGGTCGTTCACGAACAATAAATTTTCATGTTGGACGAAATGTGCGATTTTGAAAATGAAAATCCGCAGAACTTAAAAGAAAACCTGTTTTGCCGATAAAAATGTTACTTAATTTTACACCGGCAAATCACAAAATGGGGGATAAGAATTCTCATATAGGAATTGGATCTTTGCCACAAACTCTGATTTTCCTATCCCTATATCTTTGCAACCCTATGGCTTAGATATTTCAAACTATGAATTCTGTTTCATAAAATAATCTAAGCTTGAAATATCCAAGATAGTCACCATCAGGTTGCAAAAATACAGGGATTGGAAAATTTGATTTTGTGGCAATGACTCAATTCCTTTAAATTAAGTAATAATACATCCTGCATATATGCTCATGGCTTACTTTGTGAGAAAACTACAGATTTTTATTATGAAAAAAAGATAAAGTGAAATAAACCTAGTTAATTAGGAATTAAGGAAATTTTACTTCATTGAACATTGGAACTTCAGGTTCCAATTTCCATTAGGCTAAAGTTTTAGGCAAGTAAAATTCCTTAACTTCCCTGTCCAGCATTTTAAAATTATATTCATTTATCCCAACCTGTTATATATTTGACCAGTATCAGACATAACAACAAAGTGCTCTTGTTCCACTTGCTGCTGCTCTCCTGCATGGAAAAACTGGTGCTGCTGCTGCTCCCCGGTATGTATGAACTGTTGCTGGTTTGCTGGAATATATTGCTGCTGGGAATACTGTTGCTGGGCCCAGGCCTGATGGGAAACAGTCGGGGCTTCTTCCATCTCCTGATTTTCAAACATTTTATTTACAGACAAAAAATATAGGAACAAAGGAATTGAGTCTTTCCCACAAACTCAAATGTTCTAATCCCTATATCTTTGCAATCTGTAAGAGTAAACCATTGTTTTTTCAAGCTTAGATTATTTCAGCTGACAGAAATGATAGTTTGAACAATATAAGGTCCTCAACATCGGGTTGCAAAGATACAAAGATTATCAAAACAGAGTTTGTGGCAAAAACTCAATTCCTCTCTAAAACCCTGAAACAATCAAGCTCTTCCAAAACAGTCAAAACAGTAGTGTTGGGACATATCATTGAAAGACATTTATTAGAAAGACATTTCATAGATTAAAAAAAATCACTGATATGACAATTTTACAGACAGGGCATTTCATAGAAAAAAAATTTAGAACATTTCAAAAATAGGACTGAGGATATTTTGCATGGATAAAATTATTTTTTGCTTCTTCCAAAAAATCATATCTAATAAATCAAAATTGCTTTTCTGTCTATGAAATTACCTATTTATGAAAATGTCCTATAAATGAATTTATTTTTCTTTAAAATTTCCAGTATATGAAATGTCCTATCTGGGATTTTATTATCTATGAAATTTCCAAACAATTAAAGTTCATTTATTTCAATTTCCAGTTTTTCTTCAGAAACTGAAGTTATTAAATTCTTACTTTCAAAAATACAGAAGATTCCACTGTCCAGATAATGAAAGTATGTTTACCTGTATCCCACTCGAGAGAAGGGCTAAGCCTAGAACATCAGCAGCATCAGATGGAATTTCAGAAAGGTCTAGAGTACCACCCTGCTCAACTGGGGACAGAGCTTTCTCAGGCAATGAAACTCTCCTCTGATTGGGTACATTGATACCTCGTGCTATAAATCCCTGGTTCTGATTGGACGAAACATTGCTCTGAGTGTCTGATACCAGATTGTGATTGGACGTGGAGGGCTTTGGTAATGCTTGGACAGAAATCTGACTTGTTCTATGAGCTTGGCTGATTACTGAGATATTCTTTGTATCGTGATGTGAAATGTTAACTTTTTGTGAAGATGTCAGAGGGATGAGCCCAGGAGCAGGACGAGACCTTCCAGGTAACTCTTGTGGGACTGAAGGGCTGATAGTTGTAGATTGGACGGAATTACTAGTTTCAGATGCCTCTGATGCATAAAACTCTGGATGCTGAATCTTGTGAAGGATTCTCAGATGCTTTGCCTCCATGACATATCGATGTCTAGCCTTATCATTGAGCAGAATCCATGTTTTGGGTAGATATGATCCTAGTTGATCAACATGAACACCCCGAGATATATATTCAGATTTCTTCTCTCGGGCCCAAATAGTGAAAGCATTCATAGGCTTAATAATGGTTCCATCTGCTTTCACAGTTTTAATTCCTATAAAATTTAAATATTTTGGAGAAAATATTTTGGATGTTAAACAGAAATTCTCAAATTTTGACAAATGAAAAGCATTGGTGAATGGATTTTCAGCTTAAAAAACAAAAACAGAAAAAAATTTGAACCAACAAAAAACGACAAACCCAGAAACCTCATCCACAACAAAATGAAAAAGATCATCACATAGCATCGTTTTGAATAAATCTTTTAAAGAAACCTGTGACATCTGTATATGGAGTAGGTGGAGATGCACGATGAGGACGGACTGGAGACACAGTGGAACACTCTGCTCCCTGACTAGTTGGTAAGGATGGTTGACTAGGTTCTTGTTTCTGCTTTCTAGCAGAAGCAGGCTCCTCCTTTTTGCTCAGGAGATACTTTAAGTTAGAAACTGCCAGTTTCTTTTTATCAAAGGGTAACCCATCCAAGCTCTGAGATGCAGACACAAATAAAGTAAGAACTTTTTTAAAAGATTAATTTAAAATGAATTTTGCTTTGTACAGAATATGTTTAAAAAAGGCTCCTAAGAGGACACAGATCACTTTTAACATTTGTGAATGCATTCCTTTGTAAAGTCATCAAACAGTTTAGCACGTCTTCTCATAAGTGCTTGTTTAGAATTTTCTAGAACTCGTCCTTCTTCATTCAGATTTTCTAATTCAGTCTTAGCCCGGTTCAGGATCATGGTTTTGGTGGTGTTCTTGGTGAACAATTTACTAGAAAACATTAATTATGATAAATTATTTATTACAAACATAGGCTTTACGATTGAACATAGTCTCACACCTGTTATCATTCTGAATTTCTACAATTCTTGACTCACATTTCTTTACTCCTTTAAATTCTATATTTCTATATACTCCTACAGTTCTACATTTCTATATACTCCTACATTCCTCTTCTACATTACTAACCTTCTACATTACTACATACTAATCATCTCTGTGTACTCCTACAATACTAGTCTCCGTGTACTCCTAAACTACTAGACTCCATGTACTCCTGAACTACTAGTCTCCGTGTACTCCTAAACTACCAATCTCCACGTAACTAATAGACTCCGTGTACTCCTAAGCTGCTAGAATCCGTGTATTCCTAAACTACTAGACTCTGTGTACTCCTGAACTACTAGACTCCGTATACTCCTAAAAACTACTAGACTCCGTGTACTTCTATACTATTAGACTCCATGTACTCCTAAACTACTAGGCTTTGTGTACTCCTAAACTACTAGACTCCGTGTACTTCTACACTATTAGACTCCGTGTACTCCTACACTATTAGACTCGTTGTACTCCTACACTACTAGACTTCATGGACTCCTAAACTACTAGACTCGAGTACTCCTAAACTACTAGACTTCGTGTACTTCTACACTACTAGACTCAATATACTCCTAAACTACTAGACTCCGTGTACTCCTAAACTACTAGACTCCGTGTACTCTTTAAACTGCTAGACTCCTTCTACTTTTACACTATTGGACTCTGTGTACTCCTAAACTGCTAGACTCAGTGTACTTCTACACTATTAGACTCCGTGTACTCCTAAACTATGTGTACTCCTAAACTGCTAGACTCCGTGTACTTCTACACGATTAGACTCCGTGTACTCCTAAACTTCTAGACTCCGTGTACTCCTAAACTACTAGACTCCGTGTACTCCTAAACTGCTAGACTCCGTGTACATCTACACTATTAGACTCCGTGTACTCCTTAACTACTATACTCCGTGTACTCCTAAACTGTTAGACTCCGTGTACTCCTAAACTACTAGACTCAGTGTACTCCTACACTATTAGACTCCGTGTACTCCTTCACTACTAGACTCTGTGTACTCCTACACTATTAGACTCCGTGTACTCCTACACTACTAGACTCCGTGTACTTCTACACTATTAGACTCCGTGTACTCCTACACTACTAGACTCCATGTACTTATATCATTATTCTCAGTGTACTCCTACACTATTAGACTCCATGTACTCCTAAACTACTAGACTCCATGTACTCCTACCTAAATGTTAAGGTGCCAAGATCGTAGAAGAGTTTACTCTCCTCCTTCTCTTGTCTACTCTGAATCAACATTCCATAAACCTGAACACGAAGAATTCAGATTTAGAAGAAATACAAACAAAAGTATAAAATCAGGGAACCCAGCATTTCCTGAAAACTAAGCTTTCTCTGTATAAATTACTTTTTAATTTATTTTTTTTAACCAAGCTAAGAACATTCCCGTGTAGTGGTTCTACAACGTTTCCCAATCAACATTTTAGGCAATCGGTCAAGGGGTTCCTGAGTTATGAACGGACATTACTACCCGATATTTAACAAACAGATATTACTACTTGATATTTAAAGAAGATACTATCCGTCATGTCAGATGACTTGAATTAAATATTTGTACTTTTGGTAACTTGACGTTTATGTCCGGACTTTGCTTGCTTAGCGTTTTTAGTTTTGACGTTTTAAGTCCGGACTTGGTTTGCCTATCGTTTTTAGTTTTGAAATTTTATGTCCGGACTTTATTTGATTATCGTTTTTAGTTTTGACGTGTTAAGTCCAGACTTTGTTTACCTATTGTTTTGAGTTTTGATGTGTTAGGTCTGGACTTTGTTTGCTTATCGTTTTATGTCCGGACTTTGTTTGCTGATCGTTTTTAGTTTTAACGTTTTATGTCCGGACTTTGTTTGCTTAGCGTTTTTAGTTTGGACGTTTATGTCCGGACCTTATTTGATTATCGTTTTTAGCCTTGACGTTTTATGTCAGATCTTTGTTTGCTTATCGTTTTTAGTTTTGACGTTTTATGTGCCCGTTTAAAGGACCTTAAAATCACTTTATGACTAAAAACTAACTATGGGTTATTTTGACGTAAACGTTAAAAAGCAAGTAAAAGGAAAAAGGGTTAACACACCTTCTTTTTCTCCTCTTTTCCTGGAACCCTGACAACCTGAAGAAACGAAATTGTAGAAATTTTGCAATCGATAAAACTTTAAAAACAAAAAACAAAAATGTTTCAAAATGAAAATTAAAAATAGCCTTTTTTATGTGAGCAGAAAATTTTGAAATAAAACTGAATAAGACTAAGTTAATTTTAAATCAGTAAAAGCAACCAAGAAAATTGAGCTTTTTCATAAATATTTTACCCAAAACCCAATTTGTAACTTTTTCATGAAAAGAATCTTGTTTTCCATTAAGTTCAAATGTTGGTTGAAACTTACAATTGGAAGTTCTGGTGTAGCAAGCTTTTTCTCCGTCATCTTCGAAATAGAAGATTGGGAGGGAGAAGATTCTTTCAGAAGTTTAATATCTTCCTTCAAATTCTGATTCTCATTCTCAGGTATGGATTCAGGATTGAGTTGCGGAGCAGGGTTGGGTTTAGCTCTGGGAGAGGAGTAGAACTCTTTCAACCAGAGATATGTACGCGGGAGGGAAGGACAGACTACCTGATACTCAGGGTGTAGGGGATAGGGGAGAGTTACTCTACCACAATCTGCTAGGAGACCAGTGTGGATCTTCTCTTTACCGTCGTCCTTATACCTACCACAAAACTCAACACTTAGTCAAATCTTAAATTTTTTAAATAAAAATGTCGTCAGGGAAGTCTCATTCTTTACTTTGTGGGTAACCCTTAAATGGTTAAAATAGAAATAATAATTGGAATCAACCTTCGACCTTTGACCTCGACCCTCGACCTTCGACCTTCGACCTTCGACCTCCGACTTTCGACTTTCGACCTTCGACCTTCGACCTTCGACCTTCGACCTTCGACCTTCGACCTTCGATCTTTGACCTTTGACCAGTCTTGAGATTTCAGGAATGTGGTCTACCATTTCATACCTTAAAAACTGACAATTTTCATTTTATTTTTTATCATTTGGAATCTGCACAAATTTCTTAATATCTAAACATGAATTTTGAATGAATGAAAATGGCAGACCACATATTTGAAATCACAAGACTGGTAATATTCTGTGGTTAATGTTCAAACTGGGATTTATACAAAAAATTATGCTAAAGAATTAAAAAATGCCGTGTGGAACAAAGACGATATATAAGTCATCACTTAATTCTTATGTTTATTGAGACCATCCGTTATAAGTTCAAGTCTTTCTTCTAAGGATAGAATGTTGATAGTAATTAATGTTATAACTTATAAAGACGAGACTAATTAATGCCGATCTGTAATTCTGTAAATATAACGTCCTGATGGCTGAAATCATTGCTTCAGTCAAGTTAACTGAAGTCTGAAAAACTCCTGTATGGGTTTTGGTAACCAATCTTTCAAAAAAAATGAAAAATAGATTAAAGGAAGGTCAAAAAAATGAAGGCCAAGGATTTAAAATGTATAATAAAGAAATATTTTGTGTTTTGTTTTCCTTAAAGTTATTTTGGTTCCTTTGGTATACTCTTCTTCTGTATTTGCTTCCGACACAGTCTTTGCCTCCACTTTAGCCTCCGACACAGTTTTTGCCTCCACATTAGCCTCCGACACAGTTTTTGCCTCCACTTTAGCCTCCGACACAGTTTTTGCCTCCACTTTAGCCTCCGACACAGTTTTTGCCTCCACTTCTGCCTCCGTATTATTCTCTTCAACCTCCATACCATCCGCCACTTTATTATATACAGCCTCCTTTTTTTCATTCTCCTGTTTCCCGGATTTCATTGGTTTCCTGATAACCTTCCCGTTCTTATACTCTGGAAAGACAGGAACTGTTTCCGCTGTTGCTGTTTTAATATTCTCACTTTTCAGTTCCTCTGCCTGATATAAATTTTTTGTCAAGCCTTTCTTCTTTTGTCGATGTTGAAGGGTGAAGGATGAAAGAATGAAAGGATAAATTAATGAAAGGATGAATTTATGAAAGAGTGAAAGGATAAATTAATGAAAGGATGAATTTATGAAAGGATGAAAGAATGAAAGGATGAAAGAATGAAAGGTTGAAAGGGTGAATGAAAGGATGAATGAATGAAAGGATGAATGAATGAAAGGATGAATGAATGAAAGGATGAATGAATTAAAGAATGAAAGATTGAAAGAAAGAAATGATGAATATAAGGATGCATGAAAGGATGAATGAATGAAAAGATGAAAGGAAGGATGAAAGGATGTAAGAATGAATGCATACCAAATTCACTGTCTCTGGATCAAGAATCTCTACATCCTCATCGTTCTTGTCTTCAGCAGCATCTTCAACAAGCTGAGGAATCTGACCAACTTGCCGAACCTGTTCAAAACATCATAAAGTGACTGTAGATGTATTTCCAGTGACTCTCCATTTATATAGTGAAATGTTAGATTTACAACGGCACCCTCAAAAGCTTTGTCTGATCAAGTATGAATAAATATTCATGTTTATTTGTAGTGGTGTGTTTAAGAAGTAATGTGCGCAAAAAATAACATAAAGGAAATTGTCAAAATAGAACACTTTTCAGGCTATCACATAATAGTATAAATAAAACAGACTAATTTTACTTCTAGTACACCGCCTTCTGGTTTTTCTTAATAAGGCTACTTTCGTTTAACTACAAGAAAACTAATTAAGATTATTATAAAGAACATGATATCTTCTATCCTACTTTGACTTTGGATCTTCTTTCCTACTTTTACTTTAGATCTTCTATCCTACTTTTACTTGGGATCTTCTATCCTACTTTAACTTGGAATCTTCTATCCTACTTTTGCTTTGTATCTTCTTTCCTACTTTTACTTTAGATCTTCTATCCTACTTTTACTTGGGATCTTCTATCCTACTTTAACTTGGAATCTTCTATCCTACTTTTACTTGGAATCTTCTATCCTACTTTTACTTTGGATCTTCTATCCTACTTTTACTTTAGATCTTCTATCCTACTTTTACTTGGAATCTTCTATCCTACTTTTACTTTAGATCTTCTATCCTACTTTTACTTGGAATTTTCTATCCTCCTTTTACTTTGGATCTTCTTTCCTACTTTTACTTTAGATCTTCTATCCTACTTTTACTTGGGATCTTCTATCCTACTTTAACTTTGGATCTTCTATCCTACTTTTACATGGAATCTTCTATCCTACTTTTACTTTGGATCTTTATCCTACTTTTACTTGGGATCTTCTATCCTGCTTTAGCTTGGAATCTTCTATCCTACTTTTACTTTGGATCTTCTATCCTACTTTTACTTGGGATCTTCTATCCTACTTTAACTTGGAATCTTCTATCCTACTTTTACTTGGGATTTTGTATCCTACTTTTTCATGGGATCTTCTATCCTACTTTTACTTTTGATCTTCTATCCTACTTTAACTTGGATCTTCTATCCTACTTTTACTTGGGATCTTCTACCCTACTTTTACTTTGGATCTTCTATCCTACTTTTACTTGGAATCTTCTTTCCTACTTTTACTTGGAATCTTCTATCCTACTTTTAATTTGGATCTTCTATCCTACTTTTACTTTGGATCTTATTTCCTACTTTTACTTTAGATCTTCTATCCTACTTTTACATGGAATCTTCTATCCTACTTTTACTTTGGATCTTTATCCTACTTTTAATTGGGATTTTGAATCCTACTTTTTCTTGGGATCTTCTATCCTACTTCTACTTGGGATCTTCTATCTTACGTAACTACTTGGGAATGGGATCGCATAAGATGAGAAATGACTAACCTTAACTGTAAAAGGTCCAACGAACACATGGGATTTCAGACCTGGAACTGCGTACACTCCAAAGGCAGAATCCTATTTTGTGTCAAAGCGTCAAAATGGCCGAAATCAATGAAAAATGAATTCTTATTTCCCACATCTTAGATTTTCACTTCCCTTATTAAGATTTATATTATTTTTATATTAAAAATGGTATTTTTAAATTTAATTCATCCGGATCGAGTCAAAAACCCCATATCAGTGGCCCTTCATCAAAAGAGGGATATGCCCGATTCAAAACGATACCTTTAAAGCCTTTATCTAATCAATAATGTGAAAGATAATAATATAACTTGAAAAAGTGTTTAACTCTGTTCATTCCTACAGTGTTTTCATTGAGCAGAAATGCGCATTGCTCAAGTCACTTAAGCATTGAAAATAACCTGTTTTCAAATTATAAATATGATATGTGATGTAGACTATAGAGTAGAGGGACCACAATGGAAAATCAACAGTTTTTCAAAAACAAAAACAAGGATATCGAATACATTTAAGGGTACCAATGTAAATCGGACAAACTTCTATTTAAATGAAGAGTCACTTGAAATTACGTTCACAGACCCTTTAAATAGTTAAAAAAAACTACAAAGGCAACAAAAAAAATATGATTAAAATAAATCCAACATTTGAATATTTTGAGCCCGTGCCTGTGCATCTGCAGATATAGGTATCCGTACAGTGGTACTTGTAGCAGAAGCAAGATTAGATGCCTAAATAGTTAATTTTTAATTTAATATCAAGGGAAGCTGTTTCTGATTTTATGTAGAAAAAGCACATGATTAAAGTACCATAACATAAATTTCCTTGTCAGACAACCCATCGTTCAATGAAATAGGGGTCGACGCTCCTCGCCACCTAAGTCCTTAGAAAGGACTGCCCGAAACAGATTTATTGCTAAATCTCATTAATTATATAATAGGTTCTCTTTTAAGTTTATTATGCGGCCTAAAACAATATTATTCATAAACACAAAAAAAATGAGTTTTGAACTTTTAAATGGCATAATTAAGGTTGACGCGTTCCTAATATGATTAAGTCATTTCACTTGAGTTTAACTCATTGGTCAAGATTTGGACATTGGATTAATGGCAGATCGTTAATTCTTAGATTCGACTTAGAGATAAAAAATAATGATAATAACAAAGACGATCGGGCCCTAATTTTGTGTGGGACCTGACATAGCCCTGAGAATGTACCTGTTGCAGGATGGCACACTTGAGAACAAGATTAGAATCTGGACATTGTATAGTTGGATCCCCTCCTGTTCCTGTACTCACCAAGGTCCAGTGCTGGTTCATACCGGTTTGCGGCAGTTTCACCTACAGTACATAAACTAAACAAATGTCCTGTACATAAATAAAAATAAAAGGTTGCAGTACATTAGTGTAAAAAAAAATACAGAACATGCGTTTAAATAAATGTGCAGTCCATACATTTTTTCCACGTTAACAGTAAAGTATTTACAAATTTGTACTACAAAATCTACATTTGTGCACTGTATAGTGAAACTGTACAATGCATGTAAACAAACGAGCATTGTGCATTACTTAATTAAATGTTAACGATTTGTAAATATACGAGTAGTGACACACAAACTTCAACTACAGTGAGAACCAGAAAACAATTGAATAGGAAGACGATATTTAAGGAATAATTAAGCGTATTTGATGATGTTACAAAGCAAATAGTTTTACAAGATAATTATCAAATTACTAATAACGTGAAATGGGTCTATTTATACCGCTTAATTGCTGTGCTTCATGTTCATTGGACCACTTAAACTCGTCTTTCTGTTCGAGCCTTCTGGTTATCACTGGATTTAAGAACTTAAATATTATTCTAATAAATCAGCACTTTTTTTAGAAATATCCTTTAATCAGGTTTAAAAAAAATCAAATCAAATCAAAGGGATGTACTGCTATTCACTCCCCGACCCAAACTCGAAATAAATAAGAAGGTTGAAATATGATTTACGCCAGCTTGATTTCTACCTGCATTAGTGCCTTGTCCCCGTCAACCAGGGTCACCATAGGTTGACCCATTGGTAGCTTTAGGCTCACGTGACGAACATCGATCTAAATCAATTGGTAAAACAAAAATTTAAAGAAGAACAGAACAATTTTTTTATTTTTATCACGCGACCGCCTTTTTTTTTTAACTTTTAGGTAGATAGACATAGATTTCTACGGAATGAAGGTAGGTAGGTTCGGCTGTTTTAGGTAGATAGGCATAGATTTCTACGGGATGAAGGTAGGTAGGTTCTGCTGGTTTAGGCAGATGGACATAGATTTCTACGGAATGAAGGTAGGTAGGTTCGGCTGGTTTAGGTAGAAAGGCATTGATTTCTACGGGATGAAGGTAGGTAGGTTCGGTTAGTTTAGGTAGATAGGCATAGATTTCTACGGAATGAAGGTAGGTAGGTTCGGCTGGTTTAGGTAGATAGACATATATTTCTACGGGATACAGGTAGGTAGGTTCGGCTGGTTTAGGTAGACAGGCATAGATTTCTACGGGATGAAGTTTGATTGTTTATTTTTATTATTATTAGGAAGGTTCGGCTGGTTTCAATATTCAACCAAGAATTAAAAACTGTCAAGAGTGGAGGGATGAGGTGTGCACAAAAACAGACAAAGCTAACCTTTGTAGGTGCTCTTCCTGAGGGTTGAGATGGGTTGGTCTTCGGCATGGGAGGAGGAGGAGGAACAACCAGGCTACGTCGTCGTTTCTGCGCAGACTAAATTGTTTGATTTATTTACAAACTTGTGTCAAATTCCTAATTCACAACGGTACCCTTGATACCATACTGATTAATAATGTTAAAGATAATGTCGTTTTGCTAACTTTAAAAAGTCTTAAACTCTTACATTGTTTTTGTGCAGCAGAAATGCGCATGGCAAAATTGTCACCTGTGTAAAGAAACCACAATTGAAAATTTTCAGCTCTGGACAAATTACAGAATCACTGATTCAAAATGCATGTTTGAACTGCCTCTAGACCTGGCTCAAATTCGTCAAATCAGGTCCAGGAATCAGGTTTGCCTTAAAACGATAAGTCCTCAAAGTCTTACCTTAGGCTTTTCCTTACTAGAGAGAAGACTTTGAAAAGTCCAAACTAAGCCATTACTCTCCAGTACAGCATAGGACTGCATATCATCAGCCTAGATAGTTTAAACATAATTTTAAACTATATAAATACTTTGCTGTCTGTTTGTATCCAATTCGGCTTTAACCCGTTCGGGGGCCAATTTTTTTTTATGGCAACTCACATGACTCCAGAGAAGGTTTATGAACCGTCAAACTTGAACAATTTTTCCCGGAAAAAATATCGACAATCAATATGTTTTAAAATGACCCAATTTAAAAAGTAACATCCGCCAAAATTTGAGAATGACTCCGAACGGCCCTTATCAAAACAAGAGTTAAAATTTAAAATTGTTAACAGAACAGGAAATGGGGTGCGAAGCGCCATAAAGCCTAGTAGTATATACACTATTTAGATTAACATTGAACATTTGTTCAAGTGACAAATCAAGAAGATAGACCGGAGCACAAATTTAATGAATTTGAACCGCGTCTCAAATCCGCAAAAAAAAAACAGGTATTAATTGAGCGCCGTCTTAAATCTTTTAACATTGAATACAATTTTAAGTGGAACCAACGACATTTGACCCGCGTCTCAAATTCTTCAAATTCGGCCTCAGTATAAACAGACAGACAATTATAAATTGTACTATTGTACAGACAAACACCAAAATAGATTAACAGATTTTATAGCTAGATTTAAAAAATAAACACAGATGTGGACAATTAGACATCCAAAAAAGCTTGACAAGTAGAGACAACGGTGTATCCTTTTCAGACATATTACCTTGTTTAAAGGTTTAAGGCACTCTTCCACAAGAGAAGGTAGTTTATGGGTCAATGCACCCTCCAGGCTTCTAATAAAAATAATGATGATAATAATGATAATGATGATGATGATGATAATGATGAAAATGATGAAAATGATGATAATGATGATAATGATGATAATGATAATGATGATAATGATGATAATGAAAATGATGATAATGATGATAATAATGATGATAATGATGATAATGATGATAATGATGATAGTGATGATAATGATGATAATAATGATGATATGGTGATAATGATGATAATGATGATAATGATGATAATGATGATAATGATGATAATGATGATAATGATGATAATGATTATGATAATGATTATTATCTTCTCATAAACTTTATTAACCGAAAGGAAAAGTATGAAAATATACCAACTAATAAATTCAAAAATAAGATAAAAATTAGACATAAACTGTACGAGGATGTAAATCTGCTAGACGCTGATAATGAATATGATACAATAATAAAAATAAAAAATAATGAAAAAATTAAGTGAATTCAAAATGAAACAATAAGAAAAGTATTTAAGTCTATAAAGAACTATAAATTTTATGTGATTAAATATAGTAAAACTTGATAATAATAAGAATAATATTAAAATCAAAAATCAAAATAATAAATTAGTAAAATTTACAGATTTTCCACTTCAATGTTTTCCAAATTCTGTATTCTTGAGCTTATATTATAGAATTTACTATTTTCACAATTTTTCATGTCTAAGTTTGACTATTCATGAATTTTAAAGAAAAATATATTTTTGAAATCTGAACACTCAAGAAAAAAAAAGTGACGACCTATTCAGATTCAAATAATGGTTCATCACACACTTCTTTAAACAGACCCTTTTGAAATCCTACCTGAGGTTTATTGCAGAGGCTATATAGCTTTTCTGCCCGCTTTCACACAAAAACAGAAGATTGGTTCCTCGCCCTGTAATATCCATCATTTAAAGATTCAGTCAGGGGTAAACTTTTTCATGCTCTGTGAAAAAAAAAATATTTAAATGCAAACTTATTCTGAACTTTTGAACCTCGGTCCTTAACATCCTTGATTTTCGTACAAACTAAAAAACCTGACATGACCTTAAAATAACCTTAATGTCTTCGACCTGAAAACCTCGACAATGACCTTGACAATCATAAGAACTTGGAAAACATCAACAATGACCTTGAAAGACATTGAAGACCTCGACCTCAACCTTCCTAAGAACTTGACAACATCAACCATAACCTTGAATGATCTTGACGACCTCGACCTCAACCTTCCTAAGAACTTGACAACCTCGACCATGACCTTTAATGACCTTAATGTACCCGACCTTATCTTTCCTAATAACTTGAAAACATCAACTATAACCACCTTGACTATGCCTTGACGACCTTTACCCCAACCAACATTAACAACTCGACATCCATGACCTTGACCTACCTGGTCGGACATAGAAGAATATATCAATCTCTCTTTTTAAGAACTTCTCCTGAAATAATGAAAACAAAATTTACCTCATCAATTTCAATAAGTGATTTAGCATGTTGTTCCCCAGGTACAAAGGTAATTTTATGTCCGGTCGAAATTAAAGAATTTAACTTATTGTTTCCAAGGCACAAAGGTAAGGTTTATGTCCGGTCGAAATAAAAAAATTTAGCTTATTATTTCCAAGGCACAAAGGTAAGGTTTATGTCCGGTCGAAATAAAAAAATTTAGCTTATTATTACCAAGGCACAAAGGTAAGGTTTATGTCCGGTCGAAATTAAAGAATTTAGCTTATTGTTTCCAATGTACAAAGGTAAAGTTTATGTCCAGTCGAAATTAAAGAATTTAACTTATTTTTTCCAATGTGTAAAGGTAAAGTTTATGTCCGGTCGAAATTAGAGAATTTAGCTTATTGTTTCCCAGGTTCAAAGGTAAGTTTTATGCCCGGTCGAAATAAAAAGGGTTATTTAACTACTGAATGTATCACGTCTTATTTACTAACTCGTATACTCCTTTGCTACTGTATTTACTCCTTAACCTGTACACTATTACTTTACTCCTTTACTTTTGTATTCTCGTATTCCTTTATTCTTGTATTCTTGTATTCTTGTATTCATGTATTCATGTATTCATGTATTCATGTATTGCTGTATTCTTGTATTCCTGTATTCCTGTATTCATGTATTCCTGTATTCCTGTATTCCTGTATTCCTGTATTCCTGTATTCTTGTATTCTTGTATTCTTGTATTCCTATATTCCTGTATTCCTGTATTCCTGTATTCTTGTATATTTGTACTCCTGTATTCATGTATTGCTGTATTGCTGTATTCATGTATTCCTGTATTCCTGTATTCTTGTATTCCTGTATTCCTGTATTCTTGTACTCCAGTACTCCTGTTCTCCTTGCTACCTTACTTCTGTACTTATGTACTCCAGTACAACTAATTTAGTACCTTTAATACATCCCATCTCGTGTACTGTATTGACTGTTTAGGGGCAATCTTCAGACTTAGCTGTGTAACCGGGTCACCGGGCACAGTTTCAGCTTCTAATGTAAATAAACAAAATGTTAACAAATAAGAAAACAATTTTTACAAATGAGTAAAACAAAATAAAAAAAATGAGTAACAATTCAAACAAAAAGTTAACATTGACAAGAAATAAGTAAATAATAAATGATGTAAACAAATAAGAAAAAAAATAAGTGGAATTATGGTACATTATATGTACTTTGTAACTTGACATCCAACTTTCCTGAGATTGGAATTAATAAATAGCAAGAAAAAGTGGAACGAAGTGCCACTTCTCCCTCGTTTACTAATCCCAACTTCATTAAAGACAATATTTTGTAGAGTCAAAATAATAACCTTTAAGAATGCTGTTCAGTTCCCCCATTTTCTTGACTTCAGAAGAATTGTTGAATGATAAAATCTCCTGGACGTCATGAGCACATTATAAATTTTAGAAAATACAAGGACAAACAGATGTTAATTAGTAATAACACAAAGACACAAGGACAAACAGAGATGTTAATTAGTAATAATACAAAGACACAAGGACAAATGGATGTTTATAAGTAAGAGCACAAAGAAGATTCAAGGACAAATAGATGTTAATTAGTAATTACACAAAGACACAAGGACAAATGGATGTTAATTAGTAATCATACAAAGACACAATGACAAATGGATGTTAATTTGTGATTAAACATACACAAAGACGATTAGATGTTTATTAATAATTATACAAGGACACAAGGACAAATGGATGTTAATTTGTAATTACACAAAGACACAAGGACAAATTGATGTTCATTAGTAATTACACAAAGACACAAGGACGAATTAATGTTCATTAGTAATTACACAAAGGCGCAGGGAAAAATGGATGTTAATTAGTAATTACAAAAAGACACAAGGACAAATGGATGTTTCTTAGTAATTATACAAAGACACAAGGAGAAATGGATGTTAATTAGTAAGAGCACAAAAATACAAGGACAAATAGATGTTAATTAGTAATTACACAAAGACACAAGGACAAATGGATGCTAATAAGTATTTACATAAAGACAAAAGGACAAATGGATGTTAATTAGTAATCATACAAAGACACAAAGACGATTAAACGTTAATTAGTATTTATACAAGGACAAATGGATGTTAATTAGTAATTACACAACGACACAAGGACATCAAAGACAATAGTTTTAAGATACAAAGACCAAAAAGGACATCAAAGACAATCGGGTTAAAATACAAAGGCACAAAGACATCAAAGACAATAGACTTAAGATCCAAAGGCACACAGACATCAAAGACCATAGATTTTAGATACAAAGACACAAAGACATCAAAGACAACAGACTTAAGATCCAAAGGCACAAAGACATCAAAGATCATAGATTTAAGATACAAAGACTCAAGGACATTAAAGACAATAGTGTTAAAATACAAAGACACAAGGACATTAAAGACAATAGTGTTAAAATACAAAGACACAAGGACATTAAAGACAATAGTGTTAAAGGCACAAAGATATCAAAGACAATAGGGTTAAAAAAAACAAAGAAACAAGGACATCAAAGACAATAGGCGTAAGATCCAAAGACACAAGGACATCAACGACAATAGGCGTAAGATCCAAAGACTAAAGAACATCATAGACAAAAGTAATAAAAAATGATTACAATACAATGCCACAGAATGTTAAAAAAATAAGTTCGACTCTCAGAATCAAGAAAATAATTTTATTTAACCATCTCCATGCAAAGATGACAATACTCGATTCACAACTGTGCCTTAAAAAGCTTTGCCTAATCAAACGTATCAATATTGATAATTTCGAAAACATATTATTTTCAATTATTGTTTCTCTGCAAAAGTGTCCTGCGCAATTCTAATGCAGGTTGCCATTGAAGAGTTTTTAGAATTAAACACTTTTGAAAACTAGAAAAAGGACAATATGAAGGCTAAAAGTGTATCGTTGTAAATCGAAGATGCCCACCTTTGCACGGAACGTCACTTGAAATTATGCGTACAGTCCCTTTAAGTAGGTTTTATCTAATTCTACCAATTTTAAAAATATAGTTTAAAAAGATAAATGTTTCCTCATTCCTTAAATCTCGGTGTGAACTTAGGTTTGTAGGGTAGTTTCATCCCAGCATTCTGCTTCACCATTAAACCACTGGTTCTAAATATTCGGTAGAATTATGTTTATGTAAATTTACAGTTATACTCTTGTTATTGTTCATGGTATCTTTCTTGATCTTGTTCATGATCTCAGTATTGATCTTGTTTACGTTCTTGTTCATGGTCTTTTATATTGTCTTATTGATGATTTTGTTCATGATCTCAGTCCTGATCTTGTTTACGTTCTTGTTCACGGTCTTGTATATTGTCTTATTGATGATCTGTTCATGATCTTAGTCTTGATCTTATTTAAGTTCTTATTCATGGTCTTGTATATTGTCTTATATAGATGATCTTGTTCATGATCATTTATGTTCTTGTTCATGGTCTTGAATATGGTCTTATTGATGATCTTGTTCATGATCTTAGTCTTGATCTTGTTTACGTTCTTGTTCATGAACTTGTACATGGTCTTATTGATGATCTTGTTCATGATTTCAGTCTTGATCTTGTTTACGTTCTTGTTCATTGTCTTGTTTATGGTCTTATTGATGATCTTGGTTCATGATCTCAGTCCTGATCTTGTTAACGTTCTTGTTCATGAACTTGTACATGGTCTTATTGATGATCTTGTTCATGATTCTTGATCTTGTTTACGTTCTTGTTCATTGTCTTGTTTATGGTCTTATTGATGATCTTGGTTCATGATCTCAGTCCTGATCTTGTTAACGTTCTTGGTCTTGGTCTTGGTCTTGTCTATGGTCTTAGTCTTGATATTTGTTCATGGTCTTTTCTATGGTCTTTTCTATGGTCTTGTTCTTGTTATGATCATATAAGTCAAGTCGTTGTTTGACTGTTAAAGGGAGTGACCGGCAATATATGGTAGTTAAACTGAGATTGTAGTATTTTGGAGAAAAATGAAACGAATTCTATAGTAAACTAATTAGTTGTTAAGGAACAGGCTGGAAAATAAAAATTAACCCTTACCGAAAATAAGTAATCTTATGTCACCCCATTCGGTCCAGCCGTTTGGCCGGCTATAAGCAACATTTATATAAATGTCTTGTTTTATTATATAGATTGTAAAAAGTTAATGGTCATAATGGTTATATGCCAAGTCGTTCTACATATGTAAAATTGTAAATTGTAAAAGGTCATAAAGGTCAAAAGTCAAGTTGTTGTTTAACTATGTAAAATTGTAAATAGTTAATGGTCAAATGGTCATAAGCCAACTCATGGTCATTGGTCATCGAAAAATCTGATACCTGGAAGAATGACCGAGGGGAACCGAATAAAGGTTATTAGCGGTCTCCTAAAATTCATTGAAAATAAAGTAATTTACAATCCCAACTCTTAAGTACAGGAAGATCGTTAAGATAACTGCTTAGGATCCATTTAATTTTGATGCGGATCGGAAACCTATATCCACGGGATCCCCATCCAGGTAATAAACCTGATTTTTAACAAAAAAAAATTTTCAAATGATTTTCCTTCATTTTTGTTGTTGCATATTTTTTATGCTAAAACTTGATGAATTATCTATTCAGAGATAAAGAAATATCAAATTTTCTCCATTTTATAAACATTTCAGATTTGAGTTTTAGAGCAAAATGTTTTTTTTGACAGTTTTTGGTTGATATTTTCCCCCTTGGATCCAGATCCAGAAAAAGAAAATGTTGCGGATCCGGATCCTAAGCTGCATGGTTAAGATTTATGATATCTGCCACTAATGGAAAAATCTAACCTTAGTTAATGGTGAAGTCCTACTACTCTTCTCATTTATTACAAGAACCTCATCTCCATCCTCTCCTGCATCTGCCCCATAGTCTTCATCCTCCTCAAGTTTATTAGAAATAAGTTCCAAGTTTAAATGTCTAGATGTTTAGAAAGTTTTGGGATCAAAGTTTAATCTCCATATTATGCAGACCTAGGGATTAAATTTATTCTATAATCGATATCACGTGGTGCTAACAACCAGCAGGGATATCCCGTGGTGGTAACAACCAGCAGAGATATCCCGTGGTGGTAACAACCAGCAGAGATATCCCGTGGTGGTAACAACCAGCAGAGATATCCCGTGGTGGTAACAACAAGCAGAGATATCCCGTGGTGGTAACAACCAGCAGGGATATCCCGTGGTGGTAACAACCAGCAAAGATATCCCGTGGTGGTAACAACCAGCAGGGATATCCCGTGGTGGTAACAACCAGCAGAGATATCCCGTGGTGGTAACAACCAGCAGAGATATCCCGTGGTGGTAACAACCAGCAGAGATATCCCGTAGTGGTAACAACCAGCAGAGATATCCCGTGGTGGTAACAACCAGCAGGGATATCCCCTGTACAACAGTTTACCTGATCTTATTGTATACGTACGCTAATGTACAACTGAGTACCTGATCTAATTGTATAAGTACACTGCTGTACAATAGTTTACTTCATCTGATTGTATAAGTACAGTACTGTACAACAGTTTACCTGATCAGATTGTATAAGTACAGTACTGTACAACAGTTTATCTAATCAGATTGTATAAGTACAGTTCTGTACCACAGTTTACCTGATCTTATTGTATACGTACACTAATGTACAACAGCGTACCTCTAATTGTATAACTACACTGCTGTGAAATAGTTTACTTGATCTGATTGTATAAGTACAGTACTGTACAGCAGTTAACCTGATCTATTTGAATAAGTAAAGTACTGTAAAACAGTTTACCTCATCTTATTGTAAAAGTACAGTACTGTACAACAGTTTACGTAATCTAATTGTATGAATACAGTACTTTACAACAGTTTACCTAATCTGATTGTATAAGTACAGATTTGTTCAACAGTTTACCTGATCAGATTGTATAAGTACAACAGTTTACCTGATCAGATTGTATCAGTTCATCAATGAATCTCGAATCCTCCTCTGATATAATAGGTTTAACAGGAGATACAGTTTTCTAAACTCACAAATATTCAGATTTTTGTTCGAAAAAAAATTTCACCTTTTAAGTAGGGGTTGAATAGAAAAGAATCATACATTAAACTGGCCAAATAAAAAGTGAGTTTCAGTGGAGAGTGATCTTGACCATTTTATAGCTTACAACAGGTTTAGAAATATATGTGTAGCAAGTGTTAAAAAAGTTGTGAACGCAAGTTATCAATAAAAAAGTAACCTTTAAAAAATAAAAACCATTAACATCTCAGAGCTGTTCCCTTTAATCTTTAATCTGATAAAGGATGTCATTATCTTAATATTTTCTTTAAAGTCATTGCGAGGAATTTCAAGTGACCCGCCATTTGCATGAGATACCCTTTTAACCTTTCTGCAAGTGAGGATAACGTAGATTGCCTAATTCTTATGTTAGTGTATTCTTGCAATTTCAGTGCACTCAAGGAAACGAGTTTTTGACACAATCTCTGATTGCAACCCGTTGTTGTAGACCTTTAATGTTGCAAAGATATAGGGATTAGAAAATTTGAGTTTGTGGCAAAAACTCGCTTACTTTTCCAGCTGTAAAAATTGGAATATCTAAGTAGTAAGAAATCCTTGCATGAAAGGACAAAGGTTTAAAGGGTATCGAGGTAAATCGGATATGCCACTCAATAATACAAGGCTCACTTGAATTAAAAGTTTATATATTTTGATTGTATTTGAAATTCATCACAATCCATAAAAAGAGCTATTTTAAATTGAGACAAAAAATAATAAATAATAAATTTGAATATTTATTCCTTGGTGATAAATTTTCCTCCTATGCTGCGCTTTGCTTTATTTCTATTAAATAAATAGATGAATATAAATAAATAGATAAACATAAATAAATAGATAAATATAAATAAATAGCTAAATAAAAATAGGAAAAATAAATATAAATAAATAGATAAATATAGAAANACGCCACTGATTTGATTTTTACCTGGATTTTGACACGTCAGGGGCATAATCTAGAGGGTTCTCATAGAGTCTACAGGGACACGTGTATCTGGATAGATAGATAATTAGATAGATAGATAGATAGAAATATTAATGAATAAAAGATAAATAGATAGACAGACAGAAATATCATAGATAAATAGATAAATATATTAGATTATACATACATTCACAGTTTCGAACATGCTCTTCATAACTTCGATAATTTTGACAATTTTGACAATTTCGTCAATTATGACAATTTAGACAATTTAGACAATCATAACAGTTTTGACAATTTTGACAATTTTGACAATTTCGTCAATTATGACAATTTAGACAATTTAGACAATCATAACAGTTTTGACAATTATGAAAATTTTGACAATTTCGTCAATTATGACAATTCAGACAATTTAGACAATCATAACAATTTTGACAATCTTGACAATTTTGACATTTTTGTCAATTATTACAATTTTAACAATTTTGACACCCTTGACAATTTTGTCAATTACCTGCAATGATACATACACCATACTTCTGTGTTCTTCGGAAGGATAATCTGAAAAAATGTTACTGAACAAACTAGATGTTTATACTATAGTTATACTATAGTTATACTATGTAAAGATGTACTAGATGTACTTGATGATGAACGTAAAGTATTTGTACATCTCGATGTATATAATGAAGATGATGCGCTTGATGAACTAGGTGTCATTGACGATAATATTTATCTATCATTGTCAATGCTGGGCATAGTTGCTCAAACACTTAACTAAGCTTTCAGTGTGTACTGCAGTGATGTGCAATCAAAGAGAATAGAATTTATATTAGAAGGGAATTTACTAGAAAAAAGTGTAAAACGGCCATTTTGCTATACTGTTTCCATGCTGCAGGTGTATAAATCGAATGATGTTTTTATTCACCTAATTCATTATAAAGTTTATTTAACAGCTTTAAAAATTTCGAAATTGAAATGAATAGTCTAGGGAACATACTGTATTAATGTACTCTATTGCATATAATTTGTGAACATTTACATGATTTGTACACTTTGAACTCCCTTTCAGACTGAAAGGGACTGAAAAAATTCATACAGAAAGATTATCTAAATTCCCCTCTAATATATATTCTATTCTCTATGTGTGCAATGCACTATTGTACTGTACACAAACCGTAAAATTAATTGTTTCAGCGAAGAGTGGCTCTTAACCCTTAATTGAGATCAGTAACAAATGGTACCTCTGAGAAAGAACGAAAGAAAATTTGAATGGAACGTTCAGTTCTTAGCTAAGAACAAACTGATGACTAAAAAGTTGGTTGGTTCCGTTATTTTAATAAACCGTAAACAAACGGATAACTAAAAAGTTGGTCGGTTCCGTTATTTTAACAAACCGTAAACGAACGGTTTGAAAAAGTACCCTAAACCAAGTGCACTATATCTTATTCTAAATTATACCTTTGGAATGACCACTGTGCACGGGATAAGATCCACGTTGTTCCTCAACTTGTTAAAACTGCTCTCCATATCCGTTTCTTCTTCCTCCTCCGCCTCCTCTTCCTCCACTACCTCCTCTTCCTCATCTTCCTCTTGCTCTTGCTCCACCCTCGACTCCTATGAATAATTAAGTTTGCATTTTTCATTTTTGGAGAAGAAAAATAAAATTGATTGATCTGGTAAAATTTACAGGAGAAAAGTCTTTCCCTCTTTTAGATACTTTTCCAACTAAAAGTCGCTTCCCACCCTTCCCCAACCCCCTCAACTTTATCGGGAAAAAACTGACTTTTCCCCCACTGTAAAAATGCCGAAAGAGGGGGGGGGGATTTTTAAGCAGAAATTAAACACTCCTGATAAATACTGAGCTACCTTAGTTTCCCTGTGACTAAACTCCTTCTCCTCTTTGTCTAGGAGAAGGGTTGAATTCTGATATCTTTGCGGTATTTTCCGTTGTCGTTTAGTTCCGCGGCCTCCGAGCATAACACTTTCCCGGCCGGAGGTCAGGAGGACGGTGTTGTTAAACTTCTTCTCTTCGGCGGCCATAAACCTCTGTGTGTCCTCCTGTATTCGAGCTCCTGAACCAAAGTTCATTATAAATCTATATAATAAAACAAGACATTCGTATATATATATATATATATATGTTGAGTATAGCCGGCCAAACGGGTGGACCGATTGGGCGGAAAATTTTGTGGACACTCATGGGTGGCCGGGGGGTGTCATAGGCTAAAAAAATACAATTTTTTTTCAAAACTTTTTGTTTTTGTTTTTAAATATTGTTAAAAAAATTTTGCTGAAGAAAATTTTCAGAATACACCTCAAGATGTTTTTTATATAACTAACCGACAGCAGCTGATATATTTACTCTTCTGCTCTCACAGGTAGAAAACTTGAGGGCATCCGTACTACACGAACATTGGAACATACATTCAACCTTAACAATAGTTTTGTTCAAAAGTTATTTTTACAACGGAATTTTTAACTTTCAAAGAAATTTCATTCTCTGAAATTAAATCGCCTGAATTGGGAACTTTGGATTGTGGATATCGAGATCGTTCCTTGATCTAGTTATTTTGTTAATCTAATTTCTTTATCACGCACGGTAATCTACCCAGTCAGGGGTTGACGGGAGCTTTGATTAGGAGAGGAACAATTCTAGGATAAAGAGATTAAGCGTTTATCCTAAAAATTAAAAGTGCCACAGTGAATATCAACATCAAGCGATCAGGATTATGAGTACCCAACACTAAAGGTTCCAGCTCCGATTAAAAAAAGCTGCCAAATCCCCAAATTTTAGATTAAAATCTCGCTAACCATTCACCACAGCACCAGGCCTTAAATCAATTATCGATTTTGAACCTAGGGCTACTTAAAATTTCCTGAACAATTCCTTTAAAGTTACCTTTCCACAGTGTGTTGGTGGGATAGGTTTCATTTTAATTGTTTCACAAACACAACCAAACTTGCAGTAGTCCCTAGACATATTTACAGTTTAAACCCACTACACAGTAGGAATATATAAAAATTAATTCATTACAGTATTTCATGAGATGGAATCTTGGCAGGCCGATTTTTTGCAGTAAACAATTAATAAAATCGAAGTTTCCCTGTTTCCTGCGCACCCAAACATACAATTTTAGAATTTTGATTAAGTTCAGATCTGACCTGATCTTTAAGTTTGCTTCAAATCGATCTGAGCTACATCTAAGTTTGGCTCAAATCTGATTCTAGCTTTAGCTGAGCTTGTATTACGTCTGATGTAAGCTATACTGAAGTTTAGTTAATATCTGATATAATTCATCAATAAATTTGGTTAAATTCTTATCTAAGCTGCACTTAGGTTTAGCTCCTATCTGATCTAAGCTCAACTTAAGTTTGGTTCATATCTGATCTAAGCTCAACTTAAGTTTGATTCCAATCTGATCTAAGCTCAACTTCAGTTTGGATCAAATCTGATCTAAGCTGCACTTAAATTTGCTTCAAAGATCTAAGCTGCAGTAAAGTTTGCTTCAAATCTGATTTAAGTTTGGTTATCTGATCCAAGATCTATATTGAACTGAGGGTTACCTGGTACATGTTGCATCATCCGACTCAGTTTCATCATATTCTATAATATTCACTCCTAAGGTCTTTAATGCTCGCCTCACTCTTAGCAAATCCTTCGCTATCTTCTTCTTTGTCTTTTTTAACCTTAATCATTAAAGTAATGGTCAAAGTCAAAGTCATGGTGAAAGTTATGGTCAAACTCATGGTCAAAGTCATGGTCAAAGTCATGGTCAAAGTCATAGTCAAAGTCATGGTCAAAGTCATGGTCAAAGTCACGGTCAAAGTCAAAGTCATGGTCAAAGTCAAAGTAATGGTCAAAGTCAAAGTCATGGTGAAAGTTATGGTCAAACTCATGGTCAAAGTCATGGTCAAAGGCATAGTCAAAGTCATGGTTAAAGTCATGGTCAAAGTCAAAGTCATGGTCAAAGTCAAAGTCATGGTCAAAGTAAAAGTCATGGTCAAAGTCAAAGTCATGGTCAAAGTCATGGTCAAAGTCAAAGTCATGGTCAAAGTCATTTTCATCAAGGTTATGATCAAAGTCATGGTCAAAGTCAAAGTCAAAGTCAAAGTCAAAGTCAAAGTCATCGTCTAAGTCAAAAACATGGTCAAAGTCAAAGCATGGTCAAAGTCATGGTCAAAGTCAAAGTCATGGTCAAAGCATGTTCAAAGTCATGGTCAAAGTCAAAGTCATGGTCAATTCAAAGTCATGGTCAATGTCAAAGTCATTGTCAAAGTCATGATCGAAGTCAAAGTCATAGTCAAAAGCAATGTCATTGTCAAATTCAAAGTCATGGTTAAATTCAAAGTTATGGTCAAAGTAATCATGGACATGGTCATGATGATGATGATGGTCATAGTCATGGTTATGGTCATGGTCAATGATAAAAGGTCATTGATGAGGATGAGGATCAAGATGAGTTAGTTACCTATGAGGAGTATTTGTCCCGCTGTTAGAGAGTGTCCCCGGTGTCCCCCCTGGACTTGTCCCAGGAGGTGTTTTTAGAGACTTGCAATAGCAGGCGGGGACATCACAAGTATCCCAACCTAGGATAAATAGATAATCTTCCAGGGGTTTTTAAGTATTAACCCCAACCCCTTTAAATACATTTTCCAAGGAGAAATTTTATTTTCTCGAAATGTAATTATTCACTATTCAGGACTTACAAACATTGAATGGATTTGCATACATTTATGTTATTTAAATGACTTGTAAGCATTGAAATTTCTCAAAAGTGTCATTTAACAGGTTTTACAGAGCAAAAATTAAAGATTTCCTTAAATCTAGATTTTGTTCAACATTTTAATGTGGTTTTTTTATAACAGCAAAGGACTGACAACATAATTTCAAATGACCCTTCAATCCAAATGTGGTATGCCAGATTTACAATGATACACTATACATCTTTAATAACACTAATAATGAAGATGTCGTCGTTTTTCTGACTTAAACATGGCAAATTCTGTCATTTTCTTAATTCTTCTGAACTGCATAAATCCACTTGAAATTTTACAGAAAAACAATAATTTCTTCATCATTTTTGATCTGATGAGGTTCTAAGGGTACCGCTTTGAATCCGGCAAACCTATTAGGAGTTTATCATATTTACCTGTAAATCCATCTGAATTTATGGCTGATGGTTTAACTTTTGATTTGATGGATTCCTCGGAATATCCTCGCAAAGGAGGACACTCATCCATATCGAGGGTTGCCGGAAATGCCTAAAAAAATTCTCGTTATCAATTGAAGATGTTAGGTACTTTTCCAAAGGCATTTTCTGGTAACTTTCCAAGGGTATTTTTCCATGTGGCAACTTCCCAAATGCAATTTCCCAAGCGACAACTTCCCAAGTCTGTCCTAGCCGCAGAGATCGGCCCTCATTGCAGCCTGTAGGGCGGCGCCTCAGAAGGCCTAATCTTACCTTCAGAAAGTTGCCGCTTGGGAAATTGTACATTTGGGAAGTTGCCACTTGGGAAATTGTCACTTAGGAAAAAATACTTAACACCTAATTGATGAACTATCCACTACATTCTTTTGTCGATCAATTTTGCATCACTTTTATTTTTTCGTACTCGGATGAAAAGAATCAAAAAATTGATTCCGTTCTGAGAACTTTTAAAGAAAAAAATTAGCTTTTTTAATACACCCAAAATAAAAAAAGGATTGTTTAAAATATTTTTTAAAAAACTTTTGATACATTATTATGATGCATTTTTTGAAGGGGGGGGAGGGGAAAAAAAATACCTGATCCGGAAGATCTTTCCAGGAGTTCTTGATTACGAGAACCGCTTTCTTCTCTTTCTTCTTTTCCTTCTTTTCATCCAAAATCTTCTTCATGTCTTCCTTTTCTTCCAAAATCTTCTTCATATCTTCCTTTTCTTCCAATTTTGGAGGAATTTTCTTTTCTTCTTTCTCGTGGAGCTTATCTTTCTCTTCTTTAATATCTTTCATCAGCTTCTCTTCGATTGTTTCTCTTTTCTCATCTAGAGACTCCTTTTCTTTTGTCTCCTCAATTTTAACATCTGGTTCATCTCCTTTCTCATCCTTCTTTTCCACTACATCTAACACTGAATCCTAACACACGAGATTACATTGGTGAATACGATCAAATTCTGGAACTTAAAGGTACTATAAGCGTAATTTCAATGGCAATGCTGGATTCACAACGGTACCCTTAAACCTTTAACTGTTCAAGAATGTAAAAGATATTGCTGCTTTTCTAGGTTTAAAAATGTTTAAATTCTGATAATTCCTATGCGTTTTCCTGCAATAGAAATGCGCAAGTCACTTTTGTGGAAAAAAACACAAATGAAAATAACCAGTTTTTTTCAAACTAACAGTGGAGCTCGACCCTGGAGTTCAACGTACCATTGCCATCAGGACATGATTCTTTGACTGTAGGTTGATTGTTAATAATAATATTTAACTTATCCTTGATCAGACAAGACTTTAAAGGGTTCCGTTGCATAGCGAGAGTTACTTTAAATTATGCTTACAGTCCCTTGATTTCTTAAATTGATGATTTTCTACCTGTGATTGATCAAGGAATGAGTCATTCAAAGGATCTGAATCAGACGAATCCGCGTCAGAGTCATTATCAGCATCATCTTCAATACCCTCTTCAGTCCCTAATAAATCAGTAAGTTAACAGACACTAACATTCTAAAAAATGATTCTTCATTTTTTGAAAGTTAAAAATCCCAGAATGTTTTGTTACAAGGTCCAGATAATTCCATTTCTGATACCAAATGGAATCGGGGTTGAAAGTACAATTAGGGGGATGAAAATACACTTTCTGTGTCATTGTGAAAGTTGGCAAGTTTTTTGAGTACGTGTAATACACTTGAATTTGGGGTGTTAAAACATGTAAATATCAGTAATCAATATAAGAGATAAATTATGATATACAGAAAAATAAACGCTCTCTTGCAGTATTGGAATTTTTCTACAACTTTATATCATACTTCCAATTGCTTACAATAACATCATGGTTAATTTCCATCAATCAATCGACATTTGGGATCGTATTGGGTGGAATTATATGGACCCTGAATTTGTACCTTGAGTCTCTTCCAAGAGGGTATCTTTGCCCAGAGTTCCTTTAATGTCCTCCGCTGACTCATCAATTTCAGCAATGGTGTCCCTGAGTTTCAGTTTGCACATCATCCTGTCCACCAGGTTGTTCTGACCCATGATTTTGTCCTTGAGGTTCCTCTGCTGTAAAGTCTGTTCCTTCTTTAATCTCCGTATATCAACCCTGCTTCCGACTCTAGAAAAAAAATTGGTATTACCACGTTTCTTGTCTACCATTTTGCGAAAAAAAAATTGGCATTACCACGTGTCATGTCCACCATTTTGTTTTTAAATCAGCTGATGTTCTACCTGAAATGCGCAGATGCTGAAAACTCTGCAAACTCTTGGTCAATCTCGAATGGAACAAGTCTTTTCCTCTCTTTAAGAAAAAAAGATAAATTAATGATACATTAGACAGACAGAAATATCATAGATAAATAGATAAATATATTAGATTATACATAANGGGGGGGGGGGGCGCCATCCATTGAGATTAAAAAGAGGACTATATTGGTTAAAGTGGCAATTGTCAATATAGATTTCATTCTTTAAAATTAAATGTTGTTTCTGATTTCGAAGTGCTTATATTAAATATTTATCAATGTGAGTTATAATAATGCATTATCTGATTATCTAGAACTTAATGGCACTTCTTTAACTGAAGTAAAGATGATAAAATATCCACCTGGTAGAAATGAAGGTACAGTAAGTATTTTAATATCAGATTTGAGAGATGTTCTTGAACCTCCAACAGCCAGCAGTCTCTCGGAGTCTCTAAAAATGCAGGGGTGAATAATTTCCCGAAAAATCATTTCCTTCCCCCCCCCCCTTATGAAAATCATTTTTTTTCTCCAGAAGTTCTATATGCTTGCACAACATTTTTTACTTTGAAAATTCATTATTTTCAATTTGTGTTCTCTACAGAAGTGACTTGTAGATTTCTGCTACAGAAATGTGAAGAAAATTGTAAGAATTGAACACTTTGTTTATGATAGAAAAACGACGTATTTTTAACATTATTGATCAAATAAAGGTTTCAGGGGTACCGTAGTGTATGAATCGGGACCCTCATAATAATGATAATAATAAAAATAACAAAAAACGATCAACTATAATTCCACGGAAATCAACGCCAACTCCCCCTTTAAAAAAAACAGCTAAGGAAAAAAATACTGATTTTATGAGGAAAAATACTAATTTTATGAGGAAAAATACTGATTTTATGAGGAAAAATACTGATTTTATGAGGAAAAATACTGATTTTTATTTATTAATTTTGCAAGTTTAACAAACCATCTTGATATTTAACTTCAGGGTGCATGTAAGGAGGGGGCACAGGCATAAGCTAAGGAGGGGAGCCCAATGGGTGCCAACCACCCCCCCCCACCCCAAAAAAGAACAAATATAAAGTCTTTTTGTTCGTCTTCATGGGCGTGTCTACGACCCTAAGCTACCTGATATAACATGCTGGTTTTCCTAGAGCATGATTCCTCCCACAAACTAGGCTACTGCTTGAACTAGGTGCATTGATCGAGGTCCCCTAATCAAATAAAAGTATTTTCATATTTTAAATATTTTAAATTTAGACTTTTGAACAAAAATGGTTATAAATTAAATCATCTGCGGTAAACTATGATATTATTTTCAAAACAAAATGAAAGATGACCCTATTTTCTGAGTGTGGAATTTGTCTTCTATCCTCTGTCTAGTGTCTACACTATAGTATATATATAGAACTTTGCTTGTCTAGGTGTCTGTTTGTTTGAATCCAATAAACGTCATAACGGCTGAACCGATCAGACCGACATTTTTTGTTGGACCTCATATGACTCAAAAGACGGTTTCTGGATGGTCAGTTTTTGAAAAAATTCCCTTTCAAATTCGATTTTACTAAATTCACGATAAGAATCGACAAAAGTCTAGAAGGTATAGCTAAGTTTTCTTAACCTTTAATGCGAGAGTAGAGAGAGGAACTAATCCATCTCTTCGGTTGATGTAAACAACAGTTTCCACACTCGGCTCCTAAGAAAAATTGGATTTAAAAAAAAAGTTTTCTTAAAAAATAAAACACTCGTACCTGTATGTATTTTCCATGTGAGAACGGTTTGATAATTGATCTTGCATCAACCTCCTATAAACCCAAATTTATTTATTTAAAAAAAAAAAAAATTCGATTAACATTTATCAAATTTAGTATTTTAAAAACTTTTATTTATTAACAAATAATGGGTTACCTCGTAATCGGGATCATTGGAACTATGCTTCATTTTTAATAGGGGCATCTGTATCAGACACATTTGTAAGTTAATCTATTTTAAGAGACTGTACACGACCCTTCATTGATAGATTCAAATGTACTCTCAAAATATTTGTCCGATTAATTATGAATAAGATATCATTGTTTTTTTTTACAATCTTATTACTTTCCTTTGTGATTCTTTTAAAAAAAAAACGTTATCTTCCACATTTTTAATCAAATTAAGATTTCAAGGGAACCGTTGTGAATCGTGCAAACCTAACAACACAAAAGTTTTAACCTCAAGTTACTTTGTAAATTCATGATTACTTTGTTTTTAAAAAGAAATTTATGTTTACAGAACTCTAAGGAGGTATTTGTAAACAATACCATCAATCATGTCTTAAATCGTAAGAACAATTATTGTCTTTTAGATTTATTAGCATTTAGCATTAATCTATAAATATTTTATCGGAAATATCATAATGTTACTTATTTAAGTGAAACCGTCATTAATTAAGCTTAAATAATCATCAACAATTATAGAAATTGATTTTGTAAAGATTAAATCGATCAATCAATCAAAATAATCAACGCAATTAAGTTAAACACTATCTGCCTTTGGTCTGAGCTGTTTCTTTAAGTTGGCGGTATCCTTCTGTTGTCTTGGGTATAGTCTGAAATAATATTTACATTACAAAGTTCTGAAGATTGTAGGTTGTCTGCGATTATTATCTATTTACAAATATTATTTTTATCAAATAGAAATCTAGAAATTATAAAAATTATACTTCTATTCTTAAAGATAACAACAACTTTCTGAAATAAAGATTTCAGGGGTGTACACTGTATATTTTCTCAGAAAATCATTTTTCTTCCCCACCCCCTTCTTAAAAATCATTCCCCCCCCTTTTTAAAAATCATCCCCCCATAAGTTATAATATGCCTTTCTTACGGGCGTTATTTTTTTATCATAAATATTATTTTATCAAATAAAAAAATCTAGAAATTATGAAAATTAAACTTCCGTCCTACTGTATAACTTTCTGAAAAAAATCTTTAACCTTTCTATGGCAGCGACGCCATACTTCATCATGTCTTCTTGAAGTTTCCGCCGTTTCTCCGCCAGGGTCTTCGCCTTGGATGGAATATATGCCGTGCTGGTCATCATCCGCCCCATCCTGAATATTTAGAGTTTTAATAACTTCATTTAATATCTTTAAATCATATATATGCGAAATTTTCCAAGTTGAAAAAATAGATAATTTTGGTAATTTAATTATTTAAAAATATATAATTATTTTTCTCTATTTTAAACTTTCAGTTTCTATATAGTATGATTTGCTCCAGAATTGAACTTGAAATTTTATTTAATAGCAAAAATACTTAAAATGTGTGCATTAATTACTTAATTAGTATTAATTATTGATTGGAATCATTTTGAGGCCAGTTTTAAAAATTCAAATTTTTTAGACTTTTAAGAAGCTCCACGAAAAACCGAGATGTAAATTCTTTTTATAAATTGCTTTAATTACATTATTCAACATGTTTTATCTAACCAAAGATATTCACCAACATGATTTTCAGAACTATTAAAAATCTTTGTTCACATTTTGTTTTGAAAAATTGTTTTGGTGATTTTCTTAGGTTAATATCTTTGGTTAATTAAGGCAAGCTTATCGAGAAATCAAGTTCGCAATATTATTAATTACCCGCATTTCTAAGAATCACTTTTAACCTAAAAACTATATGTCTTAAAACGGACCTCAAAACGATGCTTATCATCACATTAGTTTGTGTATATCTTAAAAGATTTATTAAAACAAAATTTCTGGGGTTACTCTGGTTCCTCTGGTACCCAGACAGTTCAAACCCAGAATCTTAATATATTCAATACTTTAATTTGATGGAGATGACAAATTAGAATCACCCCTCAAAAATTATTATTCAGAAATAAAACATAACATAAACTATGTTGAGAGATGGGGGGGGGGGATGATTAGTAAAGTTTACAAAAACCTATCTGCAGCCTTCTTCTTGTGTCCCAGGCCCGCCTTAACCCCCTCCTGATGTTCCCGCTCGTCCAGGGTTAACCGAATTTTCTCTATTTCGGCAGCACTCAGTTCAGAGATTCCTTCCAGGGCATTGTTTGGTAGAACAGGAACCATCCTGCTCTGATTCTTCCCTTCAAGAACAGCAGCATCTAGACTCGAACTCTGAAACACGTTGAGAAGCTCTTCTTTAACCGGAGGATAATTGACAGGCAAAGTTAACTTAGCCTCTACTTCCTGATCAGCAAGGTCTTCTTGTTCTTCTTCATCATTGTCATTGTCCTCGTTGTTGAAGTCTACAATGTCCATCAACATTTCATCTTTTAAATCCATATTCATCGGAGGAAACTCTTCAGGGACGTTTTCATCTTTACAATTATCGGTTGCACCCTCTTGAATGGTGTCTGCAAGAGAACGATCTTGATCATTCTCGGCCTTGGGCTCAAGAGTGTCGACTGTGTTGGGCTGAGAAGACAAGGGGAGAGGAAGGCAAGGGGATTCAAGATCATCATCATCATCACTGCACAGAAGATCATCAATGTCATCATCAGACATTATGATTTTTATTACAAAATATCTGAAGAAAAATAATCATTAAATAAAGTACCTTTGACAATTGCTTATACCGGATATTTATAATTATACAATAAAACAACAATTGGAGTCCTTGGAATCACCTCACAAGTATCAAGTAAGTAAGTAATATTTTCTTTTAACAATAAAAAAATTTATTATTCAGAAAGTTTATGACTTAAAAGAAAGCCCTGCGAATTGCATACCATTGATCGATATATTGTTTTACAACAAGTAACACGAAAAACTGCTAATTTTTATTAATAACTATGTTTTTGTACATGTATGTAGGTACAATGGTTGCTGTACATAAATTTAATTTTAAAAAGTGTAAGTGGAATGTCGATCCGTACATTTCCGCTGCTGTTGGCTGCACGCACTTTTCAACTCAATTTGCGCTGGGATCAGAACAAGTCAGGGAACACACTAACAGCCATTACGTACATGATATTTATAAAGTCAAATTTTTCATAACTTTTCTTACATCTAATTACGCAAAAAGTAAATTATTGACGATTAAATATGAATCAACTATTATTTATCCGATATTCACTGTTTAAAAATACAAGTTCTGGTTTTGAAAAATAAATCCTTGAAAATGTCTGCAGGTATGTTCCTCGCTTGTTGCCCGAGGAAGATGAGCAACAAAAAGGTGCGGAATTGTGAAAGTATCCAAATTCATGGGCTGAATCGGGCTTAAAGCACTGAGGAGGCCTGACATGGCCTGAATTATGCATTAAATATGCCTTTTTTAGCAACTCAGAAATGTTTTAGCTGATAAAGAGTTTTAGAATTGTAGAAATTGAATTCCGATAATCAGTTCTTAAATTGTAGCGCCTAACAAGGTATATTTTATTTCAGCTAAAATGTCTTCACGAAAAACTGCTGGACGTCGTGGAACCACCAAGAAGAGAGCGCAAAGAGCTACTAGCAATGTCTTTGCTATGTTTAACCAGGTCTATAAGAGAAAATTATTTTAAAAAACTAAATTGTAATTTAATACTTTACACATCAACTAAATTGTGATTTGAAATCATAATTCATGATTTTGCATTAAATGTGTTCATATTTTGGGTGTTAGTATGTTTCAACCTCGGATTAGAGGGTGCAGTATCATATATAACAGCAGTTTCGATTTTGTTAACGGTGAACACTGTACAATTTGACATTTCACTGTTAATAAGCAATGATTGAAATCAGGAAATTGGAGCTAATCAGCTACAGGAGTAGTTGTGTAGCTGATTAGCTCCAACATCCTTATATAGCACAGTTTAGAATAAGGTTAGAGATAAATATATTTGTATAAATAAGGAGTACGTCTATGCATGTTCAAGAATTAGTAAAAACATCATTAAAATGTTTAAAGATATTATTTTGACGTCATTTAAATGTTAAGTGACATCATTTTAATGTCTTTGAGATGTTAGGTATCGTAAATATGGATTTCATATTGGGTATTGCAACGTTAAATAATGTCATTATGATGACTCAAATCATACAATATGACATCAAACAAACATCAAATTGACATGATTTTAGGACATTTGACATTAATCTAACGTCTTAAAATGACGTCAATTTGTTGTCTTTTTGTGATGTCAAAATGACGTTACTACACTCTAAAAAGATGTCAATTTGATGTTAATTTAATGTCCGTTGTCTTGCTGGGATACTGTATAATAGGGGGGAGGCGACTGGATTGCGAATTTATGGGGTCTGTCATAGGGACCGATTTTTGGACCCCCCCCCCTCCTACCAATTTTATACATGATTTCAGAATTTTTTTTATTAGATTAGGGTTAGGTTCGGGTAAGAGAATCTCTGGGCCGAGCGCTGCGGCTAGGACGGGCTAGGGGGCCGAGCGCTGCGGCTAGGACAGGCTAGGGGGCCGAGCGCCGCGGCTAGGTCATACTAGGGGGCTGGGCGCTACGGCCACATGACCAATGATAACCATGTACAAAATTATCTCTTGTAACTTTTTCATAAATTTTTAAAACAATTTTTAATTTAACAAATTCCTTTAAAACTCGCCCTATATATGCAAGACAAACTAATTGATTTTAAAGGGAGTATTCGCGAAAAATGAAAGGGTGTATTGGCTTACATCGAAAAATAAGCGCTTTTGATCGCTACTAATCTTACTTCTATCTGTTGCGACTATCAGAAGAAAATTATTAATAACAACTCAGGCTGAAGAACTTAGCGTTCATACAAATTCAGAAAGTTTCAACATTTAATTCGGATCTTAAAATTATCAATTTAATTCCAAACAAATCATTCAGATATTACAACGCTACGTTCTTCGGTATGAGTCGTTTTTTAACAAATTTCTCCTGATAGACGCAACAAGTTCTAAGATCATGTTGACTTGTTCAGATCTGACATTTAAAGAGACAGAAAGTGTAATTTTAAAAGACCCTCCATGCAAAGATGGTAATGCCCGATTCACATTGGTATCGTTAAAACGTTTATCTGGTCAATAATGTGGATGAAATGGTAGTTTTTCTATGTTTTAAACTGACCCACAATAGAAAATAAAATATTTTCAAAATTATAAGCATGGATATCAAGTCCATCAGATAAAATTTTATGGTTACCCTTGTGAATCGGGCTTTGGCATCTTTGTCTGGAGGGTCACTTGAAATTAGGCTTACAGTCCCTTTAAATATATGACTTAAACATGTTTTGATGGGTATTTTTTGTCCCTTGGATTATCCAGGAAGCCAAAATGTTGCGGATCTAACGGATCCGGACCCTAGGCAAGAACTAACCCTTGAATATCCTTCAGGACCAGATCCAGGAGTTCAAGGAGGCCTTCAACATGATCGACCACAACAGGGACGGGTTCATCGACAAGGAGGATCTTCACGACATGCTCGCTTCTCTTGGCAAGGTTAAATTTAAAAGATTGAAGGGACTGTAGACGTTTTCAGAGTGGCGTGTTCGATTCAAAGTGGTACTTATAAAGCTTTATCTGATCAAGAATCAAAGATAGTTTCTCGTCAGATAAAGGTTAAAAGGGTACCGTTGTGACACGGTCATGTCCCTCTTTAAATATAATGTCACTTGACATTTTAACGTAAGTCCCTTTTTGTCAAAAAAAAAAAATTGTAATTATACAAATATGTCTATTGTCAATTATGTATTTTTCTGTCTTACGTCTGTTTATCGCTTAAAAACGATGTAGTAAATATTAAAAAGTTTTGTCCGTCGTGTTTTCTTGCAGTTGTCTCAGACATCATATACCCTTCCCCCTCAACTATTTCATTCTCTCTGTATAGTGTACTATGTAGTATGTACTGTATAGTGTACTGTCTACTGCATAGTGTACTGTCTACTGTAATGTGTACTGTCTACTGCATAGTGTACTGTCTACTGTAATGTGTACTGTAGTGTACTGTATAGTGTACTGTATAGTGTACTGTGTACTGTGTACTGTGTACTGTGTACTGTATAGTGTACTGTGTACTGCATAGTGTACTGTGTACTGTATAGTGTACTGTGTACTGTTTAGTGTACTGTGTACTGTATAGTGTACTGTCTACTGTATAGTTGTCTACTGTATAGTGTACTGTGTACTGTCTACTGTGTACTGCATAGTGTACTGTGTACTGCATAGTGTACTGTGTACTGTATAGTGTACTGTGTACTGTTTAGTGTACTGTGTACTGTATAGTGTACTGTCTACTGTATAGTGTACTGTCTACTGTAATGTGTATTGTCTACTGCATAGTGTACTGTCTACTGTAATGTGTACTGTAGTGTACTGTATAGTGTACTGTGTACTGTGTACTGTATAGTGTACTGTGTACTGTCTACTGTGTACTGCATAGTGTACTGTGTACTGTATAGTGTACTGTGTACTGTGTACTGTATAGTGTACTGTGTAGTGTATAGTGTACTGTGTACTGTATAGTGTACTGTCTACTGTAATGTGTACTGTCTATTGCATAGTGTACTGTATAGTGTAATGTGTACTGTAGTGTACTGTGTACTGTGTACTGCATAGTGTACTGTGAACTGTATAGTGTACTGTGTACTGTATAGTGTACTGTGTACTGTATAGTGTACTGTCTACTGTAATGTGTACTGTCTACTGCATAGTGTACTGTCTACTGTAATGTGTACTGTAGTGTACTGTAGTGTACTGTGTACTGCAAAGTGTACATCTGAACTGTATAGGACCCTACTGATGAGTACCTGGAGGACATGATGAACGAGGCTCCTGGACCAATCAACTTCACCATGTTCCTGACTATGTTCGGAGAGAGATTACAGGTAGGTTGGTTGGTTGGTTTGCTCGTTTTGGTGTTTGCTCGTGTGTTCGTTCTTTAGATGGCTTGCTGATTGATCGATTGATTATTGATTGATGATTGATTGATTAGTTGATTGTTTGATTGATTGATTGATTTGTGTTTACCTAGGGGACCGACCCCGAGGATGTGATCAGAAACGCCTTCGGTTGCTTTGACGAGGAGAATGTGGGTATGCTCTCCGAGGATAAATTGAGGGAGCTCCTCACCACCATCGGGGACAGGTTGGATTTATTTGAATGCAGGGTTGTAAATTTTCCTGAGAAGTGTTTATTATTTAATATTATAAATTGGCATAATACGGTGCTCTTTTAAAGAAAGTGTTTATTGAATCACAAACATTATGCAGAGCTACAAATCTTGAAATAAATTTCCCCCAAAAAAATTATTTTCAAATTAATTAAAACATTTTAGGAATAATATGGATATACATGGTTTTTTGGATCTTGTATTAATTTTCGTTACTCAATTATCAAGATCAAACTTTGTAGATTAGCGCGCAGGGGTGTATATTTTTAAGATTCAACCCCCCCCCCCTNCAGAAGGAAACTTTTTCATTCTTTTTGATATTTTTTTATGCAAATATTTATTTATTTACCCATAACAGAAACTCATTTCCCCAATTCAACGAAGAAAACCAAAAAAATAATATACGACTTTTTTGAACGGAAAAATGATTTTTAGAGAGCTGGATGAAAAATAATTTTTCAAGGAATAAATACCCCTTTTACTGCTTTTTACCTAATAGTTTTGAGCTCAAATTGACCTTCTTTCTCTGCAGGTTTACGGACGAGGATGTCGATGATATGTACCGTGAAGCTCCGATCAAGAACGGGATGTTTGATTATATTGAGTTTACCAGGGAGGATTGGGTGCCATTTTAGATATCATTTTCAATACAAGATATTGGGCGCCATTTTAGATATAATTTCTAATACAAGATACTGAGCGCCATTTTAGATATCATTTCTAATACAAGATATTGAGCGCCATTTTAGATATAATTTCTAATACAAGATATTGGGCGCCATATTAGTTTTTATTTATAACACAAGTTTATAACGGGACCTCTTTCAGATTTCTTTTCCTTATAGTTTCCTTATTGATTTCTGTAAACAAATTACCCAATATTTATTTCGGGGATTTATTGTTTAATTTAATGTGGAATATGGCAACCACCCGTGACTAAATATCTATTTATCTTAACCTAACTACAAAAGGTTTTTATATTCAGCTTGGGGGCGGGCGGCGGGGCCTTTTTTAAACAATCAATTTCAAATGTTCTATAATATGTTTTTTTTAAAAACAAATTAAAACTTTTAAGTGAAAAAAATGCTTGAAATAGCATGTGTAATGTGCAGTAAGGAAGCATAAAAGTTTAAAGTTCCAATTTTTCTTCAAAGCAAGGATACAGAAATATTCGTATCTCAATTTTTACCTTAAAAAAATATATTTTTAAAATGTGCCTCAATTGTTAGAATACTGAAACACGGAGCTCAGGAAAATGATGAAGCATAAAATCGGTAAAAAATCATAAATATTTTTACAAAGTTCAATATATCTGAATCGGGGTTGAAAATCAGTTATCACAATGTAAGAGATAATGATATACAGAAAAATAAACTTTCCCTTGCAGTCAACATTCTGCAGTTTGCAATATTTTCTAAAACTTGATATCGTACTTCACAAAAACATGGTGAACATCTGCCCCGCATATCAATTAATCATTCGATGAAATTATTTAGACCCCTCAAGTTTTATTTTCCAATAAACTATAAACGAAAGAAAAAATTACAGCCGTAGTCAGAAAAACCCGGAATAAAAAAGGTCGTCTTTCAATGTTCGGCGGTTTTTCTCAGAACGAAAAATTTATCAAAATTTATTTTATTTCAGGAGAAGCATTGTTGACTATATAGACTCTTTATGTACACTTTAAAGAGTTACTGCTGTACTGTACTGTACTGTACTGTACTGTACTGTACTGTACTGTACTGTACTGTACTGTACTGTACTGTACTGTACTGTACTGTGCTGTGCTGTACTCATTCCAGAGCCATCTATGGAGTTCTCCACAATTTTCTACTTTTTATAATGATAAGTCTGTCATTTATATAATTTATATGAAACTAACCCTAGTATTTAATATTTATGTGATAGTATTGTAATTATCTAATTATACAATAAATATTTATAAATTATAAAATATCTATGAACTAAGTTTAAATATATACAAAAAATTATTAGATTAAACAATTTATAATTTATTGTAAGATTTGTTTCAGATAAAAATGGTGATTGCAGTCTCAGCAATTCCCGATACGGAGCAAAAGGGATTTATAATTTATTAAAAGCTTCTGGGGGGGAAAAATAAATAATAATTGATCATGAAGAGAATGGGTTTTCATCCTTTTTGATACTTTCAGCCAGTGCTTAGGATCCATTTAATTTTGATGCGGATCCGCACTGGAAAAAATGGATCCGGATCCAGATCCAGGTCATTTCTTTTAGATTTACTGATTTTTTTAACAAAAATTATTTTCTAATTTTTTGTTTTATTTTTTTTTTTGCATATTTTTATCCAAAAACTTAATGAACCATGAAATTTTTATAATCTTTCTTTTTTTCAATCCTCATAAATGTGCTGGTCGTCGATAAATCATTTTTCTCTTAAATATCTTTTTAACCTTTAATAAGTAGTTCTGATATTCAAAAATGTGCTTTGTCTCTGTTTCAAAGATTACATTTAAATTTTAACGTTTTTACGACAGAATGGAACAAAAAATTCGCATTTTCAATGGTAGAATTGAGATAAAGTGGACCGAGCACTTTTTCGATTACTAGGCATAATTTTGAAGGTTAAAACGGCATTTTTAAGAAAAATGTTTCATTGATGACCCCCCACACATTTTCCCATTTATGGGAATTGTACCTACTATGAACACTCTTTAGTTCTCCTTAACAACTTTATTCAATACCAAAATAAATCAACAATATTATATCTTAATCCCAGAAACATAGAGAGAAAAATTCTCTCATTTTATCTTCGTACCTATTGCTGTAATTAACTAGAATTAATCTTAAAACTAAATTTATGAAGAAATGATTCTTGAAAATGGTCTCTTTAAAAACGCAATGGTTATTGTGATTGTAAGTTCATCAAGTTTCACGATTTCAAAAATGGTGTTTTTTTCTAAAACTTAGCATTAGTATTATTTCTTAGTTTCTGACAGGGGGGGGGGGGCTTGAGCCCGTGAGCCCCACCCCAAGCTCCTGGAAGTTTACAGATAGAAGTAGGAGAACTGGAGTTTACAGATATAAACTAGGATAGAACTAGATTTTACAGCTAGAAAGTAGAAGAACTGGAGTTAACAGATAGAAAGTTGAAGAACTGGAGTTTACAGATAGAAAGCTGAAAACTGCAGTTTACAGATAGAAAGTAGGAGAAATGGAGTTTACAGATAGAAAGTTGGAGAACTGGAGTTTGCAGATAGAACGATGGAGAACTGAAGTTTGGAAACTTATATTATTTAAACAAATAAGAAAGAGGAATTTAATACTTTTGTTTCTGATCTTGTGGATTTCAAAAGATTTCAAAAGATTATTTAGTTCTGTGACTCTGTTCCTTAAAGTTTAGAAATAGTAAAGAAAATCAGTTACTCTATTTTTTGATAATAATGCTTTGATTTAAAGTTCGGTTTGATTAGAGATTTTTTTACCTAGAATTAGGTTAAATTACAAAAAAAACTGGCCTGGGTTTTATGCAAATTTGAAATTTTAGATTAAAGCAGAGTTTTCACAATTATATACATGCAATTAAATGATAATTCATAATTTTGAAAATTTACAATTGAAATCTACTCTAAGTCTAATTTTTTCCCCAATCAATTTTCAAATCAACTTAGTCCCAGAAGTGGTTTTTGTTTTTTACCTGAGGATTCAAATTGACCTCTCATAAAAAATTGCAAACGAAAATAAATACTTTTAACATTTTGGGTTGTAAAACTGTCTAATATTGAGAAAAAATGAAGAAAAAAATTGATTTTCTATCAGGAAAAATATGGTAAAAATTAAATTATGAACGATAGAAGAAAAAGAGTAAGAACAAGCGGCCCCTTGATGAAGAACCAGAACTAGAAGGGAAAAAGAAAAAGAACAAAAAAGAAACCCCTGAACCAGAGACGGAAGAAATCCGGGAAATTAAGAAGAAAAAGAAAAAGGACAAATCCAAAGACGCAGTAGAAATTGCTGAACCTGAAGTTAGCGAAGTTGTTGGGAAGAAAGAGAAAAAGAAAAAGAAGAAAAAAGAACTAGAGAAGCTAAATAATTTAGACGAGCTTATAACCGCGACACAGGATTATGTAGATCAGAAAAGAAAAATGGAAGATGATGATTCAAAAGAATCGGTGAAAAAGAAGAAAAAGAAGAAAGAGAAAAAAGAACATAAAGATGATGATGTTGACACAGAACAAAAAGAGAAGAAAAAAGGAAAATTTCAAATCATTCTTACTCAATCCGAATCAGGTAAAAATAACATTAAAACAAAGTTTTTTCCACGAGCGTTATGAATTCTGAGGAAGCCTGGATGGAGCCCGTATGCTCCATGTAGATGCTGTCTGCGGGTTCCATGTCTTGTTCCCTTACAGGATCTTTCTATTATTTTTCACCGCTGTAAAATATTTTTTTTTCAAACTGTTAAAAATCAATGGTATTATTAGAGATTGAGTGGCACACCCCATTCACAATGTTACCCTCTAACTTTTCATCAGAGCAAAAATATATTTTTGTTTTTCTTTCTGAAAATTGGGATTTTGATTTATACGGATAGATAAGACATGAAATCGACAGAATTCAACACGTTTTAAGATAGAAAAGTGACAATATCTTACTCATTTTTGCTCAGTTTTACGTTTTACGTCTACAGTTCTTTGTTAGTGTAAGAAAGTGGCTAAAAAGTCCCGGTTTTGATTATAAGCCCGAAACTTAGTTTACAATTACTAAAAAAAAAATACTTTTCGGCCATGAGACCAGTTATACAGTCTTTGTGTCCAAATTTCGTAAAAAAGATCTACAGTTGATATAAATACGTTAAAAAAGACATAATTTTAATAAATTATTTTATTTTAAAAATAATCTATCCTAGAACCCAGTTTGGTTCCTGAAGTATCTAAGAAGGGAAAAGGGCCGAAAATCATTGTAGTACAAAATGAGGTGAGCACCTTTATATATATATTACCTTCAGTTTATATATATATATGCTTATACTTTGCTTGTCTGTCTGTCTGTTTGTTTGTCCCCAGGGAAGGTTTAGGAATGCTCAAAGTTACACAAAATTGTCTCCCAAAAACTTTTGAGTTTCGTAAAATTTTGAAGATAACAACTGTTTCCAATTTTTAAAAATGTAATCTATTCGTCTATTCGTCAATTCTTCTATTCGTCTATTCGTCTATTCGTCTGTTCGTCTATTCGTCCTCCCTCCTACACTTTGCTCCAACATTTAATCGAGAGCTATATTAATAATTAACCTGTAATCTAAATAATAAAATAAACTGATGGTGGGGGGAGTAGGGGGGCAGGGGCGGATACAGGGGTGGAGGGCGCAGCCCCCCCTCTTGAGATTTTAGAATAGCTCCTCAATAGCAAGCCTAGTGCAAAACAGGAAAAATATATATCTTAAAAAATTTTGTTCCTAAATCTGGATGTTTTTGTTCCGAAATAAATCTAGCACCCCCCTCACTTAAATCCTGTATCCTCCCCTGTAGGGGGGTATTAAAAGTATCCCAAGGTACAGGGTTACCCACAAAGAATGAGAACTTAATGACGACCTTAAACTCTTTAAATATAACGAGGTAAAGGTTGAAATTTGTCTTCTACATTTAAAAAACAAGAAATTAATTTAATATCAGAAGAAACAAGTTTACTGTTAAAAGCAACCAAAAATGTTATAAATCTGACTCAATGATTTCCGTACAGTCGTCTCTGAACCCTGTATCTTGAATTTCTTTATTATTTAAAATCTTTTTTATTCAGTCCTCAGGATCTACTAAAGAAAAGGGAACAAAATCTAAGAAAAAGAAAAAGAAGGAAACTGGTATTATTTTGATCATTTATAAAAAAAAATTCTTAATAATTCTAAAAAATTCTATATTTTTAGATGAAGAGCACGTTCATGAGACCAAGGTAATTAAATTAAATCATGGATCAGCAATAAAAAAACGTAAACTACTTTTTACATTAAAGTATTTTGATCGTTTTTGGCATTGCTTGATTATTTTGACACGATCTAGCGATAGGCGCAATAAGAGTTTTATTTAGGGGTTGGGCATTGGAAATGGAAAATTAGCGTAAATTTTTATGAGAAATATAAGAATTTTTTTTTGGGGGGGGGAAGAAAAAGTCATCCCGACAATAGAAGTTTCGCCCATAATACCTAGGTTATAATGCAAGGAAAGTTAATTGCAGGTGCGTATACTCTGCGTACATATTGAAACCAGTTCTCTCTGGGCGGAATTTGTAAACAAGAATAGATGCGTTTAGTATCCGAGGAGGTTAAAAGCATTAAATTTTGATAACTTTGATAATTCACATAATAGTTTCCTATGACCAGAATATTTCATTGATTTTTTATGTGAAAGATGGATTCCATGTCAGGCTGTGACATCCGTCTTGTGTTTACATTACCTCCCAGAGACAGTACACTGCAGTACAAAAGATGCGTACACCTCTGAAATAACTTTCCTTGCATAATAACCTTGATGATACCTATGATTATTATTATTATTCATTATCATATCTAATAACTGTTGTGTAAATAATATTTTATTATTCAGGGTATGTTGAAAGCCCTGAATTATCTGAAACTGTGGCAGGAAGATAAGGCAGCCTGGAAGTTTGAAAAGGTTTTAACAAATAATCTAATTATCTATATATCTATTTAGCTGTATAAAGTAGCAATCTATTTTTGTCTGTTTGTTTGTATGTCTGATAATAAGTCATGAAACCCTTTACCGATTTGCCTCAAATTTTTATTGAGGAACTTGATAGAGCTATGGGAAAGTCTTTTTTTCAGGCAAAGCTGGGTTTCCAAGCTACTTTATTTTATACCTGGAATCATTGATATAAATTTAACTTAAGTTAGGAAATGTACGGAATATTTTTTGGCTTCACAATGTAGAGTTCTAGGCCGTCATTTTTTTCACTGTAGTACAATAATAAAGTTTTACCTACTAAAAGTATGGGGGGGGGGGGTCCTTAATCACTTAAATAAATTTGAATTTATTTTAGTGTCGGCAAATATGGTTGCTGCATAATGCGTACGACGAGAAAAGGTAAATAAAAATAATTTATTGCTTTTAAATATATTTTCATCAATCAAAAATTATATTTTTAAAGAAAATTTTTTTTCATTTAAATAGAAAAACGTAATTTCAAATCTTATTAGAAAATCCGGTAACAGTGCTATAATGTACAGATAGTTTGAAATTGTAACACAATGATTACCATAATGCATTGCTATCCTAAAAATAAACATAAAGTGGACGTAGGACAAGTTTCCAAAAATAAATACACCTCTGATTGTATAAATATACAATGTACGTTGTCAACCTAACAATTTATTATTTTATAATGTTTGTTGTATTTGCATACTTTTCAGTATGATATTTGCAATGTGCAACGTAAATTTGCACACTGTGCTTTCTGAAATTTTTCTGGGTTTGTCGTTTTTTATTGATTTTAAGTGAAATTATTTTTTAGGATTGATGATGAGCATTTTAAAATACTTCTTGAATACATGAATAGTATAAAGTAAGTTTTTTTGTTATGGATTTTCAAAACTTTGAATCGCACTTAAACTCCTTTAATAATTCATATTTTTATTTCTCTTTCTAATTTTTGACAATTTATTTTTGCGAATTTTCAAGAAAGCGATTTGCGGATTTTTTGCCTTTGTGGATTTTTAAGGCAAAAAATCAAAAAAAGAATTAATTAGTAATTACGTTTGTGATTGTTTAGATTAAAAAGGACTGAACGAGTAATTTCAAATGATAATTCGCAAAAATGGTAATGCTTGATTCACAACTGTTCTCTTTAAATAATGTGGAAGATATTGTCGTTTTTCTAGTTTTCAAGTATAAACCTAGGTTTATCTAATTTATTATTGATCAGAAGTGCACCGTTGTTAATCTGACATTGTCATTTTTCAATGGAGGGTCACCTGAAATATTGCTTACACTTAATTAATGATTTTTTGCGTTTTAACCCTTTAAAGTTGTGACTTGATAAAAACGCGAACAATCCCTTTAATATCTTCAAGGACATTATTTTGCGCACATGTATTGCGTAGTCTAAAATGAGGTCACTAAAGTATTCAATTCAGTACAAATACTTACAAACTTACTCACGAGAAGTTAACATTGACAATATTCTTAAAGGAACTGTCGAAGAAATATCTTTAAATGACGTGTTTATTTTCTTAAAAATATCATTTTCCCCTTTTTGTTCCAGAAATGTATTTTTAGGGATTTATTCGCTGATTTGGGGAAAATAAACGAATTTTTGGGTAACAAGTAGCAAAAAGTATGAAAAAGCTAGCATTTTGATGTCCAATTTTTTTTTCTCAGAGCATCAAAAATTGTATAATTCTTGAAAGAAAGCGTAAATTCAAGTGATCCTCGATGCAAAGATGGCAATGCCCGATTCACAACGGTACCCTTAAAACATTTATCAGGCCAATAATGTGGAAGATATTGAGGTTTTTCTAGCTTAAAAAGATTTAGATTTTGATTACTCCAATATGTTTTCTGGTCGGAGAAATGCACAAGTCACTTTAGTAGGGAAACCACAGTTGAAATAAACTAGTTTAAAGAAACAAAAACATTAATTCATACTTGATCAGACAAAGTTTTTAAGGGTACCGTTGTGAATCATTGCCATCTTTGCATTCAGGGTCACTTGAAATTACATATACAGTCCCTTTGATGTTCTTATTAAAAATCAATGAACTTATTCTGATTGAAGAGGAGGGATGAGAGATATTACTGTCGCTGGAGCCAAGAGTAGATTAGACAAATATAAAAAATGGAAGGTAGGAGACATGATTCTAGGCTTTTTTTTAACTCTGCTTATCCGTTTTATCCGCAACATTTTGGCTTCGGATTTGGATCCAAGAGGTAAAAAACAAACCATAACCTTTTTTTTACTTATTACTGACCAATATTAAAACTTCATAATTTCTGAATGGTTCATAAGAATTAATTGAAAAAAATTAAATATTTTAAAAGTCAGTAAATCTTAAGGAAATGATCATGACCTGGATCCGGATCCCCATCAAAATGATCCTAAGCACTGCTTATTTGATACATTTGTTTGCTTCTACTTAATAGAGGGTTAAAGATACAATATTGAAAAGTATTAATGAATTAGAATTGTGAGTTCTTAGTATGTGAAAAATATTTGTTTTGGCAGAGGATTAGGATTTTAAAACTACTTAAAGGGACAGTAAACGTAATATCATATGACCCTCCATTTATAATTTTATAGAGTTTCATGCACAACTAACCATTTAAACCATTTAAACCTTTGTCTGGTTAAGAATGAGAATTGTTGATCATTTTCAATTGTGACTTGCGGATTTAAGCAGAAGATACAATAAAGGAAATCTCGAGAATTAAACACTTTTCCAGATAAATACACGATTTTATCTTCCTCAATGTGAATCAGAATGTCACTCTTTTAAATGGTGGGTCACTTAAATTACTTCTACTCCTTTAAAAAAAATTATACCCGAATTTTCTAAATATGGAATAAACTGACCATTGTAAATAATAAATTTTAGCTTGATAATTTTTTATTTTAAATAAAAGCCGTTTACAGCATGGCAACATAACTTGGCTAAAGATATACAATAAATACATTGACAGCAAATTATTAAGAATTTATATTTCCAACAAAACAAAAAGAACCAAACTTAAATCATGGGATTAATTAGAGTGTTAACAAAGGATGATATGTGCTTCATCGTAATACTTGTGCAAGTAATTGTATCAATCTGTGCGTATACCAAAAGAAAATTATCTTAAATCAACATCTTAAAAAAAAACATGCAACTTAGAAAAATGTTTATACAAACAAATTCAATATTAAAGAAAACTTTGATTTGCAAAAATCTAAAAAGTTGTTAATAAAATGCAAGGGTAACGTTAGTTTCACTGCCAAGACGGTGTATAAGAAAAATCTTGTAAAAAAATCCGCATTAAAACTAAAAATGAAAGAAATATTGAATTATTAAGGATGGAGAGGAGGAAGGGTCTACTGAAACTGAGCTGAAGGTTGAGCTCGGAGATAAACCTGGAGACATTGAGCTGAAGAGGGCTCAACAGATCTTCTCCAAGCTCCAGGGGGAGGAGAAGGACGGGTCGTCTTCTTCGGAGGAGGAGGAGGAGAGCTGAATTGTTAAATATTTTCAACTATAATTTTTTAGAAATAAATTTTTTAAGTTTCATAAAAATTGTTTTTTCTTTAAGAAAAAGTTGTTTATTTCCATTCGCAAAACATTTGCGCAATTTATGTGAAAAGAAACTCAAAATATTCTTGCGTTGCAACACTTTTGCGCGAAAAAACAGGAATTTGCGCAATCATTCGTAAATGTCATTTAACGCAAAATGAACTAGTCTGCTTTTTCGCAATTCTGTTTGGCGCAATTTTTACTTCTTCCACTTACACTTTGCTACGAGTCGACTCATAATGTCGACTTTGTGCAACTGAAAAACGACCTTTACTTAAAGTTGTATAATGGTTAGGGATGTTAGAATCCGTTAAAAAAATCCTAACTGACAGGGTGTCTCAAAAAATTGTCCTTAAAAATCCATCATTGGGAAGAAGGTCCCAAAAGGATCATGTCAAAGTTTACAACTTGCTGTGATAATCAGAAAATAACTAAATTTTCGATTTTTTAAGTTTTCAACAATAATTTAACTAAATGGTAGAATAGTTTTGTTATTTGAATATCTACACGACAATAGCTTTACAAAAAAAAATTGGGGGGCGGGCTTTTAGGAGTAGTCAACGTTAGAAACAAACATCTCTAATTTTTTTTGAAAAGTTTGAGAAAAAAATCATTTTATTTTCTTGCAAATGGACCCCCTTCCCTCTCAATTTTCTTATTGTGATACAAATCTGAAACATTTGATACGTTTTTGGAAAGCCCTTGGGCTCTACTTCAAGAATCTTCAAAAAAAATGACAAATTTGCAAAAATCCAAATAGCGAAATCTAGTTATTAAGCGAAAATTGTGCAAAAAACATTTCTGAAAAGCCCTTGACCTTGCGAGTTCAAATCTGCAAAAACGTTTTAAAAATGTTTAAAACCTAAATGTGTATTCAAGAAAAACTGAAAATGTGCATAATGTAAAGACGACTGTGCAAAAATGTCTGCAAAATTTATTTGCAAAAGTTGTGCAGTCGATTTGTTGCTTTTGTTATAGGCTTTCCAAAGAGCTATAAAATATTGAAATCTAATGACTGGAAGTAGGTCTAAATGTAGATTTAGTCTGGTATAGGTAAAATATGGAATTTAATAGGCAGTATGCATGAGGACTCAGACAGTAGGTATTACAGCCCAGCCTTTAGCCTTAAGTGGTGGACATATGCATGATGTTAAAATTAGAAAAGTCAGAAGATTTGAGCTTCCTAGCAGACTGCACAACTTTTGCGTAGATTTTTGCACAGAGGCCTATATACTTTAAGGGAATTTGCACAATTTTAACTTTTCTTGAATCACGTTGCATTTAAGTTTTGAAAATTTTGCAAATATTTTTGCATATTTGAGTTTTGCTAAATAACTAGATTTCGCAATACATTTTTGGATTTTTGCTAATATGCATTTTTTTCTTCAGATTATTGAAGTAGAGGTATACCCAAGGGCTTAAAAAATGTATCAAATGTAAGTTACAGATTTGTTTCACAAGACGTCCCCTCCCCCGCGGTCTATCTTGGGCAAACTGCAGACGTCAGTCGGAATCGTCGGAATGGGGTTAGATTCGTTGAATCAGATCAACGCCAAACGTTAAGTTACAGCTAGGAAATCTAAGACATTAGTTCAATTGTACAGTCCAAAATCAATATAGAATCCAATTAAATTTACTTTTTGTTGTTTCTTGAAGGTTTTTAATGTCGTCTTTGATGAAAGTACATTGCGTCATTGAGTTGCTTTCTTATAAAATTCCATTTGTCTGGGAGGCTGCCAGTTTAAGTTAGTTAGCCACAACTTCTCGTACAATAAACAGGTAACGCAAACTAAATACAAAACTTTCTCTTAGGTCTGTCCTAGTATACGATATAGTTTTTACTTTTATCTGTTTTATAATAGTGTAGTGGGATATTTTCTACAGTGAGTCAGCTGATGTCTTCTGTATTTTTTAATCTGGTTTCAAATAATTTATAGTTAATGAATGTTGTACGAACTTTTATTGCATGATTTGTTACTCGAAAATTATATAGTTATAGATTTTTAGGGTCTGTCCTAGTATACGATTTTTGGGGGGCGGGGGGGGGGGTCCAAAAATCGTATACTAGGAAATTACCTATTTTTTACTTTTATTTTTCCTATTACTAGAGTTAAATATATCAGATTTGATAAAATTTTAGGTCTTTAATAATCCCCCCCCCCCTCTCCAATTAAAGTTTTTTTTATCTCTTTATTTTCCTATTTCTTCTTGAATTTTCAGATAAAAATACATATGAAAATTTTTAATTATGTAATTTTGAACTGATCATTGTCCATGCTCATGGGGTCGCGCTAGGTCCCCCCCCCGCTATTAATTTGTTTACGTCTAAATGTTGGACATTTGATCGTATTCTATTATATTGTGGTTTTATGTTTCTCGTTATCTCTACCGTAGTTGGTGTTAAACTAGATTTATTATTTTGTTCTAGCTTATAAAAGAATTTACTTCGATTATTACTCTTTCTATGGGGGTTAAATTAGGATCGTGGGGGGGGGGGCTAAATTAGGATCTCGTATTTAAATATATCTTATCTTTATCGAAACCTGAGTATCCAAGTTCTTATTCCTTATCTGAACAGTGCATGTCTTATTCATGATAAGATCATTCACCCCTGCATGGCCTCTCTCTAAACCCCCCCCCCCATGTTTCTACCTGTCCTCCCCCCTCTAGCTTTAACCTTACACAATACACAACCAGTTACCCCCTCTCGATTTACGCCAACCCTTCCACTTCAACAGGTTATCTAAATATTCATTTTTTATGGAAATAACAAGCAGCTAAGATCCTTAAAAGGTTAAAATGCAAGGAAAGTTAAATGTAGTTGCGTATACTCTGCGTACATATTGAAACTAGTTCTCTCTCTGGGCGTAATTTTTAAACAAGTGTAAACAGTGTTCGAGTATATCCGAGGAGGATAAAAGCATCGAATTTTGAAATTTTTGATAATTCACATAATAATTTCCTGTGACCAGAATATTTCATTGATTTTTTATGTGAAAGATGGATCCCATGCCATGCTGTGACATCCGGCCAGAGATAGTACCTTGCAGTACAAAAGATGCGTAAATCTCTGAAATAACTTTCCTTGCATTATAACCTTGATAAAAGTGATCAAGGGTCATACAGGGTTACCAATAACATGAGACTTAGATGACACAAAAATATATCGATCTGAAGTTATTGTATGATTTGGCATAGAAAACAAACTAGATGCATGAAACTATGAATGTAAATTCTTAACAGTCGTCTCTGAAGTCTTATCCTTTGTGGCCGGGTAGCCCTAGATACTAAATTAGTTTTACTCTACACAGAGTCAACGTAAATGTCTCCGCCCTGACGCGAAAATGTATCAGGATGTTTCCAAATACTTGAATAAAGCTAGAATGTCGAAGCTTATATATATATTTCTTACATGAACTGAGCCACTTAATAGTAATTTGAAACAATCAAGGCCAAAGTTGATCCAGACTTTAATTTATGTATAATTTGCCATAAATGATAGAATATTTAAGTTAAATTATTATTGATGGGTTTTCTTGTTAATGAAAGACCACTCTTTTGCATGGTTCTTCTTGTGATCATAACAGACGTCACATCTATTTTAGGATTTTTTAAAGTTTGTTTAATTTTATAATACCTGGCTTTTAGCGCGCTTCCCGCCCATCTTATTTTTCAACTTTTAATTATGGCTTTATCTGTGAGCGTCTTCTCTTTGTACAGCATAAAATTTTTTGTTTAATTTACGGATTTTATAATATTTTTTTGCGCATTTTAAAAATTTTACTAAATTAAATAATTTAAGATTACATATTCAAAGTCTGGGGCCACGTGAGGTCCCACACCAAATTTGGCCATGTTCGGTTTAGCCGTTTTGACGTTTCTTGGATACAAACACCAAGACAAACAAACAAACAGACACCCAGACATTTTATTGGGAGTTTTATATCAATTGTGGGTGGAGGAAGTTTTCAAGTATAATTACGCATTTAATATTTACTACGAGCTTGGGTTATTTCCATTAATAAATTATAAATCAGCAAACATATTATAAATATAAGCATCAAGAATTTAATACTTGGTAAATAAAACTTTATTATTTTGTAGATCGGATTGGGTCAACAAAAATTTAAAACAGAAAATAGATTTAAAAAATGACTAATTCAAGCAAAAACAATTTCCTAGAAAGAAAAGAAAGCATCTGGAAAAATCTAGTTCATTAATACGACACCAGTTTCTAAGGATAACCGAAGTAAGCAGAGGTGTATATTTTCGTTTAAGAAATGATTATTTCGGCATCATAAGATAAGATAAGGTTAGGATATTTAACCCCCCACCCCCATTAATGAAAAGGAAAAAAGAAAGCCTCATTTTAATTATTAATTTTTTACCAATTTGTTTAGTCATATTTTTCCTCAGAAATATATATTTCTACATAAAACTTTATAAAATAAGGCAAAAGCTAATTTACTTCATTTATACGGAATAATTTTTCTGCGTAATAAAAAGAAATACTTAAGTAATTCAATCCGCTTTCTTAATGTTGATTAATTATGTGAAGGGGGGGGGGGGGCTAGCTTCCTTTAATTTTACCGAATTTTGAAATAGCATTTGCGTTGCCTTAGTAACAAAATACACAATGGAAATCTTTACATTATCTGTTCAATATGTTGATTAAGACCAAGGTCAAATTTGTTTGAAAATTCAAGGATTATTATTTACAGCGTTAAACATACCTGATTCATAACTGTCTCCTGTAAACTTTAATACAAACATCAATTTTTTACTGCGGTAAATTGTTAAATTCTGACAATGTCCTTCTTTGTCTTTTCTGCATGATTCTTTGAGACATTTTTTTTATATACCCCACAATTGTAAATAATCATTATACAGATAGAAAAACAAAGATATCTTTAAGTTTGTTACTCAGGCGAAGGGTTTAAAGGGAACCTTTGTGAATTTTCATTTTGTAAAAAAATAGTTTTTATTTTTGTTATTAGTTAATTGATATTTAATTCATCCATAAAACATAAAACCTATCGAAACATAGAAACATTTTTTCGTGGGACCTCACCTCATGACCTCATAATACCCTCATGGCCCCCCACTTAAAAAAAACCATATAGACAATCTTGTGAAAGCAGAGGCCGAATTTAAAGAATTTGAGCCGCGGCTTAAATTTGAGACGCGGCTCAAATAGGTTGGTTTCACTTAAAATCGTATTCAATGTTACAAGATTTAAGCCGGCGCTCAATTGAAACCGGTTTTTAGGGGATTTAAGACGCGGCTCAAATTTATCAAATTCAAACTCTGGTCTGAAAATTCTGTAATTTCTGTCAATAAAGTTGTAAGAAGAAGGAAAAGAGGGGGGGGGGTAGCTCTTCGAATTCATCTCTAAATAATATAAATTGTATAAGTTGAGTTGAAATGTGAAACTAGTTTTAAATCACAAGGTTTCCAAGGGAGGAGTTTATCATACAAAGTGCAGAATTATTAAATGCTTAACTAGTATCCTCTTATCTCGTGACTTAGTTTAATTTTATGTAGTGACTTAACCTAATTCTCCATTTTTTCCTTAATAATTATAGAAGCTAAATCTTATTTATGTTTTATTGAGATTTCTTTGTTTAATCAATAGCAGAGTTCTAATGATACATATTCATTATAACTCTGATCGATGTATCCTCGATCCATGTATCCTCGATCGATGTATCCTGGATCCATGTATCCTGGATCCATATATCCTGGATCCATATATCCTGGATCCATATATCCTGATCCTGGATCCATATATCCTGGATCCATATATCCTGGATCCATATATCCTGGATCCATATATCCTGGATCCATATATCCTGGATCCATATATCCTGGATCCGTATATCCTGGATCCATATATCCTGGATCCATATATCCTGGATCCATATATCCTGGATCCGTATATCCTGGATCCATATATCAAGGATCCATATATCAAGGATCCATGTATCCTGGATCCATATATCCTGGATCCATGTATCAAGGATCCATGTATAAAGTATCCTTTTATTCTGGAACTATGTATCCTGGATTGACTCACAAAATGAAATAAATTACACTAATTTTTTTATATTTGAAAATAGAATTGTGAATAATTTCTTGAAATCCTCCCAAAACCCCTTTTAAAAAATCTCAATTTGTTAGAAATGTTTGCGCAGAGTGGCAAAAAAATATTTTTTAGTATTTTTTGTTGAGTTAGTCTTTGAATGGAACGGGTAAATAAAATATATTTAACTTTTTTCCCTAAAGTAAAAGGCTTAAGTCGTATAATGTTAAAACCCAATTCTATTAAGGATACCATTTTCATTCGGACATGCCACAAAGTAAATGGAGAATAAGTTGATGTTGCATATACATTATACATTCCGTTTAAAGGGGCTCTAAAGGAGTGTGTAATTTTAAATTGACCCTCCATGCCCAATTTACGTCAGTACCCTTAAAAACTGAAAGTATGGATTATATGTCTATGTTTTTGTTTCTTTAAAATGTTAATTTTCATTTTCGGGTTCTCTGCAAAGGTTGCTTGCGCATGTCTTGAAAAACAACTGTATTTTTTTACGAGATTAGGGGTATCGTTGTAAATCGCGCATCGCGTTCTTTTCATTTTTAAGATTACTTGAAATAACGCTTACAATCCCTTTAACTAAAAACGTTTTTTGTTTCAGATTGTTTTGTTTCATCTGATCCTCGATCAGATTTTTCCTGCTTAGACCAGACCAGCACGCTGAAGAACCGACACAAAATGAGTGATAATAATAATAAACTCTCAATATTAAGTAATAACGCTGAGGTCAGTATGTCGGAAGCACTGACCTCCGCTGGGCCCTGCTCACCCCTAGCCGGTCTCGGCAACGGCCTCGCCTCCTCTCAGTTCAGCGGGCTCGACGCTGGGCCTCGACAGCGGGTTTGATGTCACCCGCGCAGGTTGATAATTTTTTCATTGTTTACAATCACTCATGTTAACTTATCAATAGATTTCATTATAGGCGTGCTTGCTGCTAATGTTAAATTAGCTGTATATTATAGCACGGTGCAATTTAAATGGTTCCCGGATTTTCTCATTGTCAGTTATGGTAAATTTTATTATTGACGTGGTATAAAATAATTAGCTGTATATATTATATTTTATAACCTTGTGCTATAGACATTTTCATCGTGCTATTATGGTAAATCAGCAGTTAATTATAGCACCGTGCTATTATGTTAAATCAGCGGATTATTATAGCACCGAGCTTTTATGTTAAATCAGCTGTTTATTATAGCACCGTGCCATTATGTTAAATCACTAATCAGCTGTTTATTCTAGCACCGTATTCTTATGTAAAATCAGCTGTTTATTATAGTATCGTGCTCTAAAGTATTCAATGTTTTCTGAACTTTTTCAATATAAATTAAAATACAATTTGAATTAACTTTAAGTTTTTATTTCTGCTTGATATGTCTAAATTATCATTGCATTAAGTATAGCACAAACAATTTTTTGGCACGACATGTTATTTTGTAAATCTTTTACTCCGATCTTAATTTTATTTTTGACTTTTTGTAAATTATTTCTTATTATTTCAATATTTGGAGTTCTAATTTGTGAAATATGGGCCTGCATTTCCAATTTTAGCAGTACATATTATTGGACAAAGTTATCATAAGGAAACAGGATATTTTAAGTTTGCTCTCCCCTAGTAAATCCTGGATGTGCCCCTCAAGCGTTTCACTAAAAAAATGTTAAGATCTTTTTTCTTCAAATAGAATTGTTTTATGTTAGGTTGGGATTTCCCAGAGGGCACTTGCGCGGGTTACAAAGGATATCCCTCTGAACCGAAGAAAGATGGGTTCAATAACTCCCTCCCCCTTAAAAATTTGGAGGGGGGATCGTATTAGGAATCCTGCGTTGTAGTCCTTTAATAACTTATGTTTGAGCAATAGTCCAAGTTTGAACTATCGAAGGTTTTCATCACCTGGTTATATAGATATAGAAGAGGGGTCCACATATTATTCCATAGTTAAAAGAAAAAATTGCATACTGCAGAATGTGCACCGGGAGTGTTTTTTTTTCTGTATATCATAATTTGTCTCTGATATTGATTACTGATATTTACATTTTTGACACCCCAAATGCAGTACAGTACACATTTCTGAAGTGTACACAAAAAACTTGCTGAAGTTCACAATGACACAAATGCCCTCAAATGTGCTTTCAACCCCGATCCCATTAGGGATCAATAATGGAAATATATGGACCTTTGTTAAAGAGGGGATAAAGGATTTGAATATTAGGCTAGTGATGAGCTGCTTCAATCTTTTGGAGTAAATAAATCGTATTTCAAGAATGATCCAATTACTCCAAGAAATCCCTTACATTTTTTGGGAAATGCTAGCAAACCATGCTTGGCTCAATCTCAATATCTTTACTCTTTACAACTGTATTCGACTTCACTAAAACTGTAATTATGTTCTTATTTGTAGTGAGTATCTTGAAATTGGAGAACGCTCCCTTTGTATACACACTTAACCCTACAATTCCCAGGGTGGGCGCAGATATTAACCCTTATATAGTCAGGGTGAGCGCAGATATTAACCCTAACATTCACAGGGTGGGCGCCGATATTAACCCTAATATTCCCAGGGTTGGCGGAGGTATTAACCCTAATATTCCCTTGGTTGGCGGAGGTATTAACCCTAATATTCCCAGGGTTGGCGGAGGTATTAACTCTATTATTACCAAGGTGGGCGGAGATAAAGCTGAAAAGCTTTCGTTCTCTGCAGCCGGGGTGGGTGGAGCTAGGAGTTGCTGGGAGGCGGTTCTTTGGCAGAACAGGTTGTACGTGAATGTCACCCAGGTAGGATGGTACATAAAACTGTACACTTAAATTAACTGTACATTAAATTTTGCAAGAAACATATCTGCACACATTAAACTATATATATAAATAAAACACAGACTACACAGACTACACTAATTAAACTGTACAAGAAACTTCACTTTAAAATAACCTGTACACTGTACAGTGTACACCATATCCTAAATGAGATTAACTATACGTCTAGTGTAAATGATACTACAGTGTATTGTACGGTGAGCACCACATTGCACACTGTATTTTTAAATCAGCTATCTATCTGTTTGACAATCAGCTCTATCTTTCAATTTATCTTGTCTAGAATCGGCTCTTTCTTTCTGACATAAGCTATCTACCTATCTAATATCAGCTATCTATCTAGAATCAGCTCTAACTATCTAGAATCAGCTGTGTCTATCTAGAATCAGATATATATCTATCTATAATCAGCTATTTAACTATCTATGATCGGCTATAAATCTAATCAGCTATCTATCTATCAATAATCAGCTATATATCTGTCTATATTCAGCTATCAGGATTTATCGGAATTAGCTTTCTATCGAGAATCACTTATCAGCTATCTATCAAGCTAATTTCAACTATTTATATAGAAAAAGCTCTATCTATCCAATATCAGCTATGTATCTATTTAGAATCAGCTCTTTCTGTCTAATATCAGCTATCTATCTATCTAGAATCAGCTGTGTCTAAAATATGCTCTATATATATCTATATTCAGCTATTTATGTATCTAGAATCGGCTATATATACATATATATATGCATACATATACATATATATATATATATATATATATATATATATATATATATATCAGCTATCTAACTATCTAGAATCAGCTGGCTGATGGTAGCAAGGCTGCATTTGTCTCGCTACTAGAGTATGCTGAGGAAGTACTGGGAGTGGATCACGTGATTGCCTGTCTGGACCGTTCTTACAGCAACAAGAACATCATCAGGTTCTTTTTGGGAATTTTTATTCTTTGGGAATCTGTGCTTAGGATTCGGTGCTTAGGATTCGGATCCGATTGATTCGCAACATTTTGGCTTCCTGGATCCGGATCCAAGGGTCAAAATATTATCCAAACAGTGAAGGGAAAAATTCTTGCTCTTAAAACCCCAAATTTGAACTGCTAAAAAAAAGATACGATTATTAGGAATGTCCTTATCTCTGAATGGGATATTAATGTGATAAGCGAAAAAAGAAGAATAGTATCTTTTAAAGTACTTCTTTTGTTGAAAAAAAATCAGTAACCCTTAAAGAAATGTTCAATGACCTGGATCCGGATACAGTTTGTTCATGGTGAATCTTTTATCCGGACCCGCATCAAAATTGAATAAATTTTAAGTGCTGCCTTGTGTTGTCTCTAATTTCGTCTGAAAATGGATTATTCTCAATCGGATACACAACTTTCTTTACGTCTACAGTACCTTTAAATCAATTTTTTTGTCTATATTGTTTTTTTTCAAATTTTATCCAATATTAAAAAGAATGAATTAAGAGTAAATATGTGCTGTATGGAGTATGTAGAGTAAAGTCGCATTTCCTTAAACGTAAACAATCTTTTTTTTTATGAAATCTTGAAATTTGAAACTAATATGATTTTCGTCTAGAATTACACAGTCACACACTAATGCGTCGGTTGGTTGTCGAAATTTGTTTATTCTTAATATTCTCATAGAATTATATGTGATTATCTATCTATTCAGTAACTCTCGAATTATCTATCTATTTCATTCATATATTCATATATTTATTCAACTACAAAGCATGAGATATTACAAATAAGCAATCACAATTTACTATGCAGTTTGGACCCGCCTAACCAGGGTTGGTTGTTTTGAGTGGTAGGAACTATATCTAATTATCTATCTATTTAGGAACTTTTTGTTCCTGGGGTTTAAGCCTATATCTCCGGGGCATGAGTACTTTCCTGCTAACCAAGATGTTGTCTGTTTCCTCTACACCATCTAGAAATTCGGCACGGCCGCCGATTTTATCAACTCCTACAGTTTTCTAGTTTGACGTTACTAACTTCGGCGGCCGTCTACGGGAGACTTAAATATTGTAATATTGTCATATTTAATCAACTATACTGTTTCCCGTCGATTTTTTGTTTTTATCTTTTAGAAACAAAAAATAATATTTTTTCTCTGGGTTTGTTATTTTTTCAAACCCTGACTGAGGAGAACAGCTACAACGATAAGGGAATATCCAAAAAAAAAGTAAAAAAAACCGAGATGCATTTTAGAAGAAATTTTTGGTGCATTTCACACAAAAAAATGTCGTTATCATATATTTAACCAAATTTGTGAGTTTTTCAAATTTAATGTTTCAATTTAAGGATTAAGGGGGGGATTGGAGACTATATTTTTAACATTTTTTCCGTCACAAACATTCGAGTAGAATATTATTAAAATATCTTTACTCCAGTCCCTACCTGCAGTCCTAGCATATTTAATCTTATATTATCTTGTATATTGGCAATCTGTTGATTTTATTCAATAAATAAATATTCAAGATAAAGAAAATGTTTTCAGGAAGTACACGCCAGCTTTTACATTTATTAAGCATTAACAGGGTGTCATACAAATTAAGAAGTATGATCTGGAAACGCCGCAACATTAAAACCCCTCAACATTGAAACAACTTAACATTGAAACCCCTCAACATTGAAACCACTCAAAAATTACTTAATGAGGAATTTTCGCTTTATGTCGGAAATGCCTCAAATCTTGGGATTTTTTTGATCCGTTTCTCAAAAAATTTATTTCATCGGTTTTTACATTGTTAGGTTAATTTTTCTTCACATATTTGGAGGTCATCGAAAATTACAACCATGCAACAACAAAAATCCAATCATGAAATCGCATGTCCAGAGAAAAACGCGAGTTTCCTCATTTTTAGTATTTTGGGGGAATTTTTTCAGCGTTTTTGTCATTTCTCGTCAAGTTCTGACAGTGAGAACTAACTCAGCCACTTTTTTTTACATTTTAGTGAAAAGATGTTCGACATCAAGGACCACCCTATCGTGTAAAAACAAAAATAAAAACACATCCTGTGATACCCTCGGCCTCAGGGGCGTATTGAAAATTTAGCCAATGGGGGTGAACTTTAGGCGCGCGCGAAATCTTGGTTTTTTTGGGACCCGCCTAGCGGACCTTTCACCCCCCTTAAAACCGGTATTAAGAAAACAAATCAGTTTCAAACTTAATATCAATCCTTGAAAGGCACATGTTTCAAAGTCCATTTTCAAGGGCTTTTCAAAAATGAATTTAGATAAGAATCATAAAGCCCGAGGAGGGGGGGAGTCCAGAGTTTCTCAAATAGTAATCACCGCCACCCAAATCTGTTTCGCGGCAAGCGCGCTCCTCAATTGGTAATCTCCACCACCTCAAATAGTAATCACCATAAAATTTTGTTTTATGTGATTTGAATTTAATGCACTTTTAACACAATTTTCGACATCTATCGGGGTTATATGGCATCTGTATTGACTTAAACTAAATTTTCAAATTATTTTCAGATTTTTTTGGTCAACAAAAACTGAGAATCAAGGCACAGTTCATTTTAGCCGAATCTTAGATCCAATTGGCCACTTTAATGACTGCATTTCATGATTGGCGTCAAGATACAATCAATCTCCATTTAAAAGATATTTTCAAAAAACCTTTACAGTGTTTAGATTTTTGTATTAGCCAACTCGAGTTCAACATCTACAACAAAACTAATTATATGCATAGAAAGAACATAAAATTTTGAAAAATTAGTCTCATCACACCAACTACTGAAAATGAAGTATTTAGTCCACTAATAATGGGTTAAAGTTTCCTCTGCATATAAGGAGTTTAAAACAACATTCAGAGGAAAATGCCGCAAACATTCTTAAAGCGAAACTTGAAACTAAAAAACGTAATATATTTCTAGCACTTAGTGTGGCATATTTATTGATTTATTTTCGAAACTAAGGAGCAATAAAGAAAGCTTTAACAATATTGTACACCATAGGGCCATTAAAAGAGGTCAATATGGTCTTATTTCTAAGAAATAAACGATTTAATTTTATGCTTTTTTGGGGTGATTACTATTTGAGGTGGTGGAGATTACCAATTGAGGAGCGCGCTTGCCGCAAAACAGATTTGGGTGGCGGTGATTACTATTTGAGAAACTCTGGACTCCCCCCCCTCGCCCGAGAAATCCTTCCCTTCCTTCATATTAATTGATTGTAAACTAGTCGTCTTTGTTTATCAGAGTCATAATATAAATAAGAGTAATTGCGGCATTTTTTAACATAATGCGCTTTAAACAACTCTGCGCTGAGGTTCCCTGGTAAAAATGAGTTAATTTAGCATTACAGTTAAATACGTGCTGTCAGTGAAAATAATGAGTAAAGCAAGGGAAGAAGAATTAGCAGATTATCAAATGGAGGAAGAGCTTGGAGAATATGGTAAGATAATTCGTTGTAAAGGAATGGCATGGAAGTATAAACCAATCTTATTTCAATTTCTATCGAATTTAGGATAAAGGAGGGGGTCCTGTGCTTATAGATTTTATAAACGGACAAATTTAGACACGTGACCGCAGAGCCCGGTACAGTGGTGTTTATAATCCGCAGCGCGCGGCCCGGGAAATGCCTTAACTTTACTTATAAACCCAATTTTATCAGGGTCTAGGCACGAAGGGAAAGGAAATGGCGCAAGTAAACAATTGACAATTAACAAATGTACTCTCCTAGCCTGTACACATATCGAGATTCTTATGTACTGTACACATACAGTACACACCTTCGGTTCGGTAAACTTTACACACATTCTATTGGTTCAGACACACACACACGACGATTCCGCCCCCTGAATATTATACGATTTGTAGATTTTGACAATAATGAAGAAGGAGCTGAATATGCCAGTAACGAAGAACAGGAAGAATATGATGATACGGAAGAAAATGATAATACTGAAGAAAATGATAATACTGAAGAAAATGATGGGAATGAAGATAATAATGAGGAATATGATGATGATGACAATGTAGAAAATAAGGAAGATGATGATGAAGAGAATGAATGTATTGCAACGAGTTTATTTGACGCCTTAGCAGCGGCTCAGGTACTTTGGGAAATTTTTCGTTTGTTTTGCGGTGAAGTAGCAAAACAATTTTGCTGAAAAATAAGTGGTCATGTACAACATTGATAGTGTCGGGGGCATTGACCACATGATTAATTAATTCCATGTGTTACATACTAGATCCATGTACAAAATTGGGGGGGGCCCAAAAATCATTCTCTAGGGCAGACCCTAAGAGACTGTAAGCGTAATTTCAAGTAACCCTCAAGATGGCAATGCCCGATTTGCAACAGTATCCTTGAAACCTTATCATAAATTTGGAAGATGTCTCGTTTTACTAACTGTTCTTCATTAAGCTTCTTATAAACAAGAAAAGCGAAAGTCTGTTACACGTTAAAACCACAAATGAAAATAACCAGTTTATGGAAACAGAAACATTGATATCTAATTCATACTTGATCAGACAAAGCTTTCAAGTTGTAAATCGGGCATTGCCATCTTTGCATTGATGGTCACTTGAAATTACGCTTACAGTCCCTTTGAATAAATATATATTGTTATTCAGGAGGCCAGTGAGAGATATCTGATGACTGAAGCAGAACCCCCAAGAGAAGATCATAGGTCAGCGGCTAAACTCGATAACTAATTGACAAGTTTTTAAGATGACAGACTTAAAGGGAGTGATCGCGAAAGGTGAATGGGGTTAGAGGCTGCTACCTGATTAAATTTGGCTTCGATCGCTACTAATTTTACTTCTCTCTAATAGTAGCGATCAAAACCGAAATCAATTGGTGATCAGCTCATACCCAATTTCATTTTTTGCGAACACTCCCTTTAAGGTCGTAAATTCGGGAATCCTAAAGTCTTGAATCCACCAATGACAGCATTTTCCATTTTATTTAACTTCGTGAAACCCGTGATATCTTTAATTGAAAAAAGAAAAAGTGCCAAACATTTAAACCTTTCTTCAATTTTTGTTTTTTTAGAATAAATTTGAATTAAATTTTGAGGGGGGAGGGGAGAGAAATATAAATTTGAAACTTAATTTTATCATTTTAGACTTGATGACGCATTTCTTCTTCGATCCTACGCAACCTGCTTGTGCGTAGACTGGCGTAAGAAAGATAAAGAACAAGATTTAGAAAGTAAGTTTATACCGGGAG